CAAATACACACACTGCATTAACTACACAATGCATCCACTACACAAACTGTCTATAGTGTATGTAGAGTGTGTGTTTGTGTAGTGCATGCAGACACAATGTCTCCACTACACACATTGCATACAATACAAAACCACAAACATTACATTCACGACTCACAAACATTAAATCACCTACACACTCTGCATCCACTATACACACTCACACAATGCATTCACTACACACACTGCATACAATACACAAACACAGACACTGTATTCCTGGGAGCAGGATCCAGGGGTGGGTGAAACGGGTGGTCTAGTGGTGGAGCTCCATTGTCTGTATCAATATCAGGTACTTTAAGAGTGCCCTTGTGGTTATGGTGCTCTGTCAAAGCCAGATGTCGCATTATGAGCCATGAAGAAGCACAGGAAGACTGTGCCTGATATTGGTAGAGACCAAACGCTGTGAGAAGGCAAAGTGCCATGCAGGAAGATCGTAAGAGCTCACCTGGCCCTTCTCTGAGCCCTGACCCTAGGCTTAGATAAAACTGGACCCAGGCTGAGCCAGGTTATCTGTTAGACAACCAACTAGGCTTAGATTGTTACTTAACGGGTAGCCTGGCTCAGCCTGGGTCCTGTCTTATCTTAAATGAACAGCCCGAGCACCAAAACCACTATAGACCATTGTAGTTAACTTATTATAGTGCCAGTAGTGCTAAGGTGTCAAACCGCTTGGTAACAGTAACAATCTATCTTGGGTTCACTTGGCACTGGCCACCTCCTCTATGGGAGCATGACACTCTCTGCATTGAACTAAGCCTGGTGGAAGCCTTGCAGTGAATTTCCTGTAACTTATGTAAGTTTCTAAACCATTTTTCTTAATAAGCTGAGTGCATCATCTGACTTACTGAAAGGTGATGCTGTTGTGGAGAAGGTGTCAGAAGGGTCAGGAGGATGGGTGTCATTAATAGCACTTTGGGGGTTAAACAAATTTAGGCAGAACTTATGCGAATATCCCCTCTAATGCAGTGCTGCTTGCAGATATCTCCCTTCTCAATGTGCCACCACTCGCTACATTTTGCTGCTCATTTAAAGAACGACTAAAGTCACCAAGACCACTTCATCTCATTTAAAGTGGTCTGGGTGCAGTGACTTTTTGACTTTTTGTAGGGAAAGGCAATATTTTCATTGAAAGGTTAAACACACAACTAGTAGCTGTCTTTATGACAACGATTAGAACCGCTTTCCTTGTGAGAACCGAGTCAGACTGTTATCAATTAAATTCCGCTCAGAGCAGTAGATTGGAGCAGTGCATCGATTTGCTGCTTATGCGCAGTAGATTGTCAAATCTACTCTATCTAACCTATGGAGAAGCGTTAGATTGGCTAAGATCATCAATCTTGATGATCTCAGCCAGAGAGGCGTTGGCAGCCAAGAGACTGGTGTGGGGAGGTCTGAAATATCACTAAATCTGATTATTTATTTTTTTACATTTGACAATTTTTATTGTTTTGTCAATTTATAAACACAAGTAACTTGGGTTTACAGAAAGGAAGATGGGGAGGGGGGTATTATGAGATAGTTTTGGTTTGATTAGATACATACACGTTGTACAGATTTTGTTCATTATGTGCATACATTTACAGTTTTATACAGTTTTATACAGTTGGTTGCATTTCATTCTGTGATGTATTGCGTATTTTATGGTATTGTGTACACCTCTTAGTATCAGATGGGACGAGCTGGGTTATGACAATGGGTAAGGTCTCGTTCATGTTGTCATATTTGTACTGCTATATAGCTCTCTTGGTTTCTTATCCCAGCTGATTTGTTACCAGGGAGTCGTTGGTGTGTCATCATGTTGTGCTATATGGTGCAGAGCTATTAACGATTATACTCCGTCTCTAATCGGTTTCATCATTACCAGATTATAACTTTTGGGTGAGAGTTTCAGAGAGTTTCTGCCTGGAATGGCCCCCAGAGAATTATTATATTTATTATAGAGAATTATTATATTTCGTAATATAGAAAGAACTGGACTGCAACAGCTCCACCGGTTATATCAAAATGGAGAGGTCGTACCAATTTGCAGAACTCCAACAAGGCAATCACTTAACAGCTGTGGATTTTTTTAGATATGTTCGGATTTCGCTAGAAGACCACACATTAAAACAGGAGCCCTGGGAAGGCTTTGCCTGGATGGGGCAGCACCCAAGGTATGATCACGCTTTTATATGCCCACCTTAGTGCAGAGAATGGGGAAGACTGACATATACAGATCAATGGGAGATGGACCTCGGGGAGGTCTGGGAGGGAGTTGAGTGGCAGGAGATATGGGAGGCGAATGCCAGATTTCAATATGTGTCACTCTCCAGGAGCAAGCATGGAAAACCATGCTTAGGTGGTATACCACGCCAGTAAAACGATATAGAATGCACAAAATGGACACTGATGACTGTTGGAGGGGTTGCGGAGCCTGAGGAACATACATCCACATGTGGTGGGACTGCCTGAAGTTATGTAGCTTCTGGAGGTCCGTGGAGGATCTTTTGAAACAGACGTTTTACCGGCCCCTGGGCATGGACCCATGGATCTACCTGTTAAATAGGTCACTGGACGGATGGACTAGGAGAGAACAGAAATTAGTACATAAGATAACTCTGAGCGCACGCCGTGCAATAGCGAACGCATGGCTCTCACCAGAGGGCCCAAAATTCCTAGGGGTAATATCTAGGATCAGAGAATGTAGAATTATGGACGACTTGACAGCGAGGATAAGAGGGATGACAGCGGCATTTCAATAAATTTGGGAACCATGGGACAACAGTTTAGTGGGTTCGAGCGGAGACTGATAGGGCCTGTTTTTTTGGGGGCGGTCATACCCGAATTAGAAAAGACCCCTCCTTAAGAGGGACACAATTATCGCGCTGTCATTGCGGGGGTCTCCACCCGCCCCCCCAGTCCCCCTCCTTTCTCACCTCTTTGCTCACCCTTTCTTGGCCATATATCTTCTTTCTCTTTTTCTTAGAATTTCATACCTTTCCTGTCTCATCTGTTTTTGTTCTTTTTTTTTCCTTATTGGTCCTTCCCCTGGTTTTCCTCGGGAATGAGGCCTTTTTTCTTTTTCCAGGCATGATCATACTGTCGGTGGAACAAGGTAGCACATGAGTAAGATTAGTTATTGAATAGAATGGGCTACTTATATTGCCTAAATGCCTGTCCTTGTTTAAAATAAAAACCCTCAGTAGACGGCAGGTGCCAATGGTTTTTAAGGAATGGGCATGTATTGTATTTGTTGAACTGCATTATGTTTCCAAGAATTGTATTCAAGTTGGCTTCTGTGTAAGCCCAAAAGTGGATGTACACTTGCTATGTCTATTGAGTGAAAAATAAAGAATTTACAAAAAAAAAAGATAAAATATATGGGATTTTAGAGTGCATATGTTTTTTCCGTAGCATATTAGCTAGTAATTTGCTTGCCCTGTTGCCTTGGGCATATTGTGTCATTTTACATTTTTGTAGTGTGTATACTGTTTTTTGGAATTGGAGATCATTGATTTTTGTCGTTATTGTCTGTATCTCTTTTAGGAGGTGCTGTTGATTTGTTTGGTAATAGGTTTGTGTCGTATCTCTTAGTTGCTTAAGGTGGCTCATAAGAGTGGCCCGGCGTTGTCTATTTAGATGAGATGCTCTGCTTATCAGTAGGCCTCTAATGACCGGTTTGTGCGCTTGCCATAATATCGGGGGTGACACTTGCGGGGTGTCGTTAGTGGCAAAATAGTTTTTCATCTCTTGGTCTATGTGTTCGGAGAAACTTTGGTCATAAAGAAGTGAGTTGTTCAATCTCCAGGATCCCTTGCCTTTGTATGTGAATGCGTCTGTAAGTGTCAGGATGACTGGTGCATGGTCTGACCAGGTGATGTCCCTGTGAGTGCATTGGTGGGTTTGAGGGAGTCCTGCTGATGTTGTGAAAAAATAGTAAATTCTTGAATGTGTTTTGTGGACAGGGGAGTAGTATGTGTAATCTTTATCTCTTGGGTTTTGAGTGCGCCATATGTCGTATAGGTTAAACTGTAATAGGAGTTTGTTAAGGAGAGCACAAGCTGTTTGAAGTTTTTTAAATCGAGATGTGTTAGGGTCGAGTGTGGTGTCTAATTCTGGTTCAAGGATATGGTTTACATCGCCACAGCAGATCAGAAGGCCTTGCTGTAAGTTGCTAGTTTTGGTCAGTAAGTGTTGCAGGAATTGCCTTGGGTTATCATTAGGTGCACACATATTGACTATAGTGTATGTCACGTTATTGAGGTTGCATATGAGGATTACGCATCGTCCTTTGCTATCTGTTGTGAGTCTAATTAGTTCAAATGCCACAGATTTATGTATTAGGATGCTAACACCACTCGACTTGTGAGCATGCATGGAGTGGTACTGGTGTGGGTATGTTTGCAGACCTAGAGAGGGTTGTTTCGAGCGTTGAAAATGAGTTTCTTGGAGACACACCACAGCCGCGTCTAGCTTTTTGACTTCTGTCAGGAGTAAGTGACGTTTCTGGGGGGAGTTTAGTCCCCTAACATTGTGTGAATATATTTTCATTACCTATGTTAAGTGAGGGAGAGACTGTGCGTTGTGTATAGCGTAGTCTGATATCCTGATACTCAATCTGATTTTTAATAGTTAGTAGGGCACAATAGCGTTAGAAATAGATATTTGTATTCCTAATGCTATTGAATTCCTTTAAGACAAAGTCCCCTTTAAGTCATATCATTGGGAACATGTCTCTAGGTCAGCCATATTCCAAAGCACATTTGCTGTTATTTTCCACTATAAGTAAAGTGGAATATATGAGCACTCTATATCTGCCCTTCCTCATAATGGCGGACAGGGCATCGCTAGACGTGCCAGCTCTATGGTGCCATCACGCGCCGCTCTAGCCCGCCCTCTTCGTCTCGGTGGTTTGGCCGCTTTCTCTCTGGTCCTGCATTCTGGGGCAGGGACCTGCAGCTAAGGCGGAGGGGGCGTGGTCTGTCGGGCTGGGCGGGGCCGTGCGCTGTTCACTCATCCTCACTCAAGTCATTTCTTGTGTATCCACTTCCACGCATCCTCTGCCACATAAAGCCTTGGAGGAGCCCAGAGGCCCGGCCATGGACACACAGAAAGTAAGCCATTCACTGTCTGTCTGTACTCTGTCACTGGCTCTCACATGTCTCCTTGCTGCAGCCGGTGTAACTGAGTGCTTATAAATAGCAGCAGCCTTCCCATTCACTGACTGCTGGCATACCCAGCATACCTCTAACACAGGGAGATGGGGGCCTACATGATAACAGTGTGGGGATTAACCAGGGGAAATCAGCTCTGCATAAATAGCACAGCTTGGGTTAACCCACTAAGTGGAGGAGGCATGGCTTTATTTAAAGGATAATCAGAAGCAGGAGGGCGAGTAAAGGGTTAATGGCATTGGGAGGGGATGGATGAGGTCCCCATGCAGCCCTGGGCCATGTATTTCTTATAAATTTAGTGTGGTGCAAAGTGCTAAATGTAGAGCAGTCTCCATGGAAACCGATGGAATGCACCCATTGACTGTTCCACTTTTTAGAACTTTGCCCTAGAGTGTCTGTGTCCCAATGTTGCCTGGGGATGGATGTGCTGCTGCTGTTAGATCACCATGGGCGTGGAGGGGATGTGCTTTTTTTTTTTTTTTTTTTTCGAACAGATTTTCTCAGTGTCCTGTCTGTCTGTGTGTTTGCTTCCTCTCTCTTTTATAGTGTATTGTTTGCTTTGTCCCCTGCTCCACACCCCTTTCTTGCACTTGCCTCGTTGCACTAATTGTTTCGTGGCTATATGGCATCCCACAGAGCTGAGGCAGGTGTTTTTTTTTTTTTGAAAACTGCTAAATTATCATGATGCATTGGGGTGTGCAAAACAATTTAGGGAGCACAAATCTGCATTCTGAGCCGTAAGGATGGTTTGAGAAAGTGTGCTCCTTTTTAAATCTTTCTAGGCTACATAGTTTCTGATTTGTTACTTACGGTAAATGATCAATTTCAAAATCTATGCCACTGGAAAACTCAGCTGTGTTAATGCTCCCAAGTCAGCATCCCCTCCTCCGTCTTTTCTTGTCCTGATGGGATTGCACACTGTGTAGCAGGTGGAGATGTGTAAACCAGCTAAATAATTTAAAAGAGGAACCAGAATATTTGTGCGAAACACAGTGGATTGCACAATGACAGTCAGCTTAATTCTGAAGTAACATTTGGCAAAGTCAGAATGCCATTATCAGACAGAATCACATTCTGATGTTGCTTTTGTAGCAGCCTCAATCTCACTGTAATACAAAAAAAGTATTTATTATAGCTTTCGTCTTGCTAGGGAATAAAAGAATGCATGTTTTGGATAAATAGCTGGATTTAAATAACTTGTGTCCTTCTGCAAAATAAGACATTGCAAGGACAATAATGCTGCATAGCAACGGACATCATATGACATGCCCCTGGGATGGAAATGAAGGCCACATAAGTATTTAGTCCATGCATCTCTTGTGCTACTTATAAATAGTTATTCCTATCGTCTTTTGTTACCATTTACGCCGGCCTGTATAGCAGAAGTCCTTTTTATTCACAGAACCATGGTATTTTTGTAACTTTTATACCATTGGAATACAAAATGTATTGTTCCAAATGTACAAAATGTTTTTAACAATGTGTCAGTCACACAGAAAATATGTCATGCAAAGAGAGAGATGTATAAAAGTGTTACATATGCACAATAACCCTAGAAACCATTTGGATTAGCAGAAACATTCCAAAATAAATTCTCTATTAGAACATTGCTGAACTATTTTCCTATTGCCTATGTAGGTATATGTGTACACACACACACACACACACACACACACACACACACACACACACACACACACACACACACAAAACAAAATATGACAGCTGAGCTCTGTCTTTAGTCCATCTAAGGCTTTACCATAAAACAAAGTAGTCCCTACTTTGTCTTATGGTTTCTTTGGATTGTGTTAAAATTCCAACCCAGACTTGATCAGTATTTCAGAAATCTTTATGAAATACTAAAATGTGACAGATCCACTTTAAGGAGGGAAGAGGGGTGCTAAGGTAGTGCAGAATGTTGTAGTAGTTATGGTGCTTGAAGTGTTGCAGCTGTTATTTAGTAGCCCTGTTTATTTGTAATTTTTTGCAATTTTAAATCGATACTATAGTGCCAGGAATGCAAAACCGTATTTCTGGCACTATTGCTCCCCATGCCTACACCCTACCTGATAGACAGCCACTGAGCGCAAACTTAGAGGTGTAATGTAAACTGCACTGTTGAACATTGCAGCACTAGGTGCAAAAGGGTCACAGCACCCAGACCACATCAATGAGCCGAAGTGATTTGGGTGCCTACAGTGCCCCTTTTAATATATATATAATTGCCAGGGGTCCCTGTAATTAAACAAATGCTGATCGACAGAAACCCCAGATGGAGTAGATCACTGAGAGGAATATCTTCATTGAATAATTATTTACAAACTTTATTTTGTTTACAAATGCATTAAAAACAAGCATAATGTGAAAAAGTGCTTGAACAGTACAAATACATTCTAATAAATGGGGGCTGTTAATGTGATATAAGTTTAAACACCGAAAGTTACTACGTTGTAACCATATTCTAATGGCTGCAAGCCTGTGTTTGACAATTTTTTTTTGTCATGCGTGGAAAAATAGAAAGTAGTCATTATTTAATCTTATGGTTCAACACACTCTTTATGAGCATTTTATTGTTTCACTTTAGTCAAGAGAGGGTTATTTCCCTCGTTGAGGAATGTGACACACCATTTTAGGGAGTGTGATTCTTGTTTAACTTTTTGTACATTTTGAAAACACCTCGTCTTGAATACTTGTAAGAGGTTATTCTGTCTCATGCTGGCAAATCCTTCATTTACTGTCACCGCCTCAAATGATGACAGTTCTTTAACTAGGTCAAGGGTTCAGGTGTAACCACCAGCATATCCAGTTTATACAAATTTATCCCAGTTAAATGTAGTAATGAAGCCAAAATAATTTATTATGAAGGGTACAATGGCTTTTTTCAGAAATACAGTTTAATCAAAATAATGCTGCATGTATGTTTTAAAGTTGAACCCCTGCCTAACACAATTTCTAAAGCTAGCAACAGTGCCGGACTTGGGATACAAAGCAGCCCTGGAAAAAACAATAAATGCCAGCCCCATAAGTCATTGCGCCATTCATTATCACATGTAATTTGTAAGGCTATGTCTTGCGCATATATATATATATATATATATATATATATATAATATGACAAAAACTCAATAGCTTGCCATTCCGTACATCCCCACTCAGGTCTCAAAATAGTTTTTTCTCACTTGTCCCATTACAGAGAGAACATATCTGAAGCATATCAGACTGGTCCCAGCCGTATGGGCAGTCCAGATCCGAAATGCCAGCAAATTCACTCTGCACGAGAGGGACAGTGAGGCACAGTGAGGGGTCCACGTCTGGATTACCCTTTTAACTTGGGGTGAGCCATATACAACAGCTTTGAAACACAACTTAGGAAAAGATGCAAAGCCAGTAACCAATCTCATGCTGATGATTTGCATTACCAATGAAACAGCTGTCCATGAGTGGTTCACTGGCTTTGCATCTTTTCCTAAGTTGTGTTTCAAAGCTGTTGTATACAGCAAACACAGGCTCAAAGGAATCCATGTTTAAAATGGAATGAGGCAAAAATGTGATTCTTTGAACTTATTTGCATATGCCCACCCAGAATCCTTTGTGGCAGTAACATCACTGCAGATTTGGGATTTCTCTGTGGGAAAAGCAAGTCTTATGGCTTTACTGATGTGCAGATTTTTGTTTAACATTGTATTAACTATCCACAGACTTCAGGTGGATGGGGGTTTTCAATCTTTCAATCACAATTGTTTCCCCACCATAACCTTTTTGGTATATATATAAAAAAAAAAAAAATATATATATATATATAATTTTTCTAATATAAAATATTGGTTCTTTTAGAGGAAAACATTTAATTATACAGTAAGCATGATCACTGACACACACATGCTCCCTACAGAAAAGCTCACTGACACAAACATGCTCACTAAAGAAAAGCTAATTGACACACATATGTTCCCTAAAGAATAGCTCACTGGCACACAAATGCTCACTGACACACACATGCTTCCTACAGAAAAGCTCACTCACACACACACACACACACACATATGTTTCCACCAGGCAAGCTCACTGAAACACACATGCTCACTGACACACACTCACTAGCAGCCACACACACACTCATTCACTAGCAGCCACACACACACTCATTCACTAGCAGCCACACACACAGGCTCTCTCATTAGCAGGTACACACACAGGCTCTCTCATTAGCAGGTACACACACAGGCTCTCTCATTAGCAGGTACACACACAGGCTCTCTCATTAGCAGGTACACACACAAGCTCACTCATTAGCAGGCACACACACAAGCTCACTCACTAACACAATCACTGTCTTGGCTGAAGCTTACCAGGCACTGGTAGGTGAAGTCGTCATTTTGTGGCCGCCTCCTTCCAGCGAGGTCAGCAACGTGCCTGGGGGCGCAGCTTGCATGTGGCGGGGCATGCAGCCGCAATTGATATACATTGTGAAGGGAGACTGACAGATCTTAGTCTGGCCGCCAGCAGCCTAATTGCGCCCGGACCAGCACCCAGCTCCTCCCCATTTAATCCCTTCGGACTGACACAGGCTGGCACTGTTCGAGGGGAAAATACTTAAATAGCATTATCCTGATGATCAGAACTGTTTGATCAGCCCCAGGTGCCGCGACCCACTGGGAAATTTCCCGGTATCCCAGTGGGTCAGTCCGGCTTTGGCTAGCAACAAACTTTTTTTGTTTTTTTGCATGATTACATGTATGTCCTTGAATATGTTTTGATAAATGTGATATTCTATAAATAAATACTGTACTACAAAATCATAGTGATAGTCATGTAAGACAGTGTTTCTTCAACTTTTACTAAGAAATACCCCTGCAAGTAATATCTAGTGATTTAAATTCCAAATGAAATGTGTAGACACTGATATTTAAGTTAATCCCATTTTGAAGGACAAGCCTGAATAAATGTAGGAACAAATATATATATTTTTTTATAAATATGACATAATGTGAATATTATGTATATAAGCCGAAGTATATGAACTATTAATCTGAACTATGAAAGTCACAAAGTGAAAATATTACATACGTTATCGTTGCACACAGAGAACACACAAACTTATAGCTTTGGGGCAATTATATAAGACCAAATCAGAAAACAGAACCTTATTTTTTTTTTTTTTTTACATTCTTTATTTTGTCATTGATGTCAGTGCAATACAAGGAACATTTTGCGAACTTGAAACAATATGTGGTAAACTTTTCATTGATAACATGCAATGTTTAAGGGTGCTGTACTAAACATATAATGCAGTCTAACATCAACATTTTTTATTATAGTAAGGTGTGTGGGCTTTATAACCCAAGGTCTTGGTATCATAGCCCTCATTAGGAGCCGTCTACCATTGCATGTTGGGTGCCTTCAGAGGCGCCATTGAGGAATAAGTGTGTGTTTTTGTGCGTTGGGTGATGCCCGTCGTCTCCCCATAGGCCCATGGAGAACCTTATTTTTTATGTATGTAAAAATAAAACCAATCTTCAATTTGTTTGATAGTTGGCATTCCTGCTCAGTTAATGGATTCCTTGAACTTGCATCACCACTGCTCAAGAAGCACTATTATCCCTCAATTAGGGTCACAATTCAACAACAAAATGTTTGCTGCAAAACTGAAAGTGCTTCAAGTTGAGTTGGGTTTTTTGTTGTTTTTTTTTTTTTTGGATCAACAGTAAAAAAGGATGTGAGAGGCTGAACTTGATGGATACTTGTCTCTTTTTTCAGCATTGTAACTATGAAACTGTCACCAAGCACCAGTGTGGTGATGTGGATACCATCTGCAGTAAACCCTCCTTCTTCTGTTAGAATTTGACATTTTTGAGGGACTTCAGTATTGACTACTGCAAAAAAATGTTTAATTGACTCAATTTTCTATAGATTTTCCCAATGCTTGCCTACATTTTTGGTTATTACTTACTGTATTTCCGACATCTTGAGCTCAATGTGTGCCTTTTATATGTAAATACTGGCTGACAGGCAGAAAGCTGAAAACTTAAAGGTACACTCCAGGCACCCAGACCCCTTCTGCCCATTGGAGTGGTCTGGGTGCCAACTCCCACTACCCTTAACCCTGCAAGTGTAATTATTGCAGTTTTCATAAACTGCAATATTTACCTTGCAGAGTTAACTCCTCCTGTAGTGACTATCTACTAGACAGCCACTAGAGGGCACTTCCATGTTTATAGCACACGAAAAGTGTGCTATAGCATTTCTGGACGTCCTCAAGTTATGTGAGAGGACCTCCAGCGTCGCTGAAATCCCCACAGGAAAGCATTTTTCAGTGCTTTCCTATGCGGAGGTCTAATGCATGTGTGCGGCATTGCCACGCATGCGCATTAGGTCTCCCCCACCGGCGGCTGCGCATGCTCAATAGTCAAGGAGCGTGGGCGGACCCTGAACCAGCACCGAGGGACATCGGTGCTGGATACAGGTAAGTCACTGAAGGGGTTTTAATCCCTTCAGCAATATGGGATGGGGGGGTGGGAGGGAGAGGGGACCTGCAGTGCCAGGAAAACGGTTTGTTTTCCTGCCACTGGAGAGTCCCTTTAATGTCGCATATAAAACCAGCCAAGGTCACTGTGAGGCTGGCTTCACCCACAAACTCGTCCTTCCCAACCTCTCAGGATCTAATGTGTGGGCGGCCTCAGAAAATGACATCATTGCGCCAGAGACCACCAGGTAGAGTTTCAAATGGGACAATGCACGCATCTGTTACCCCAGACTTGAAGAGGCTGTCCAATTTGGCAACTTCAGCAGTAATTAGAGATATTGTATAAGTTGTTCTGCAGCTTTGTGCTACAATGTAATTACGTGACCCACCATTGTGACATGCTCAAAGAACTAAACTGGCTGTCACTGGAATCCAGACGCACCCTTTATCTTTCCAGCCTTGTGTTTAAGAGTTTTTCTGGGAAGCTCCCGCCCTACCTGAGCAGAATGCTCTCCCTGGCTGTTCCCACCTCCTATAACCTCCGATCCAGTACCAGCACTTTATTTATTCTGCCTCAATACAAAATAAAGCAGCCCGATCCTCATTTTCCTACGAGCACCTCAATTATGGAATGACCTCCAGCACACTTTCAAATCTTCCCCAGGCCTAAAGTCCTTAAAGAGATCTCTCTCTACATATCTCAAAACAGAATGCACGTGTCATGGTTGATTATATATTTCCTACCTGTTCTATGTTAAATTTTGTATATATTGTTTTTGTATTTTATGGTACACTATTGTATCAATACAATGTTTTGTGGGCCCATGACATACTTGAAAATAAGAGAAATCTCAATGTAGCCTTCCTGGTAAAATATTTTATAAATAAGTTATTTATTTATTTATATATATATATATATATATATATATATATATATATTTGTGTTAGGTGCTTAAGATAGTACAGTGTGAAATACCATGAATAAGCGTAGGATGATAAAAGGAGCAAGTCGGTTGTGGTGTGCCGAAACCGACGATGAGGTAGGCCTGAGAAAGAAGAGGGCCCACCCAGGAAAAGAAATAGAAAGGAAAATAAATGTTAAAAGTGGTGTGGTGGGAGGGTCATTCAACGCTGACCTCGAACGGTAAGGAGCCAGGCAAGGGGAGTGCCTTAAGTAGGCTAGGGGTAGAAAACCAGCACCTCCCACAAATGCAGGCAAATTGCCTTAATACTTGTGTTAGGTGCTTAAGATAGTACAGTGTGAAATACCATGAATAAGCGTAGGATGATAAAAGGAGCAAGTCGGTTGTGGTGTGCCGAAACCGACGATGAGGTAGGCCTGAGAAAGAAGAGGGCAAAAATTAAGTAATCCAATTTATTAACAGACAACCAATACATATACATTTATCAACCAGACATGTTTATGAAAGCATCTCTTAACTCTTGTACTGGGTTCGGTATGTACCGTGAGTAAGCGGATGACTTCCAGCGCCCCAGTGTTTTGATAACATGAGTTGGGACGTTGAAACTGGAGGCTGTGGACGCGGCTCCTATACGAAAGGAGTGTCCTGAGTAATTGTTTGCGTTGAGGCCCAGTTGTGTGAGCAAGGACCTGACGTAGGTCATGAAGGTTGTAGTGGTGAGTACTGCACCTTGTAGTTGTAATAACGGTTGCGAGGGCAGTAAGTGATGGTGCTGTATGTAGGCATCAAGAACTTTTACGGGACACCATCTGTTGTGCGTGGGGTAGTACGGAATGTTTACAGGTATGTGCTGGCTGGTTTTGGAGTGAGGTAAAGACAGGATGTAATGATCCATATGTTTTGTCAAGTGGGAATAGAGGAGGAATGGAGTGGTTTGGGTCGTGGAGGTCGTAGTGAATTCTCTGGGTCGTAGAAATCCATAGAAAGCAATGTATATTGCTGTTTTGATGATAGAATTCGTATTAGTGTCAAACGGTTTCAGGTCGAGTAGGTTAGATAAAGCTTTGAAGATATGGTTATCTATGGGTAGCCTCTGGGCCAAATGTGTGGGTTCTGATTTTTTGAATACCTCTGAGTATGGTCTTAATTTGGTGAGAGGCCATGAAACTGTTGTTATTTGGGTGTAAGATGAGCATGTGGTGTTGAATGCCAGTGAGATAGAGTTTGATGGTGTTATATGACAATTTGAGTTTAAGGTGGCAAAAGGAAGCAAACCCCAAAAAAGATGTCATAACAAACGGTTGTATGATGTTATGTTCCAGAAGGAATCGTTTGAATAGTGTGAAAGCCCTGTTGTATGTTTTGTTTGTCTCAGTTGAGACTTTCACACAATACAATGTCCTGCTATGCTGCATGATGACGTCTAGTCCAGTATGAGTTGTTGAAATGTTGGAGTGATGGTGGCTGTGGGTGCTGCTGACGGGAGTGCTTGATGAAACTCCTGAAATTTAAAGCGAGACAAACTGTCAGCAGCTGTGTTGTATACACCTGGCACATGGAAACAACATAGGAAGAAATTATGACAAGCTGCCAACCAAGTGAGTTTCCTCAGAAATCTCATAATCGTAAGAGATTTGGAACGACCTTTGTTGATGATGTGACAGGTCGCCTGGTTGTCTGAGTAACAACGCACTGGCGTATTAGCCCATAAATGACCCCACGCTACGGCAGCCGCCACTATGGGGTAGATCTCAAAAAGAGCTGAGGTAGTGGAAAAACCTTCCAAATCCAGAACTGCTGAAGGCCAGCTGCCCCAAAGCCATTCGTTCCCAAAAATTGCTGCAAAACCAGTGGTAGATGCCGCATCTGACCAAATGGTAGGAGATGATTCAGTCAATTGAGGGAGGAACATACTTTTACCATTCCAAGTGGTTAAAAACCTCTTCCACATGTTTAGATCTGCCGTAGCTTGGGCATCTAAGGACAACCTGTGCGTGTCATGTAGAAAAAGTGGGAAAAGATGCAATAGTCGTGAAATAAAGGAGCGGCCTTGAGGTATGATGCGCATTGCAAAATTTAGTGACCCCAGCAGGGACTGTAGTTCTTTGCGGTTGCAAGTGCCGAGCTGTAGGTAGTTGTTTATGTAAGTGAGAATATTGTCTATCTTTTCGTAAGGTAGGCTTGCTTGCATTGTGGCAGAGTCTAACTGGATACCCAGAAAAGTGATAACTGTGTCTGGCCCTTCTGTTTTCTTTGGGGAGATGGGTACACCTAGTTGCTCAAACAGCTTAGTGGTAGCTTTGAGGCTAGTGGGAGGTGCAGTATTCTCCTCGACCAGTAGGAAATCGTCCAAGTAATGTAATACTGTAGGGCATCCGGCTATGTTCAATAGTAACCAGCATAGTGCTTCGGCAAATGTGTCGAAAATAGCTGGGCTACTTTTGGACCCAAAAGTTAACCGGGAGAAAAAATAGTAGTTCTCGGACCACTTGATGCCATGCAGGTGCCACAGTGTGGGGTGGATAGGGAGTAATTTGAAGGCGTTAGTAATGTCGGTCTTACTGAGCCAGGCTCCCACCCCTGCTTGTATGATGGCTGTAATGGCGTGATCTATGGTGGTGTATTGCAGAGAGAATTCCTCAGAGGGTATGAGGGAATTAAGACTGGGGTTGGCCGATGAGTGGGGAGCCGATAAGTCAATGATGAGTCTCTGTTTTTGGGAAGATTTCCCTGTGACAATACCAATAGGGTTGGTGCGCCATTCTGTGAATGGGGGAGTTCTAAAAGGCCCCAATACAAAGCCCTCCTCCACTTCTTGGTTTATGAGGGTGTCAACCACTGTGGGGTTGTGTTGGGCGGATTGTAGGTTTGGGCATTCCAGAGTGCCAGCTGGTATGTGTAGGATACCTGTGTGGAAGCCTTCTGTTAAACCAGAAATAAGAAAATCTACCAGGTGTCTAGATGGGTGCTGAGACATCAATGCTGTGAATACTGGCATATTAATGGACGTAAGGTAAGGCTTAGAATACATTTTATTTGGACACATGGTCTTAGCATGTGCCCTAAAACATTTTGAACAGACATGCAATAGTCTACATCCACTGTAATTACAAGACCCAACATTGAAATTATTACATATCTGGGACTTGCCCAGAAACTTGATTGGGCGTCCCAATTTGTCTTTGGATAGTTTCCCTGGATCCCCAGAGGAACTAGTTCCTTGTGTGGAGGCATGTCCGTCTGCCGTGTTGGGACAAAAATTAGTAGTATGGGCTGTGGAGGAGCAGTATGCACAAGCTGGTGTTCTTAGACCTGCAAAGTGTCTGCAAAATAAGACGGTATCAATCCTTCCCCAGTTGGATCGTGTACCGTACTGGGAGAAGGCTCCAGCCACTTTTGCAGAAAAAGACCTATGGTAGTCATAGAATGCTGAACCACCATATTTGTTGCCCAGGTCTACCAGCTTGTGCATATAGAGATCAAACTCCTCTCTTCTGTTGGGATAAACCGCACAGACGACATCCCTGTAAATACCAAACGCTAGTACAAATTCAGGGATAGTCAGTTTCCTGTTCAGGCGGGCATCCCTAGATCTGACAATAACAGAAACATCATCATAAGCATACGTCTTATGTTCCACAATGTCCTGGGAGGCAATCAACAGGGAAGCCAGGTTGACGTCTTTACCTTCCAGGATATCCCTTTTGATATGCTCAGGTATCATGTGGGCCGGGCTAACTTCCTGGTCATCCAGGGGGCTGGCTGGAGCGACTAATGGCAAGGCTGGTGTTTGTACCGCAGCCGCGGGTGGCCCTGCTAGAGTGAGGGCCGTGGTGACCGACTCAAGTTTCTCCAGCCTGGAGTTGACCTTGCCCATGGATGCCATGAGTGAGGATAACATGGCATGTATGTCCCCTGGGTTGGACTGGCTAGATCCTTCCCCGGCTTCCATGTTATTGGTTGATGTGCGTAGCAGTTTGAAAAGTTCTGCCTTCCTTGCTGTAGCGGGGTAGGGGATTTGTCGTCTCCTTAATTCCGTGGTTATGCGCGGGATTGTCCAGGATCTAATTGATGCTGGACTAGCTAGCTCTCCTCCTTGTGTGGGAGTGACAGCTCTAGCCGGGGTGCTAGGCAGGGAGAAATCCTCTACCCCTTCCTGAGACATACTATAAATAAAACAATAATTAGTATATAGAACCACCAAATTGTACTGGCAGGCTAGCTAGGCCGGATGGCGAAAGTATTATGCTTGTTTGGTGACAGGTGAGGCCCTACTAATTGCCAAGCGGCTTGAGAGGCTCTATCTATGCGTTGGCGCGAGGGGTTATTGAGGCCACTTGACGTAGTGGCAGGAGTTTTAGGCCTCTCGGTGACTGTACGACAGAAAACAGGGGAAGGGAGTGACAGGTGAGGCCCTCTCTTTGCAACATGCGAGGCGGCTAGCTAACGTGTGGCCCGATGGGTGTTTGCCTCCGAAACGTTTGAGGCGGGGTGTTGGCCTCGCGGGACCACTAACTAATGGCGACAGCCAAGATTGGGAATCCTGTGACCCTATTGCCAGTACTCTAAACTAGGGGGATGAAATGAAATGTATGGTAGAATACCATATGAGCAGGTGTACGTACCTGGTAGTATGATAAATCACAGGAATAAACCATGTGGAGAAATTATATAAGCTCGACAGCCTAAAAATGGGTAAAAGAGAGTAGTACGATGAGTGTGGGGTGTAAAAAGAACCAGACTTATAGTCTGTAGCAGCAATGTATAAAATTATGTTGATACCATGGGAATAGCTATGAGTGGCTCAGAAATGTTTGCATGCTTGAATAAGACATCTGAGGGAGGCCGTGGCCTATGTACAAACAATCTATGTGTTACGTGATAATGGTGTGTAAAGGAAAACATGAAACGTAGGTTATATACATATGTATATGACTGTGTAGGGGACGTATGATTGGTTGGATCAGTACGTGTGATTCAACTCAAGTATGCATGCAAAAGGATTTAAGCCTTATGTGTCATCATCATGATAGAGAAATGAGGCCTGTAATGTAGGCTGAGTAAATTGAAATGAAATGGATAGTTATAAAACTCCTGGCGTGGGAGTTCAATGATCTGTACCGAAATGTAACTGGTTTTATAGAAAGGGACATGGATGAGGTCATGGCCTAATTAACACAGCGTTATGTATGATATGTAGCAGAAAGACCAAAGGCAGGGATACCCCAAAATGATTTAACATGATGTAAAGTGATGTATATCTATATGATATGTATGTATAGCAAAGACGTATCAACCCGAGAATTATTGCTTAAATGAACCTATCCTTGTATATGTTGTATTAATAACCCAGAAATGAGGCTTGTAACATAGGCTGAGTCCATTCGTATAAATGGATAAGTAATGCAGACCCCTGAAAGCGTGGGAGTCAAATGGTATACACAGAGAAGTGGACTTGATTTGTGGACGTAATACAATACTGACAATTTGTTAAAAGTAATCAACAATAATCTATTTAAGCAAGCAATACTTTAACCGAATGTTATATACACATGAAATGGTGAATATAATTCATGAAAGGATTATACGTGAACACACAGAACAGCCGAAAGCAAATGTGAGGGGAACACAGAAGTTAGAATAGTTTAACCGTATGATTTATGCGAACCAAAGCGTGTATGAGCGTATGTAAAATTTGCCGAACGGCAAAACAACCGAATGAACATTCGTTTAAATAACATGAATAGGATATGCGAAATGACTATTGAACGATTTAAAACATGTTCAGCCGAATGACCGTACGAATGAAAAGCCCGCGAATGGCTTGAAACATTCGTGTCATAACCAGGGAAAAGCCGTAAAGCGAGGACCCGTGCTGTACCGTACGCCGTGGGAACCAGTCCTGGCGTGACAGGAAGGTCTGACTTACGGTTTAGGAGTCCCTGGGACGCGATCTACAACGGAGAACGGAGTCAGAAGAAGCTGGACGGGCGGAAAGGCCTGAACAGGATTCCTGGACACAGCTTAACGTGGTGAAACCTCCTGGATACTGAAACCAAGATGGCGTCTGAGAGAACCCGGAAGTGGATCCTCATTCAACGCTGACCTCGAACGGTAAGGAGCCAGGCAAGGGGAGTGCCTTAAGTAGGCTAGGGGTAGAAAACCAGCACCTCCCACAAATGCAGGCAAATTGCCTTAATACATATATATATCTCAAAACAGGATATCACTCTCTGGACTTTTCAAAATGTAAAATATAACATTTATTGTCATTATCTAATCAACGTTTCCGATCGATCACCGCAAGCTTGAGGGGATCGAGCTGAAACATTACATTTTCTTTTTTTTTTTTTTTTGGTAATGACAATAAATGTTATGTTTTACATTTTGAAAAGTCCAGAGAGTGCTATCCTGTTTTGGTTTTTGTATTTTTGCCTGACAAGCACCGGGCAAGGAATTTCAATTTATGGAGTGCAATTTTATTCCAAACAGTCAAATCTTTACTTTAACTGTAATGCCAGCCTAGTAAATCACAACAGTTTGTTTGATATTAACTAGCTTTCATGCAAACACAGGCAGTCTTTTACTAGATTCAGTTACTCACTTTCTCAGTCTTTTTAACTGGACTGATCTTTTAAAAGTGGTGTGTATTTGTGTTTAATAGAAGTATATACATACACACTCACTTTTTTTATATATATATATATAATATATATATATATATATATGTTCCAAAAACTACTGCTTGAATAGTTGCAAGCTCCAGAATAACTCTGAACATACACCCTTTACGTGCAGACAGCTGTTATATAAGCTGTTACTGCATATTGGTGATCTCACCTTTTATATTAAAATGTTGAGATGCCATAGTCTGAAATAATAAAATCGCTTCACTAACTCATTAAAGGAACTCTGCAAACAGAGTGTTAGCTTTTTGCTTTCTTATAAAAATGCTGATTTCAAGAGTGATCACCACTTTAACAATGCTCCAAAATTGAATTCTCCGGAATGTCATAATTCACTTGAATAGTTCCCCAGCACCGAGCGGATGTGAGGCTTCTCATAGAATAGCATTAGTTTCTGTACTTATTTATGAGAAGCACTCCAGGTGTTGCTATGCATGCTCCCTGCCTTCCACTGATTCTGTATGAGAAGCACTTGAGTGGTTGGGAGAATATTACTAGTGATGAAATTCTGTGTGCAGATTAGAGCTGTGGTGAAGGGGCCCTGTCAATCAATTCTACAATTATATGCAAAGAATGAGCCAGTGAAAGTAGTGTGCACTCCTCGTATATAACGTTTTAAAGGAAGGGATAACATAACTTATAATTGCTATTTTTTGTTTGTTTTATCTCTGCTCTTATTTGTTCTTAATTCCATATGTTTTTCATCTTGTCCGTTTCATAATCTGCACTGTAGCTGAAGGCAGAGGAAATAGAAATAGATCCTTACTCCCCTACAATCTTTAATGTTTAAATGCCACCACCACTTCACAGCAGCTGTCCTGTGGAATAGTATTGCCTGTTTAATTATATACAGTAGGAAGTCCTTGAGTACTGATCACTGCCTCTTTGGGGATTATGGTTTTAAGTCGTACAGTGAAACACATTCTCCTAACTAGAGCACTATCTGACGCTGCGGAAACATATATGCATAGACAGGTCTTTTTTACTTTAAGTAAACAAAGTTACAGGATGTGGCTTTTTGATTGTCTGAGAGAACTGTCTAAAGTCTATATATATATTATTAAAGTAAAATTGACTCAAAGAGAAGGTAATAATGTAGGTTTTTTTTACTTTTATTTTGTTTAAATTGTTTCGATTTAGAAACATAGAATGTAATGGGAGATAAGAACCGTTTGGCCCATATAGTCTGCCCAATTTTTATAAATACTATTTTAATCCCTTTAGTCCCTTGCCTTGTCTTAAGTCTATGATATCCTTATGCCTATCCCACGCATGCTTAAACTCCCTCACTGTGTTAACCTCTACCACTTCAGCTGGAAGACTATTCCATGGTTCCGCTACCCTCTCTGTAAAGTAATACTTCCTGAAATTATTTTTAGACCTTTGTCCCTCTAATTTAAGACTGTCCTCTTGTTGTGGTAGTTTTTCTTCTTTTAAATATAGAAGAAAAACCACAACATGCTTACATGGCATTTTTGTTATTGATATGTAAGCACTGTTACAGAATACAATGCCTATTACCAGAAAATGCTTCTGTGTCAGTATTAAATATTTATGTAGTTGTAACAAACAAAACCTCTATAATAATGTTTAAGTTGAAAGAATCAAACGAAAGTGAACCACTCCCAAAGCCTCAGTCATCCAGAATGCAGAGCCTCCCATTGCAATTGGCGAGCAAGAATTTTACTCTTTGGAAATTAGAAGCGTTATAGTTAGGCAGTTGTCTTGCAACTACAATTGAAGAATCCAACTGGAAAATTGAAAAGTTTTCTGGATTTGTTTCTTTATGGACAATTCAAGTAATTCTACATATAGAGGACAAGTGTGAAAGAAATGTATGTTTGTTTTCGATTTATTTTTTCATAGCAGACTAAAACCACTCCATCTGATGCATGTAATACAGTTTGGACTAAAGAATAGGGAGATTTGATTCTCTGTTAATCCATTGCTATAGAATAGGCTACCTGGCTAAAAAAAAATAATAATTCCATTTCTGTTTAAGAAATTTGTGAACTCATTCTTTTAGAATCTCTTGAGTTCTTCCTATGGCCATAAGCAGTGGTGTAGATCCGCTCTTGAGTCCACACGCTGGGGACATTGAATCACGGAGTTCCAGTTTGAATTGCTTGTCTGATGGTGAATTTTTGTATGCATTTCTTAGTATGTTGCCACCGGAAAGAAATTGTGTAAATCAAAGTGGTTATAGTTAACTAATTAAGGCAATTTTCTTTGAGGGGTTAACCTTTGTGTGTGGTTTACCTCTCCTTGTGAAAAAAAAATTCTGTTAAATAATGGCACCATTGCTAATGCATATGATCAATTTGATCATATGTTTTTCTTAATGTATTCAGGGTGAGTAAAAATAAATAAAATAATATAAATATATATATATATTTTTATTTTATTTTTTATAGAAAGTTGAGCAGCACCTGCATATCTCAAGTTGGACTTTGGAAAGTCTTCCTTGGACTTGGGCACAGAAACTTGAGAAATCATGTTTTCAAAATTATCCCAGAGTTCCCAGCTTGACATGCAAATGAGCATTACATTGTGTTTCATGCTTCATACTGCATTTCTGCAGATAACTGTGGCATTGGACACTGTTTTAAATACAGTTTGTTTGTTTTGTTTTTAAAATGAAAGCACGGGTTCCAAAAGGGTCAGGGACCAGAAACCAGCAATGGAGCTGGCCCCAAACCTTCCAAGACCCAAAAGCCCAGCACCTGATGTGGTTATTACTGGGAGAAGCAAACAACCTTATTCCTATATACTGGAGGAAAACCGAGACACCCACAGTGACACAATGGATAGACAGGGTAGAAGTAATGATAGAAATGGAGAACCTACATTGGTCTACACTAGGCTGTCATGACAAATATCCAAACACATGGGAACCCTGGCTAACCCTGGCTAAACCTCCTCTTCTCCTCCCCGTCGGCTGAATGCGCACGCGCGGCAAGAGCTGTGCGTGCATTCAGCCGGTCACATAGGAAAGCATTCATAATGCTTTCCTATGGACGCTTGCGTGCTCTCACTGTGAAAAATCACAGTGAGAAGCACGCAAGCGCCTCTAGTGGCTGTCAATGAGACAGCCACTAGAGGATTAGGGGGAAGGCTTAACCCATTCATAAACATAGCAGTTTCTCTGAAACTGCTATGTTTATGAAAAAATGGGTTAACTCTAGCTGGACCTGGCACCTAGACCACTTCATTAAGCTGAAGTGGTCTGGGTGCCTAGAGTGGTCCTTTAAACACAGAAACCAGCAATGGACTGCAGTTTCAACCTTGTGGATCTCATCAGCATGGTGCTGGTTCTGGTCTGGAAGTTGAATCACTAAAAAAAACAGTGTTGTTTAAAACTGTGTCCATTGCTAAGTATATCTGTAGAAATGCAGCATGAAGTCTGAAACACAATGCCTGTTTGTGCTCATTTACATGTCAAGTTGGGAACTCTGGGTTAGTTGTGTAAACATTTATTTCTTGAGTTACTGTGCACAATTCCAGTTTCAGATATGCAAGTGATGCATAACAGTAAACTTTGTATTTGCACAGTGGAGAGTGTTTACTGTGTTCGGTGTCACCACAATCTTTTTTTTGTAGCTAGCTATAAGTACATAGGGTATTTATAAATATGTCTCTAGTCACTAGTAACCCAAAAGCACTTGCATACATAGTTGCTATAGACAGCAGCTTAGTTAGCATCACAGTTGGGCACATGCATGGTTGAACACTTGCACACAAAGACATTAAAACTAGTGTCTTAAAATGTTGAGGAAATCTGTGAGTATTCAGAAGCATAAATACATAAACTTACATAGGTTACCATTTATCAGAGAGGACTGTGCTGTTCCACATATCTATTTTTGTAGGTGCAAGAAGCTGTGATCTAGGCAGCACAACTTTCTATCCTATATCCTCTCGCTCTCTGTATCAGTTGGTGTGGGCCTTATGCTTTAAAGTGCTTGATGTGAAAACTATGATTGACTTCATTTCCCCTCTGTGACTCCTCATACCTCTCTATTTTTTCCCCCTCTTTAATATATTCCATTAAAAGAACAATGAATAGTATGGCAGCATCTATGACGTGGCAAAGAACCACAGAGAAGTCATGCCCTATACAATCAGTGAATTCCACTTAAGGAAATATTCATATACATAAAGCATTTTAATGTCTTACTATATTTCCTTTTGGGATTATCCATTTAACAAGGAGTTGTGAAAAAAATGACTAGGGGATTGCAAATTGTAGCTTAAAATAGCTGAGAAATAGAATGTTTCCAATTCAACAATTTGTGAACTAAAATTTTCCAAATTGCTAAAATTCATGGTTTTGACTTAACCTAGTTGTTTGACACCCGATAAACTAGAAGCTGAGTAATACAGAAACCTATTTGGATTCTGTACTATCTTTATGTAAATTTGGTAATTGCACCCCTGACATTGTACACAATTCCATGTATCTGTATAGCAACAAATCTGCCAAATTACTTTTAAGTACAATATTCAACTTGCCAGCTAGACGTCATTTAGTTATTGCCAGCAGAGAGAGAATAAAAGCCATGCGTAATTCAATTAACATGCTCGTCAGCCTTAAATCCTAAATCCTTCTTAACATCACCTTTATTAGTTCAGGGACTTTGTAGCTGCATTTTTAACCTCTGCAATGCCAGTGTCCTGGCATTACTCCTAATCTCATTGACTAGTAGACAAGGCATGCCTACTAGTAATTTCTTAAATGAGATTAGACTGATCTCTGGAAAAGGCTTTCTTTCATAGTTTAAAAGCATAGCTGCCTCATCTTTCATAATGTAATTTGTTGCTGTTGAGTGACTTCATATAATTTGTTGTATTAAATTTGGATTCTGATATCCCTTCTGGCCTTGTATGCTTGTTCCCCTTCCCTTATGAAATGGACACACATGCACTCAAAACATCATTATGCCTTGATTTTTCTACAGTCACAAAAAAATTGCTTTATTATGTACAAAAAATACCAAAGTAAAAACATACAAGAAAAATAAACACAATGACAGAAGCAAGAGCAAATACAATAATGTAATGGTAAAATACCAAAAAGATTCTTACAAGCCACAAGACAGAAACACGAGTTACCAAACCCCCCAACGTTTCGGCACCAACTGGCTGCCTTTATCAACGGTACCTGTGATAAAGGCAGCCAGTTCATGCTGAAACGTTGGGGGTTTGGTAACTCGTGTTTCTGTCTTGTGGCTTGTAAGAATCTTTTTGGTGTTTTATCATTTACATTATTGTATTTGCCCTTGCTTCTGTCATTGTGTTTATTTTTTTGTATGTTTTTACTTTGGTACTTTTTGTACATAATAAAGCTAGTTTTTCTGAGATTGTTATAGCGTGCATTCTATATTATATAGATATTTGGATATTTGAAACATTTGAGGGAGTGTTTGTATGGTTTGCACCTAGCTATTAATACAATTGTGTCTCTCCATGTGTTGGTTTGTGTTGATTTTTCTACAGTACACATATTACAATGGTTTTGGCACATAAAATACATGATCAGTCAATCTATATAAATTGCTACATACTCAAATATATTCACTACAAATAATGAATGCACAATCAACCAAGCACTCATTTTGTTTCTGCATGTGAGTGGCTTGTCCTGCTGAGTGATGGCACTTGAACAACATACTGTAAGCTGGGTATCTGTTTATATGTAGAGGTTGGTTTTGTGTATCACTTTACTTACTGTGGATTACATTTCTGCACTAGGGGAAAGTTAATGTGATGGAACTACTGAAACATGAGAACGTGGTTTCACTTGGTTAGTAATTTTCTTAGTGTATATGTTAAATAGACATGGTCAGAATTATCCAGGTAATGAAGTGTTTGCTGAATAATGTCCTTAAAGGGACACTATAGTCACCAAAAGAACTTTAGCTTAACAAAACAGTTTTCGTGTATAGATCATGCCCATTCATTCTCACTGCTCATTTCTTTGCCATCTAGGAGTTAACTTACTTTGTTCATACAGCCTTGTCACAGCTCCCTGCATGTGACTCGCACAGCCTTTCTAAACAATTCCTGTAAAGAGTCATCTGTTTACACTTCATTTGTTACACAGTCTGTTTAATTTAGAATTTCTCATCTTCTGGTCTATTAATCACATGCTATACCCTGCAGGTGCCTCCTATGCATGTGACCACAGTTCAATTTGCAGAGCAGGAGATAAAACCATATAATGCAAGTTACGTTTTATGCAAGTTAAGAGTGTTTATGTTAAAAAGCCTTCAGGGACAGGCAGTAGACCCCATAATGAATACATTCATGCAAAAACTACAGTTCTTGTGAAATGCTACCCTGTGTAAGCACTCCCCCTTTTCTCTGGAAGAGTCTATCAGAGACTTCTCATTGTGCACAAGCTCATGTTCGAGCTCATTTGATGTAAGGTCTACGGTGGAACTGGGGGGAGGGGATTCTACATTGCAGGGTTAAAGGGACAACTACAGCTCTTTGAATTTGTTCTGGTGAGTAGAATCATTACCTTCAGGCTTTTTGCTGTAAACACTGTCTTTTCAGAGAAAATGCAGTGTTTACATTACAGCCTAGTGATAACTTCACTGGCCACAGATGGCTGTTAGAGATCTTTCCTGGGTCATGGCTGCCTAAAATGCATCCAAACATTCAGTGTCTCCACCCTCAGCATGCAGACACTGAACTTTCCTCATAGAGATTCATTGATTCATTTTATCTCTATGAGGAGATGCTGATTGGCCAGGGCTGTGTTTGAATCATGCTGGCTCTGCCCCTGATCTGCCTCCTTGTCAGTCTCAGCCAATCATATGGAGAAGCACTGTGATTGGATCAGACCACCACTTCTCATGATGTCAGCAGACAGCTTGCTATTCTGAGACAAACAGCATGCAGAGCTACAGCTTCAGGCTTGAATACAAGTAAGATTGTGCTATATTTAGGGAGGCATGAGGGGCCTGGGGGGCTAGATGGTGGTTTATAACACTACAGGGTCAGGAATACATGTTTGTGTTTCTGACCCTATAGTGTTCCTATAATGCTACAGAGATTAAGTGGTCTGGGTGACTTAAGTGGTCCTTTAAAAGTATACTCCAGGTACAATAACCATCCAGCTTGTGGGGTGTGAGTCAGAGATTTGTGACAGATAATAGTGTTACAATGTCACTATTGACACATTTTTAAAATATATTTTTAGAAACCGCAATATCCAATTTGTACTTACAGCCCTATAACTTGCAAAAAGGCAAGTAAACACTTGGTGTTTTTAAACTCAGGACAAATTTTTTTATCTATTTAGCAGTTTTTTTTCATTAGCTTTTGTAGGTAAGTAAAAGATTTTTCAAAATTTTTCAAGCAAAAGTAAAAAAAATGTGTTTTTTGTTTTTTCACCATATTTAAAAAAAAAAATTTTTAAAGTAAATTATATGACATGATACAAATAATGGTATGTAAAGAAAGCGCTTTTTGTCCTGAAAAAAACAATATATAACTTGTATGGGAACAGTAAATGAGAGAAAGGAAAATTACAGCTAAACACAAACACCACAAAAGTGTTAAAAGAGCCCTGGTCCTTAAAGGACCACTCTAGGCACCCAGACCACGTCAGCTTAATGAAGTGGTCTGGGTGCCAGGTCCCTCTAGGATTAACCCATTTTTTTATAAACATAGCAGTTTCAGAGGTTAATCCATCCTCCAAATCCTCTAGCGGCTGTCTCATTGACTGCCGCTAGAGGCGCTTGCGTGATTCTCACTGTGAAAATCCCAGTGAGAACACGCAAGCGTCCATAGGAAAGCATTATGAGGGTTCAAAGGAATGTGGCAATCATTTGTGTTTGTGTAGTAGAGGCAGTTTTTGCTTTCTACTGCTGCAAATTGCCTCCCAGCAAACTCTACAAATTGTTGTAAGCAGTTGTACTTTTTTTTTATGTTCTTGTTAGGTTTTTTTTTTGTGGTGCTATCTAAAGGAGAGTATTGTTGCTTTTTTTTTATATTGTGTTTTAGGTCAGCATCATCAGACTACCATTGGCATCCAAGTTGGATGGAATTGACAATGATAGTGTGAAAGTGTAAATTACATATTATCCATACAGCCAAGAAAGCGCACCGATGTTGGTTTATGCCAAATGGTTCCTAAATGGCATAAGCCAACATCATGCTGAACTTACCTTTCCCCAATCGATTCCTCTCCTCTCCCTCTCTCGGGATCTGTTCTTCATTTCTTCCTATCTGCTCTAGTTTTCTTTAAAAATTAAGACAAAGTAGGCACTATTTCTCTTCTGGAGGTTTCCTACGCCATGACCAGCTATGACCAGCGGAGGAGCAAAGTGTGCTTTGTTTCCGGTGGTCAGAGCAATTTTCCAACAATCCTTAGCTTTCCTCCCTGTTCCCACGATGCTTCCTGTCAGTATTGCCGAACGTCCTGTCATTTAGACAGAACGCCGGCAAAACTGCCCAATTGCGTACTAACAGAATGAGAACAGTTTCTCCATTCGTGTTAGAACGCAATTCGGGACTTTGTTCGTATCACTTTCCCACGCTGTGTAAAATGACACAGAGCACTCTGATTGGTTAGATTCCAAGCCCACCAATCAGTGTTATGAGTAAAATTACACAGCGTGGGAAAATTCAGAAGAACTTCCAGGGGTGGGGGACGGGGGGGAGGACAGCAGGTCTCTCGTCCCCCCCATTGTTATTTATGGCCCCCACCAACCGCGAAGGGGTGGGGGCCGAGGGGGAGGACAGTAGGTCCCCCCCATTGTGATTTATGGCCCCCACCCATTGCTCAGGGGTGGGGGCCAGGGGGCGGACAGTAGGTCCCCCCATTGTGATTTATGGCCCCCACCCACTGCGCAGGGGTGGGGGCCGGGGGGGAGGACAGTAGGTCCCCCCCCTCATTATCTTTATGGCCCCCCTCATTATCTTGATGCCCCCCTCATTATCTTTATGGCCCCCACCTACCGTTTAGGGGGCTTAAGAAGTGGTGGGGAGCACTGCTCCCTGACGCTTCTATCTTTACATATTACAAGGAGGGAGCAGCGCGCCGGTAGCTCCCTCCTTGTAATAAACTGAACGAACAAACGAACACTGATATTCAGTGTTAATTTGTTCATCTGAAATTTCTAGTCATTCATTCGTGTTTAACTGGGCATGTGTGGGAATCTGTCTATCTAGTGTGGGCAGATGACGTGTCCCACAGGGACTTCCTCTACCCACACAAATATGGTGACGCCCTGAATGTAGATCGGGGCAGAAAATAAAGTTTAAAAATAGGTAATATGGGGCTGCTTAGGGGCATTTAGATGTAGTGGAGTCGGGAGGGGGGGTTAAAAAACAAAACGGGATTCGGCCATGACCGTGCCGCTTTAAGTGAGGGGACAGTGCCAAGCCAGTAAACTGTTGCTTCAGGATAACAAAAATAGCAGCTTTATTTGTCCTGGAGTGCCTGAACCATTATTTATTCCGCATATCTTGGAAGGGAGGCCTGGCCAGCCCTGGCTTCAGAGCACCTAGGTTATTTGAGTGCGGTATCCAGTACATCTCTACTATTAAACTTTTGCTAGCAAGTACAGCGATTTGCTAAACAGAGTTCATGGAATAGTAAGATTTCCATATGGAGGCCTGTCTTTTACTCTCTAGCTATTGGATAATTGAAGGCATGAAAGCACTCCCTAAAACTGAATGTCCTACTGACAGAAAAGCTTATGTTCCCTTTTCTTTCCACTCATGTGCTGTACTATTTATAACTGTGCACCCAGGCATACACTAAGTCTGACACTTTATGATGAAAGGAAATCAGAAACTGGCTGGCACTGTTTCTTTGAATTTACTTATCCTAGAGAGCATGTCCGTGTGGGGACAAGGTGTTGTATTTGCATACTTTTTAACCCTTTATAACATGCTGCTAATAGACGGGGGGGGTGGGGGGGGGCGCAGATATTTAAAGCTTGTGCAATTAGCACAAGCATGATTTCTTACATTTTAGTACTAACAGCACTTTTATAACCCCCAAACCCCTTGTCGCCTAATTACTCTTTTGTGCATGATATCCAATATGTCTTATAGAATATAACCTTTCAATTTGAAAAACAAAATGCCAAAGGGTGAGTCTGCAGCATCCCACCTAATTATTTCCCATCAGCTAGTTTGGTGTTTGAGGTTTAAGTTACTACAACCAGTAATGTTTTAATAAAGCATATTTTTTGTTGGAGCAACCATTGCAGGCATTCCTTCCTAACCCCTCATCCCATTAAAATAAATAAAATATTAATATATAAATAAAAATGCAGATGGACTGGAGGTGGGTGTTGCAAAAGTCGGCCAACCAAAAAGGTGAGGACTAGATCGGAGTTGAGGTTATATCTCACAATTTTACATTGAAAATGTCTTGAATCTCTGTGATATATGATGCAATCAAAGTATAAGAGAGTGATTGATTTGAAAGACCGGTATATGGGAGACCATTAAAATGAACCCATATGTGCATGTGCAGTATTAATAGATAACCAGGGATACTTAAAACCTTTACATTTCAAGACCTATAGACTTGCCAGTTTTGTCAGGTCTGATATCAGTTGAGTTTGTGGGCACAGTGGAACCGACAGGTGGGCGTGTCCATCATTCAGCATTAGAGACCATGTACCCACTCAAAGGGGGCCCGCCATCCCTTAATACATGCACATCAAGCGCTACTTGACTACTCATGCAAGTGCAGCATGTATACCTTTAAACATGCAGTCGTGCTGCTATTTCCCACAGTCGTCCTGTCGCCGCATTAGAGAGCCGATCCTTTACTGATCAGGTGGACTGAGGGTAAATTGGGTATCACCATGTGACTATGGAGGTCTTTACAAGCCCTCAATTAATCTTTGTAGGTACTCGATGTGCTCAGAACCCTGCCTACTCCACCTGTAAATATCAAATACAAACAATAGAGATTGCATATGGATTGCATTTCATTTACAGGTTACCTGTTTTGACGTAGGAACCTTTCAAATAACATTTAATTAGAGATTGCTTGCTAGTTAATCCTGAGCTAAGTTTAAGGATTTTACACACAGATGGACTCCTCCCAGCACACACTCTTTTGGGCTTAAATTCCCTTCTTGAAAAGGATTATTGCATTAGAATAAGATCTCTTCCACAATCTGCAACTTTACTTTATCCTGAAAATTGCTGTGTGCTCTGGATATGTACTGTTTGGCAATGATTCCAAATATTTACCAGCCAGAATGCAGAGTTTGTATAACAAATGACATACACTGGAGAAGACCGCTGTGTACCACAGAAAGTTAAACCAGGATTTAGGATGGCCTCTTTTGTCTTTTTTTTTTTTTTTCTCTGTCAGTTTTCCAAATGAGAAGTATATTTTAATTTGCAAAATAAGTAGATGGTAATATTGTTACAAACAACAAGTCAGTAGTTGTAATTAATGCGATAGAAAATTTAGCTAAATCAGAAAGCTATCCAGTAAGAATAGAGAAGAAAAGCATCACTGACACGTTCCAGGAGGTTTAAAGTGACACTATAGTCACCCAGACCACTTCAGCTCAATGAAGTGGTCTAGGTGCCAGGGCCCCCAGGTTTTAACCCTTCAGATGTAAACATAGCAGTTTCAGAGAAACCCTACATTGCAGGGTTAATCCAGCCTCTAGTGGCTGTCTTCTTGACAGCCGCTAGAGGCGCTTCTGCAATGCTGGATGCGAAAATTGCATTCAGCGTGCAGAACGTCCATAGGAAAGCATTGAGAAATGCTTTTCTATGGACTGTTTGAATGCGCGGTTAGCTCTTGCCGTGAATGCGCATTCCGCTCCACTCTGGAGCTGACGTCGTCGGGGGAGGAGAGGTCACCGGCGCTGGATTAAGGTAAGTGGCTGAAGGGGGACCCTGAGGGTGGGGGGACCTAAGGGTTATATAGTGCAGGAAAACTAGTTTGTTTTCCTGACACTACAGTGATCCTTTAAAGCCTATTTTTGACATGCCACAATTTTGCGTCTCAACCTAGAGGTTAGGAACCGCGTGTACTGGCCTCAACGATAATTTTAAATACTTGGAGATTTGCAACCACTGCAGGTAGTGGCTGACAGCCAGTGTGGTCATCCGCAAACGGGGTAGCCCATGTGCAGAGCTCTTCTGAGGCACTCTGCCATGTGCTCAGTGCCCTGAGGTTATTTTATGCAGCCTGGATAGTGGGACAGAACTTTGTATTCTGTCTGATTCCTTAGGGCTGTAGGGAGGTGTTCAACCATGTTCTGCTTGCTAAAATTTTGTAAACTGTTAGTTTTCTGGTACCTTACACATGTAGCTGTTTCTTGATCAAAATGTTTGCTTAAAGTGAATGTAATTGTTATAAAGAGTATTTCAATATCCACTGCATAAATGTTTTGTTAATTCTATATAATTCATGAACTTTGCATGAATCTTTGTTCTCTGTTTAGGAAGCCTTGCAGAGGATCATTGCAACACTTGCGAACAAAAATGATGAAATTCAGAATTTTATCGACACACTAAACCACAGACTTAAAGGTGTTCAGGTATGCGTGATTGTGTCTCATCAATAGTGTGTTTAATACTCTGATTTTATTCAAATCCTAATATTTATTTTTGCTTACTGTCAAGTGTACCTGAGTTTTTTTTGAATAGCCATAATAGTTCATGAAAGTAAATGCAAAATAATGTAGACTTTATTAGATGTATTATATTTTTAAAGCATTTCTTCAATACTTGTTGTTCCAAGAGATTGCAGCCCCTAGTAAAGACACTATTGGATTTCTAATCGGTTCAACTATTTTTGTTTTAACACACTAAGTGAGTTTGCACTTTGTAGGAGAATGCTTACATTATTAAAATGAGTTAACTTCACATGAAATCAGAATTTGGTGTAGTTAAAAATGTAAAAATTTCATGTTATTTTATTCCTTATTGTTTTCTGCTTGGATTAGGTAGTACAAAATAATACTTTTTACATTCAAATTTTCAGTTCCTATTTTTAAATGTTTTTTTTTTTATTATTGAAATACATATAGAACTGATGGTTAATGTAAAAACATTATGTGGTCTATTTACTAATGTCCGAATGGCCACATATCAAATGGAACAAAACCATTCGGTGCAATTTGGCCCAGATTTTAGTCGGACTGAAAGCTGTTGGATGGCTGACATTTGAATGCCTGCATCAGGGCCCAGATTTTAAAAATCCAAACTATTTACCTAGTGGCAGCATTAGCTATGGGCCTTCGATTCATACTTTCCATGATCGGGTCCAGCAGGCGGTGTATTGAAATTTACACCAAACCTCCTAAACACATTCTAGCCCAAAGCAACTAATACCCATGACTGCTGCAATTTAGGTACAGCTACTGAAACAAATGAGCCCATAGGAGTCAAAATGCACAATGTGAGATACTCCAGAATGTTCACTTTTGCAAATAGAATGCCTGCATGTTATGATGTAAATAAAGTACTGAGAAGCTCCATAATGCATCATAAGCCCAGCATAATTATACTCCAGGTATTTTTATCCATACTCCAGTATTACTCCAGGAGATGGAACTGAGCTTGTATGGTTGTAGGATGTGTCTTGAGTAATTGCTAGCAAGATATGACATGGAAGTTTAGTGTAACTTTTAAACATACACGTAGGCTTTTGTTGGCTGTTCTTTTGCAGGCAAACTCTGCCAAAGTGCTTTCAGAACTGGATGAAGAATTTGATAGCCTGTATTCTTTGTTGGACGAGATGAAAGAAAGCATGACTAACAGTATAAAGCAAGAACAGGCTCATAAAATGCAAGCGTTGCAGGTAAGAAACAAGTCTGCATACACATTATGAAGTCCAGCGGGCTCCTCACTATAGGAGCAGTAATTCAAATATATACTGTAATGTCAAAAACATTTAAAGTAGTTTGTGTGCCCAAAATTTTGTTCCATTTTCTTGCTTGATCATTTAATGGTGATTAATGGTAGAGTTGATTACAAATTGTTCCACATTTATTGTTATGTTTTATAATGGCATGCACCCAAATACCTGAAGTAAAGCTGTTATGTTATTTGATTCCATAGATGCACTGATATGGTATTGTATAGTCTGTTATGGTAGAATGTCTCTTCCTTTTTAGAATTTTTTGCAATAAATTGTCAGTCTGAGATTGATTTGTGCCAAGAGATTTTGTGCTTTCATTGCATGTATGTATGTATGTATGTAATATATCTTCGGTGTGTTGATGGAAGCTCACAGATGCAATCCATTGTAAAAAGGTCTGTTTTATTTTTTTTGTGTGTTGTAGAATCAGCTTACCCAGTGTACAAATGCCCTGGAGAACTCTGAAGAATTATTAGAATTTGCTTCACGGACCATGGACATAAAGGAGCCCGAGGAGTTTACTAAGGTACAAAAAAGGGACTTTGAAAAGAGGATTGAGTGACATTGCTTCTACTAACTTGCTTTAAATGCAGCCAGTGTCTGATGCACCAAACAGTTTGACAGAGGGAGAAAACATTCTTGCATTTCTAGTATTTGTAAAGTGACTTCTTACTTATTTGATTGCCATTCTTCCTGGGTTTACTTTACTAGTAGCCTGAGTTCTTCTATTTGAAAGCACCCTCATGTATATATGTTATGTTTTGAGTAACGAGTTGTGGATTATGCTTCATATGTTTTTAATGATTCTGCAAATAAGCAGATAAAAAGGTAATAGTGCGTTCTTGCTGTGGGCCCTCTTGGGCCGTTGAGGAGATCAAAAGTCTCCCTCGCCGGCCCTTAGTGACAGGGAGAGCTGGAGGACCTGGGAGGCAGGGCTCTCCTCCCGCGAGCATGATGTGAGGAGTGTTGCAGCGTGTTACCATGGCAATGCTCCAACAGAGCATTCTGCACGTGGGAGGAGTGAAGACAGCCTGCAGCCAGAGGAGCTGCAGGCTATAGACCACTCACCACCACTGGACCACCAGAGCACAGAATCCTTCACACGCACCCCTGACACACACACACACACACACAGCACCCCTCACACACATCGCACCCATAACACAAACCCACCACTCCTGACACAAAGCACCTCTGAGATGCATACAAAGCACACCTCACACACACATCACCCGTCACACATTGCACCCCTCACACACACACACACCCAGCACTCCTGACACAAAGCACCTCTCAAACACACAGCACCTCTGACACACACCTGGCAGTGAAGACAGCCTGCAGCCAGAGGAGCTGCAGGCTATAGACAACTCACCACCACTGGACCACGAGGGCACAGCACCCTTGACACACACACACAGCACCCTTGACACACACACACAGCACCCTTGACACACACACACAGCACCCTTGACACACACACACACACACACACAGAACCCTTGACACACACACACAGAACCCTTGACACACACACACAGAACCCTTGACACACACACACACACACACAGAACCCTTGACACACACACACACAGAACCCCTGACACACATCGTACCCATAACACAAACACACCACTCCTGACACCTCTAAGATGCATACTGTGACGGACCGCTGGCACTCCGACTGAGTACCTCCGCCAATCGATGCTCCTAGTGCTCGCTGAGGACTCCAACCGACACCATCAGCACTGCAGACCCCACTTCCAGCGATGCAACTGCGCCGGGGTCTCTGCTGTCTCCACCCACCCTGGACCCAAGGTCCAGCTTCCAGTGGGTGAACCTCTTTCCCCAGAGAGCAGGAACAGGAACAAGCTCTTAGCAGAACTTAGTGATCATACCCTGGGGAGTATAGCGATTATAGCAATCCCCAGAGTGTATTTCTCCAATCCCCCAAACATGAGCCAAGGCTTAATGCTGGAACAAGACGGATTTACTGGCACACAGAACTCACAATTTATGCAACACAAAACTCCTCCTCTGGGCCAGGCTAGATAATTGAGTTTCTACAATACACAAAGCTCAATTATCTGCTGGCCAGAAATAATACAGTTTTTACAGCATTCATAACTTCTAAAATATACATCACATTCACATAAAAATTATATATTCACAATCAATCCATTCAGGGAAACAACATATCAAAAATGGCATGAATCAGACCAGGGGTTCAGAAGTTAGTAAAGTATCTTTTGGGGCCTGGCTGGCAGCATGGCTATCTGGCCCAAACTGGTTTTACAGAGCCCTCTAGCCTGGAGACAATGGGGAAAGTAATCCAATTATCCAGGGATAGAAGCAGACTCCATTGAGCACATGTTCCCAGTAAAACACACACACCGCACCCTTCACACAGCACCCTTCACACACACACACAGCACCCTTCACACACACACCACCCTTCACACACACACAGCACCCTTCACACAGCACCCTACACACACACACACACAGCACCCTTCACACACACAGCACCCTTCACACACACAGCGCCCTTCACACACACACACACACACACACACCGCACTGTTCGACACACACAGAGCACCCTTCACTGCACATACACAGAGCACCCTTCACTGCACATACACAGAGCACCCTTCACTGCACATACACAGAGCACCCTTCACTGCACATACACAGAGCACCCTTCACTGCACATACACAGAGCACCCTTCACCACACACACACACACACACACACACACACACACACACACACACACACACACACAGCACCCTTCACCACACACACACACACATAGAGCACCCTTCACCACAAACACACACACACACACACACATAGAGCACCCTTCACCACACACACACACACACACACACACACACCCACACTCATAGAGCACCCTTCACCACACACACACTGCACCCCTCACACACAGCACCCCTCACACACAGCACCCCTATACATAAACAGCATGTGTGTATTCAGTTGTCTGGGAGTATTCAACAGCCGCTGTGTGTGTATTCAGCAGTCTGTATTTATTCAGCTGTGTGTGTGTGTGTGTGTGTGTGTATATGTGTATGTATATATATAGATATATATATATATATATATATATATACACATACACTGCACAGCCCTCTAGGGTAAGGAAGCCATGCCAAGAGAAAGGCCTCTGGCCTCTGGCCTGTTTATTTTCTGTTGGTAAGAAGTAACTGGATACAACAGGCAGCAAACCTTCTTTCTCCTCAAAACACTTCCCTCACCCCACCCTGCTTTAACTGCAGTTATAAAGCTGCTCACAGCCTCTACAGGTGAGCCAGAACTCTTTAGAAAACCTGGGCTGGACTCATGCACAGCCACACTGACAGTGGCTGGAGAATTGGCCCACCCTGCTCTTCCGAATACTCCAACCCAGGGACCAAAATAACAACAGAGAAAAAAACCCTACATTTAACCTTAACTTTTCCTGTGGCTGCGCAAAGGTCTGAGTGCCAGATATACACCCTTGACCACCACCCCTAACACTCTGTCAATATATATATATATGTGTGTGTGTGTATCTATGTGTGTGTGTGTATATATATATATATATATATATTTATATATATATATATATATATATATATATATAATGTATGTATATGTGTGTGTGTTTGTGTGTTCGTTCAGCAGTCTGTCTGTCTGTGAATTTACCAATCTCTCTGTGTATTCATTCAGTGTGTGTACTCGGCAGGCTGTGTGTATGTACTGTATGTATTGCATTTGTTGGTACCAATAAATATAAGCTTAATTTTATCGATAATTTAATTTTTATTCCTGTGAGTTGTTGTGCACTCTTTTTGCTGGAGGCCCATAACGCTGTTGAGATGGCACTGTTTGTGTCAGTAAGCTTGTATTTAGTGAGCTTGTGTGTCGGTAAGCTTCTATTTAGTCAGCTTGTGTGTGTCTATACAAATCAGTTTCTTTGTAGTAAGCTTGTGTTTGAGAGTTTTGTCTGTCAGTGAGCCTATGTGTGTATCAGTGAGTTTGATTTGTGTCAGTGAACATGTCTGTCTTTGAGCCTGTTTATCAATGGGCTTGTGTGCTGTATACCTAATCACACAAAAATAAATTCAGCGCGGAAGCAAAATGACAAAAGTCCAAAAGCAGCTTGAACACCAATACGGAGTATCTCTTTTCCGATCAGAAAACTGGATAAAAACAGGGGGGTAGGTGCAGTGCTTCAGTAATTCTTGACAAGGTATATGTAGAGAGAACCAGAAAATAAATAATAGTGTAGTATTTAAAACTGTAGTGGTGATAAGTAAGATAAAAGATGTGCACTCACACTTTCCTGGAGCTTCAATACAGCTCCAGTGTATGCGCCTGGGTGGAATAATCCCCGCCTCTGGATCAAGTACAGAGGTAGTTCTTCGAATTATAGGTGTGGTAGGGGGTATCCTAATAAAAAATAAACAAATAAAAAATTGTATATGGTGAAGTATGTAGAGCTATGAAGCAAGGGTAAAAAAAAAATGTACACTCACATTCAATGGAGCCGTAAAACCTGGCTCCTCTGATAGCGCATGAAGTGGTGTGATCCCCACTCAAGGATACAGGTGTAAATATATATTCTTCTGTCCGTGTGTATGTCGAGAAAAACAAACAGAACCACAATAGTGTACACCGTAAACAGGAGTGTAAGCAGAAATAAACAAGTTAAACCTACTCACATGCTAAAGAGCAAGTTCTGGTTTGCTCAATCCAAACCGCTTGGGTGGTATGATCCCCACCAGCTCCAAACAATCAAACAGCAGCAATTAGGTCCAATTAAAGTACTATTAAAGTAATATTAAAAAATAAAAGTAATACAACATATAATAAAATAGTGATAAAAAAAGTTATAAACAATACACTTAATGTGTTTCTCCTTGAATAGGCTTTATCAAAAGTAAAACACTTTTTTGATAAAGCCTATGAAAGGAGAAACGCGTTAAGTTCTCATTGCTGCAGAGGTTGAAGGGGTGGGTGATCAGCCTGTCAGTGCTCAGACCATACGCCATACAGTGTATCAAATTGGTCTGCATGGGTGTCGTCCCAGAAGGAAGCCTCTTCTAAAGATGATGCACAAGAAAGCCTGCAAACGGTTTGCTGAAGACAAGCATGACCATGTCCTGTGGTCCGATGAGATCAAGATAAACTTATTTGGCTCAGATAGTGTCAAGCATGTGTGGCGGCAACAAGGTGAAGAGTACAAAGACAAGTGTGTCTTGCCTACAGTAAAGCATGATGGTGGGTGTGTCATGGTCTGGGCCTGCATGAGTGCTGCTGGCACTGGGGAGCTACAGTTCATTGAGGAACCATGAATGTCAACATGTACTGTGACATACTGAAGCAGAGCATGATCCCCTCCCTTCGGAGACTGGGCCGCAGGGCAGTATTCCAACATGATGATAACCCCAAACACACCTACAAGACGACCACTGCCTTGCTTAAGAAGCTGAAGGTAAAGGTAATGGACTGGCCAAGCATGTCTCCAGACCTAAACCCTATTGAGCATCTGTGGGGCATCCTCAAACAGAAGGTGGGGGAGCGCAAGGTCTCTATCACCCACCAGCTCCGTGATGTCGTCCTGGAGGAGTGGACTCCAGTGGCAACCAGTGAAGCTCTGGTGAACTCCATGCCCATGAGGGATAATGCAGTGCTGGAAAATAATGGTGGCCACACAAAATATTGACACTTTAGGCCCAATTTGGACATTTCCACTTAGGGGTGTACTTACTTTTGTTTAGACATTAAAGTGACACCATAGTCACCAAATCTATGTTAGTTTAATGAAGCAGGTTTAGTGTATAGGGCATGCCCCTGCAGTCTCACTGCTCCATTCTGTTACTTAGGACGTAAATCAATTTGTTTATGCAGACCTAGTCACACTTCCCTGCATGTGACTTGCATAGTCTTCCTAAACACTTCCTGTGCAGTGAGATCTAATGTATAAACTTCCTTTATTGCACTGTCTGCTTAATTTAGAATTTCTTGTCTTCTGCACTTTTAAAAGCTTGCTAGACCTTGCAGGAGCTTCCAGTGCGCCATTAAAGTTCAATTTACAGAGCAGAAGATTAAAATATTTAAAGCAAGTTGACATCTGATTGAAAATGAAACCATTTTCTTTAATTGAGACTGTTAGTCATAGCCAGGAGATAGCCAGAAATAAAAGTGATTTAACTCCTATATACCAAAACTGGGAGGTGTGACTAGGTCTGCATAAACAAATTGATCTGTACTTGGACCCATTCTCTTTAATATATTAGTGAAATTGCAGAAGGTCATGATGGTAAGGTATGTCTTTTTGCTGATGATACTAAGATATGTAACAGGGTTGATGTTCCAGGAGGGATAAGCCAAATGGCAAATGATTTAGGTAAACTAGAAAATGGTCAGAGTTGTGGCAACTGACATTTAATGTGGATAAGTGCAAGATAATGCATCTTGGATGTAAAAACCCAAGGGCAGAATACAGAATATTTGATAGAGGCCTAACCTCAACATCAGAGGAAAGGGATTTAGGGGTAATTATTTCAGGTGACTTAAAGGTAGGCAGACAATGTAATAGAACAGCAGGAAATGCTAGCAGAATGCTTGGTTGTATTGGGGGAGGTATTAGCAGTAGAAAGAGGGAAGTGCTCATGCCAGGGGCAAAGGTTTAAAAATATCAAGAAGTATTACTTTACTGAGAGGGTAGTGGATGCATGGAATAGCATTCCAGCTTAAGTGGTAGAGGGTAACACAGTGAAGGAGTTTAAGCAGGCGTAGGATAGGCATAAGGCCAGGGACTAATGAAAGTATTTAGAAAATTGGGCAGACTAGGTGGGCCAAATGGTTCTTATTGCCATCACATTCTATGTTTCTAAAACTACTTCATTAAAGGACCACTATAGTGCCAGGAAAACATACTCTTTTCCTGGCACTATAGTGCCTTGAGGGTGCTCCCACCCTCAGGGCCCCTCTCCCGCCGGGCTCTAGGGGGTGGAAGGGGTTAAATTTACCTCTTTCTCCAGCGCCGGGCGGGGAACTCTCCTCCTCCATATCTCCGTCATCGGCTGAATGCCAATGTGCGGCAGGAGCCGCGCGCGCATTCAGCCAGTCCATAGGAAAGCATTCTCAATGCTTTCCTATGGACGCTGGCGTCTTCTCACTGTGAAAATCACAGTGAGAAGCGCGGAAGCGCCTCTAGCGGCTGTCAATGAGACAGCCACTAGAGGCTGGATTAACCCTATTATAAACATAGCAGTTTCTCTGAAACTGCTATGTTTATAGAAGAAAGTGTTAATCCTAGCTGGACCTGGCACCCAGACCACTTTATTAAGCTGAAGTGGTCTGGGTGCCTATTGTGGTCCTTTAAGCTAAAGTTGTTTTGGTGATTATAGTGTCCCTTTAATGGCTGTGTGTTGAGTTATTTTGAGGGTACAGCACATTTTCACTGTTATACAGGCTGTACACTTACTTTACATTGTAGAAGAGTGTAATTTCTTCAGTGTTGTCACATGAAAAGATATAATAAAATATTTACAAAAATATGAGGGGTGTACTCACTTTTGTGAGATACTGTATATTAATTGGTGTTTGGTGCATTTTGGGGTGTTTTAGTAGCTCACACATTTAAATCACTATGTAAATGCACACTGTTTGCATATGTGGACAACATGGGGACTCTTGCTTGATATATTTTGAGCTAAATTGAGGTACACATTTTTTCACCACTATTTTTTATTTTTCGAATTTTGTGGTATTCATTTTTAACTAGCATTGTTTAACTACAAGGTGTATTTTTGCTGCTTTTTAAAAATTTCTTTCAATACATTTCCCTCACAAAATCTCCTGAGTAAAACATTATTCACTTATGCCTTTGCTAAGTATCAATCCTGATGCTAACCTTAGGATTCCCTCTGCTGAAGGCAGAAGAGGAATCTTATTGCTGATGTTTCAAGCCAACACAGAGTGTGTGCCCATCACCTATTGGCTGTTTTTAGCATAACAGGGAGATGTCCCTGTAATACTGAAGTTCCTGGCTCTGAAGATCACGCTGTGATCAGTGCTGGGCAGCTGACAAAACCTATACTAACCATAGGCGTGCGCAGCCTATTTCTTCATTATAATCGTGACAAAATCAACGTTTCGACCCCTAAGGGTCTTTTTCAAGATCTTTATATATATATATTTATATTTAACGCGGGTTGCACCGAGGCACAATAGTTTTTGGCTATATTCCAATTTTGGAAGTAAGGAGAGTGCCAAGCAGATATCGCTTTTGTGTGTATATATATATATATATGTGTGTGTGTGTACAGTGGCGTACATACAGGGATTGTATGTCACTCCAGTGGGCCCGGCCACCCAACAGACCCCTGCGACCAGATGCCATGTGTTGCGGCTTGGCCCGTCCCATTTGGTGTAACCACCGGGGGGACCCACAGATCAGTCTTCGCACCGGGCCCCATGGATCGTGTGTACGCCACTGCCAGGGGTGTTTCATTTGATGCCCAAATTATGTGAATTAATTGTATCTGGGGCACAATACATTAGTAGGAATTCAGGTACTCGTGTACCTACTTACCCTCCTATGCATCTTGCTTTACTCTCCCTTACATGGATGAAAGTAATTTTCTTGTATAGAAGAGAGTGTAATTTAACTAAATGGTATTACTTGCAATCCTTGCCTGGTTTACAAACCAGGAGACTATCCTGCATTTTCCAAGTCAACTTTCAATGGGACCTCTGGTCACTATTAATGGGGTGCATGTGTGTGGGAAGTAAGTGCTAAATTGAGAAATCTGGTCAGACTTCACAAAACGTATATGTACATTTCTTTAAAAAGCACATCATTGAAAAGCAGTGTATTTGTATTTTTCCCTTTCTTGTAATGCTTGTGAATGACCTGCAATTCTAACTGCTCTATTAACCCCTGCACGTTTTACACCTCATGAACTGGGTTACTCTCTATGATCATGCATGAATGCCTTGTGGAAAGTGACATGTGTCACGTTAATGTCTTGCATGGAGTTTACTGTCCTTCGGACTTGCATGGAGACACTAACTCTGCTTTCTTTCTTCCTCCTGACTTGCACCAAGGCTGCCAGACAGATCAAGGATAGGTACAGTACCAAAATCCACTTTTTACTATTTTTGGGGGTGATCTTATTTTTTTGTTAATATTTGGGTTTCTGTTTATTTACCTTACTGCATTGAGCGTTATATAGACATGATATGGTATACTGATTTCTGTGGGTGCTTAATTCACATGCTCATGGCACACTTGAAAGACAAGATAAATCTTAATGTAATATACTTTTTCTTTATAAATACATAATGTGGAATGTATCCTCAATGTATAATTTACTGCAAAAGTAACTCAAGTATATATTTAGTTATCGTTTGTTAAGCTGCACAGTGAGTGTAGAAATGGTGTTCTCAAAAATCATGTTGAGAATTTGGTACTTCTGCCCTTGGATGAGCCATAGAAACAAGTCTATTCATTTCAACTAATGTAATTTGTGGAGTATCACAAAAATGGAAACATTTTAATGGATTTGCTAGCCAACGAAATATTCAGTGAGTGACCTATGATTTGTTATTCTAGTGTACCTGCATGATACATACCTTCCAGCATTTCAAATGGACAAAGTTGGCACATTAACTTTAGGGGTGTGTGGGTGTTCCCAGGGGTGGACTGTTCTGAGAACGTTTAGTTGACTTACAGTATTATTGCTCTGATTTAAATTGAGACACAAAGAATACTGAGTTCCTACAAAAAAGAGATTTGGATAAAAAAAGAGGCCCAATTTAGGACTGTTTCTCCTAAATGGACCCTGAAGACACAAGCCATTTTGTGTAATCATTGTATTCCCTTTTTGAAATATAAAAGTAATTTAGTTTCATGGTCACTGAAAATATTTTAAGATCCATGTGTGGTTTACCCACTTGACTGTTCATTTTTACTGCAGGGTAACAATGGCTGCCGCCTTTCGCCTTTCACTTAAACCGAAGACCAGTGACAACATGACACACTTAATGGTGGACTTCTCCCAGGAGAGGCAGATGATCCAAACTTTAAAGTTTTTACCAGGTAAAGTGTTTTCAGGAAATTTATTGTGCAAATTAGTATGATTTATAATGGTCAGCTGGTTTATTAAAATTTTTGCTTTGAGTCATTTTTATTACCTTTTCTCTTGTAAGTTGAAGATCTACCCGATGTACAAACTAGTGCCAAATCCATTATCCCTTATGTTAAAAAGTAAATTATATATGAAAAAAATATATGTATATGGTTACAATCAGCAGTCAGGCCTGGATTTACTTGTCCGGTGCCTATAGGCACAGAATTCTAAGACACCCTCCTAGAAGTGGATAAGTATGAGCATAGATATAGCATATGAGAAAATAATTCAGATAGAAAGATGGATATAGCAACAATATTTTTTCTATAAACTTATTTAACTTACTCAATATAGGTTATGCAATCCAATATGGCTGCCAAATTGCATATGGCAGAGCACAATTTAGAAGTTTGGGACTAATCAGGTTTTTAGAGGGTTTTTGTTTTTCTTTGACACAAGGAATTGAGATTATTACAAAATGTTTGAATGCATTTTTATTTATTTTTTTAAATATCCACAAAATCAAACTGTCTGTCAAACTATGGCAGACTGACCAGAAGAGGGGACTAAACAAAAGAATATGGATAAAGTGCATGTGTAGCGATTGTAAAGAAGTGCTTACTTATCTTCCTGAACTTTGATCCCCTTGTTACCTGTAGCACTTTTGGTTTATATTTAAATGGTAAAGTCCAAGCACCATAACCACTACAGCGTGCTGATGTGTTTTTGGTGTCAGTAGTGCCTGACATTGTAAACAGACAGCTCTCTGTCTGAGCCAAGTCTGATGGTATGATGGTGAAGGTGCTTTAACAAGCTGTAATACTATAGTAAATAGTCAAAAGCAAAATAAAAGCAAATTTATAAAATTCTAGCACACTAGGTAATTGGCGCATGGAAGCCATATTGAAATTGACTTGCTGTAAATAACTGTAATAGAGGACCTAGATGTGGACATGTTTGCCAAATTTAATATCACAAGTGCAGATATCGTATTTATAATACATTACCACATAGTGCAGTAGTGAAGTAAATGAAGATTTTCTTCAGTTTTTGAACAGCTTGGTGGTACCTAAGCTAAGGTAACTAATCTGTGGTCATCTTTTGATAGCGATATGACTTGAGATATAAGTTTTTTGAATATTTTGTAAAACATGGCTGTTAAGACCATGTGACCAAGGTGGCGGAGAACAAAAATATGGATAAAGTAAATGCGCCAATATAATATATTATCATATCGTTAACATTTTGCAGCAGAGTGAAATAGTAAAAATAAATGCTAATTTATGCAATTTTAGTATACTGTAGTAGACATGGCGAAATGAGTGCCTTGGTGTCTCCCCCATTGTAACTAGTTAAACCCTACAGTGAACTGTAGTAGTTATGGTGCTTGGAGTGCCCCTTTATAGTGGCAATCTAAGCGCCAGTACAATGTTAATGCATTCATATGTTCTATTTTTTACATGGTCAAATCTTTTTAATTTTTGCACAAAAAATTTATGTTTTGCAAAATGCTCCCCTGTTGGCTTGCCTCTTTGCCACCGCTCCTGACTCCTTTTCAAATGTATGTAAACAGCTTAATTGCTAACAGTATTGGGTGATCTGAACTACAAAACAACCAGTCGTAGAATGAGAGGACAGCCAGGGTGACAAATACTAAGAATATCACTAACTGTTTATAGTTTTTCTGAGAGTCTGCAGCCAGACTGTGAATTAAAAGCAGCTCACTCTGTGCTCTCAGGAACTCAGTGCATACATTTGATAATAAAGTATTTCTGGCATGAGATGCATGGCTAAGGAAGCAGAGTTATTGTGCAGCATTCTGCAAAACATGTATTTTTTTCTGCAAAGGACTACAAGAAGCACTGCATATTTAGGTCAAAATCTATTAAAGTGGTATTGGTGCCCAAAGTATACCTTTTAAATCTAAATTTAATATAAAACAGAGTACCTTATGGAAAAAGGTTAACATAATGTATTAAAATGATTCAAAGGTGTAAATTTCAGAGAAGTGACAGTCATAAGTATTTCATAAAGATTTTACCCATTTTGCAGGAAGGGTGACAGTGCCACTTTAATGAACATTTATTAAAAAATTTTCCTTTGGTTTTATAAAGTAATAGTTTTAACCCAAACGAAGTTTCCATTTTTTAAAATTATTTTTTTCATTTAGTTTTACTCGAATGCCTCTTAAATACTATAATTTCATAGTATTCCAACCTGGCCTGCAAGACTTCTAGATTAGTCCCTATTTTAACTCCTAAAATAATTTAAATCAATGCAGTTTTGTACTTGTTTTTGCTCTCTACACCAGTACAATGGATTTAAAATGAATAAATCACTTAAGAGGATAAAGTAACCATTTAAAGAGGAATGACATTATAACCACCCCATTCCATTATGGAATTCTCAGATTATTTAACATCAGCATCTCTATATAGACCTGCTGTCACTAAATCCATGAGATTTTCTGTTCTGTTCTGTTTTGGAATAAGATATCTCAAAGATCTGATTATCATGGCAATGTTATTAAATATTTGAATATAAATAATCTTAATCATGTAGAAATCACAACTATTTTTAAATATGACCGTGTTGGCTCCAGCTTGTCTGCAACTTTATGTGCCGATTTAATGACACATGTAGGCTTTTTTCAATGACAACTCTGAGAGCGGACAAAAGCTTAGAGAAACTCAGTAGCTTGCCCTTCGGTAAATCCCCGCTCAAGTCTCAAAATAATTTTTGTTCACTTGTGCCTTTACAGAGAGAACAGGTTTTGTCATACTATTGTTTTCTCACAGACCATAAATCTTATAGATGAAACATGAAAGGCCAGAATACAAAAAAGGATCAGTAAAGTTGAAATACTATTATTAGAGAGATTGCATACTTTAAAAGTAACTTGTACCTTATGCAAACATCCTTGATGTAACTGATTTTTCATCATGGAAATAGATCAGTTTTAGCTATAAAATGTGCTTTATTGGAAGACTATAGCGTTAGGAATACAAATGTGTATTTCTAACACTATAGTGCTCTGGTAGTCATCTAGGCCCCAAGCCCCCACTTGTAGGGCGCAAAAAGGGTATTTTACTTTCCTTTTTCCCCCTTGTAGCACTGATCTCTCCTCTGCAGTCCCTCTTCCCTTTTCTGAGATCCTTGAGATCGATGATCTCAGCCAATCAATGCTCACAGGAAAGCAATGGGAGGGTAGTACATGTGCATGGCAAAACGTCACACTGAGTAAATCAGATTGTAATTACAGTAATTATCTTTGACTATTGTACATGGCAGCATTTGGTTTCCCACTCTTTATGAAGGTTGTATTTATTTCGTGAGCCTTGGACCAAAGACTATGGGTCACATAACAAGAAGACATTCTTATATGGCTTTCTTTTTTCCTGTCCTATGTGCTGTGAGGGGACAGAGCTAACCTATTTGCATATATAGCTATGGATAATATCCAGAAAAAGAAAATGACTGTAAGTATGTATACATTTTACTTGGTAAATAAGCAGTTTATATTCATGAAGTTCTAACCATTAATTTCTTTATGTATGAAGTAAACCTCATCATTGGAAAAATTATGCTGAAATCATACTTCTTTGTGTTTTGATGCAGTTGGACAAGTAATGGATCACTTTAGTCAGTGTAAATTATATATGTACATTTTGAAAGCTGTAGAAAATTTCTCATTGTCATTATTATTATAAAATGATAACAACCACTTACATTTCTTCCCCTTTCTGTCTAGTCCCCAAAGCCCCAGAGATTGATCTAACAGACTGCATTGTGGCTGATAATTGTGTGTCAGTTGCATGGCGGATGCCTGACGAGGATAACAAGATTGATCACTATGTGATGGAATACAGGAAAACACACTACGATGGCCTTCCTAGAGTTAAAGATGAGAGGTGCTGGGAACAGATCGATCATATAAAAGCCACTGAGTACACTCTATCTGGTAAGTGTTCTAGAGCTGTTGCATCTAGCCTAGAATCTTTAAAAAAACTAAAAAAAATTTTATCCCAATATGAAAATGTGAGATTCAAAGGAACACTCCAAGCACCATATCCGCTACAGATCACGCTATTGTGCCAGAAGTGCACTGGTGCACCCTGTTTTATAACAGCAGGAATTTTTTACCTCTCCTGTGGTAAGCCCTGCAGTAAAGTGCTTAGTTCATTGGGTAAGAGATATCGGCCTTTAAACCCCTGAAGGGAAGACGCACCCAGACACTCCTGCAAAGTAATGTCCTTTCTACTGGCGTTCATCAGAATATAACTCCTTAGTGAGTGCACTACATGGCAGCAGATACCGTTTTCTCCCCTTTCTTTTTATTTTTATTTTCTGGCGTCATTTGTTCTATGGTGAAAGTAAAATAGTAGAAATCACTGTAAACACAGTGGTGAGTAAAATTATGGTAATTGTTTTGTCCTTTCTATTGTATATTTGGCTTCATTTAATTAAATTAAATTAATACTTTAAGTGACATATTTCTTTTTTTGAGTCTTTCACATTTTATTTAAATATATATATCTGTTTTTTTATATTTATGCGTAGGTTTAAAGTTTGATTCCAAGTACATGAACTTCAGAGTAAGAGCCTGCAATAAAGCTGTAGCTGGGGAATATTCAGACCCCGTTACGTTGGAGACCAAAGGTATTGTGAAATCCAGAACAAATTTACATATGCTCCAGTGATATTTCACACCTGGAAAGTAAATTTTTTGACACATCACTTCATAGTAACATATAGCTACATAGTTCAGTTTAAATTTATATTAGAAACAAATCATATATCTTTCCTAACTACTTCAGTGGAGTAGTGAATTGATCTGTGCAGCGGCAGAACTACCTGTGGTAATCATAATATGTAAATTATGACCTTTGTGTGTGTGTGTGGCATTGTATGTGTATACAGTATCTCACAAAAGTGAGTACACCTCTCAGATTTTTGTAAATATTTTATTATATATTTTCATGTGACAACACTGAAGAAATTACACTCTGCTACAATGTAAAGTGGTAAGTGTACAGCCTGTATAACAGTGTAAATTTGGTGTCCCCTCAAAATAACTCAACACACAGCCATTAATGTCTAAACCGTTGGCATCAAAAGTGAGTTCACCCCTTAGTGGAAATGTCTAAATTGGGCCCAAAATTTCAATATTTTGTGTGGCCACCATTATTTTCCAGCACTGCCTTAACCCTCATAGAAATGGAGTTCACCAGAGCTTCACAGGTTGCCACTGGAGTCCTCTTCCACTCCTCCAGGATGACATCACAGAGCTAGTGGATGTTAGAGACCCCCACCTTCCATTTGAAGATGCCCCACAGATGCGCAATAGGGTTTAGGTCTGGAGACATGCTTGGCCAGTCCATCACCTTTACCTTCAGCTTCTTTAGCTTCTTTAGCAAGGCAGTGGTCGTCTTGGAGGTGTGTTTGGGGTCGTTATCATGTTGGAATACACTGCGCTGCGGCCCAGTATCCAAAAGGATCATGCTCTGCTTCAGTATGTCACAGTACATGTTGGCATTCATGGTTCCCTCATTGAACTGTAGATCCTCAGTGCCGGCAACATTCATGCAGGCCCAGACCATGACACACCTAACACATTGCTTGACTGTAGGTAAGACACACTTGTCTTTGTACTCCTCGCCTGGTTGCCGCCACCCATGCTTGACACCATTTGAAACAAATACGTTTATCTTGGTCTCATCGTACCACCGGACATGGTTCCAATAATCAGTGTCCTTTGTCTGCTTGTCTTCAGCAAACAGTTTGCGGGTTTCTTGTGCATCATCTTTAGAAGAGGCTTCCTTCTGGGCCGATAGCCATGCAGACCAATTTGATGCATTGTGCGGCGTATGGTCTGAGCACTGACAGTCTGAACTCCCACCCCTTCAACTTCTGCAGCAGTGCTGGCAGCACTCACACGTCTATTTCCCAAAGACAACCTCTGTATAGGACGCTGAGCACATGCACTCAACTTCTTTGGTCAACCATGATGAGGCCTTTTTTTCTTTTCTTTTTTTTATCAGATTCTTTGACATGAGGTGCCATGTTGAACTTCCAGTGACCATTATGAGAGTGTAAGAACGATAACATTAAATTTGACACATCTGCTCCCCATTCACGCCTGAGACCTTGTAACACTAACGAGTCACATGACACTGGGGAGGGAAAATGGCTAACTGGCCCAATTTGGACATTTTCACTTAGGCATGTACTCACTTTTGATGCCAACGGTTAAGACATTAATGGCTGAGTGTTTAGTTTGAGGGGACAGCACATTTACACTGTTATACAGGCTGTACACTTACTACTTTACATTGTAGTAGAGTGTCATTCCTTCAGTGTTGTCACATGAAAAGATATAATAAAATATTTACAAAAATGTGAGGGGTGTACTCACTTTTGTGAGATACTCTATGTGCATACATCCCAGCATTTAATTGGCAACACTATGTACAAATACACCGCTGCACTGAAAGACCAACACTACATACAAGCACACCCCTGCAAATAAATGCCAGCAGCACAAACAAACCCCAGTGTTAAAATGATAATGTTAAAAACAAATCCACCCCTACTTTCACACACACATGCCATAGAAAACCATGCTTAAATTCAAACACTGCCCACAAATACAACCCTTCAAGGATGAACAAATGGTAGATACCCACCTTGGAAAGCATCAAGGGAGTTGTATGACAGATGGGTTTCTACATCTTGGCCACCCTTGCCATAGTGGGAGAGTGGAATGTAAAATAAAATTCTTGAATCAGGGTCCACTCTACATACCTTCTACCTCTGGATCTGTGATTAAGAGAGGTAAAGACTGTTAGGCCACTTTGTGGTTTTAATAGTTTTCAGTAGGATAGAGGTTTTTCCCAAACCTTAATACCATACCACAATTTCTAAGTCTCTTGCCACAAAAGTCACAAGTGATGTTAAATATCCTTGCAAAGCCACATATCATAATTATAATGGGTTGTCTTAATCGAATGCATGCTATTTTGTATCTCTGGTTTCCTAAAAGACGTATCAGAATGTGTTGTCCTCATGGAGTCTAATCATGGCATGGTCCTCTGTTTGTGGGCTGTGTAAGCAGTTTTATTCCAGAACGTTCATAATTCTCCTCGACAATTGAGCTATATTTTAAAATGTGGCAAAATCACAGACTGCTCCATTATCTCTATGGTTATGAGAAATGTATCTAGTTTAGAAAATTATTAATTAGTAGGTAAGTCATTAATTTTCTCCCCAATAGTCTGCATGCAAAAGTGAATTAATATTGCAGATCATATTAATCAACAAATGCTAGACTAAACCAGGGGTGCGTAAATGGTTCTCCGGCTTGTAGTTTATATTTTCCTCAATAAAATTCTAGGTATTCCCATTTAGTGACAGCTCAACGTTTGGGAATTCTAGACTTGTTTGTGCACACTGCAAAGTTATTAGTGAAGCCAAAATTTACAGGAAATCTAAAAGTATGGACAACACATTCAGGCATTTATATTCTATGAAATGTGCAAAAGTGCCATCCTAATCTTTAGAGAATCAGAATGTGACTTGGTATTGCTTCAAACCAGTTCATCCGTAGTGGAAGCCAATTTACCCTGAGGAACTGTAGTTAGGATGTGATACAGAGTGAAGTGCAATGGTGAGGAAATGTCAAATTGTTCCCAAGCATCCATGCCGCCATGTCACTTTGTTTCAGTGAAATCAAGGGTGACGCAGATTTAAAAAAACAAAACAAAAGTACCGTTTAAAGTACTGTTGTCCTTGTCTTCACACTGAAGTGTTTTTAAATGTTTTATTTTGTTTTACATGGGCATTGGCTATTGACTTCATGGTAGTGTAATGTATGTAGCTTATTTTAGGGTCATTCATTCTTTCCTTTTTTTTTAACATTTTTTTTTTCTTTTTCAGCTTTGACGTTTGCCTTTGACAGCATGTCATCACATCTAAACTTGAAAGTAGAAGATTCCTATATAGAGTGGGACCCAACAGGAGGAAAAAGCCAAGAGAATAAAGTTAAAGGGAAAGAGAACAAAGGCAGGTAAGAGCCATTAGATTTATTTAGATTAACTTAGAAAAACATGATTTTTAAATGAAACTCTCTTATCATTTATATAGCACATTATTAACACAGTCTATACCTTTTAGTTGCTATACTACATCAGAAAAACCACAACTGAATAGACACCAGGCACTCTAACATGCTTTATGTGTAATTTGTCATGCAGCAAGAACATGTTCTGCTTAATTACACACAGGATTGTGTAAGATTAACAAATCTTAAAATGTTGTCATCAAGTGTATATAGTTTTCAGTTTGATTTTTGTTTTCCTTTTTCCATGTATGCATAATAATAGTCACCACTGACTGGAAATTATCGAAATTATATTAAAAATGCCTAAATAAAAACAAAAATCATATAATCGTCATCTGTTGTCCATGCTCAGACAAGCTGCAACAGCAGACAATTCCTCCCAAACTAGGAAGAGGCTCCACCACTCATTGTATTCTCTGAGGTCTGATCTTATCCCATAAAGCCATGTCAAGCCACGTCAAGCCACGTCAAGCAGTGGTTTATGATCTATGTAGTTCAGCCCCGGCAGTAATCCATTCTTGAATTTGGCTGCATAAACAGCCAATAAGATTAATAAGGCATCCATACTGCAGTTGCTGTCTTTTTGTTTATCCAGCCCTCTTCACAGTTTTGTGAATGGAGTTGTGTATAATGTTCTTCCAAGCCAGTGAACATTTGTACATGCAATTGTAGCTCCAGGTCTCTGAGAGCTGGAGAGAGGAGGTAGCATATACATTGAAAATTCAGTTAATACTTTATGCTCAACAGAGTCCCTTCTGTTAAGCTCATTACACTTGAGTTCCCTCCCCTTACTGCCTAAACCTGTAACTAAGATCGTGTTCTTCTTCGTTACTGTCACATTTTACAGGTATATTTGGAATTGTACGTGGAGTTGAACCTTGTGGACACTTAAAATCTCATAGAAATACTGGGTGCAAGTTTTTCACATGGGAACAATGTCTCTCTATGGGGTATTTATTCATGGACTTTGCACATCTGAGTGAATCAGACTACTGGGATATAAAATAGTATCCTGGTGCTACTTGCATTTTGATTTTCAGATGCACTTATTAAGGTACTCAAAGTTTCAAGATTTTTGGCCCCCGTATGAGGATGGTGGACCCCCCCATATGTTGCCCCTGTATCACTTCACAACTGTACGTATAAGCGCAAGGCAAATCGCATACTTTAGGAGTGGAATTTACATTTTCATAGCAGCAATACTACCTGTTAACCAGGGTTCAAAAGTCCTACTCTACTAGACATGCCTTAAAGTGACTTGCAAAGTCCATAGCACACTCACCAGGGCTGAATTTTCACTTGCTACTGACTAGTAGGTGAGTGGAAATTTACAAATGATTTAACTCTTGCAGTGCTGTACACATGGCACATGGTATGAATGCTGGACTAACTGTTGAGCATGCATGCACACTTACCACATTTCTCCATTGGCTACAAGAGGGCGCATTTGCATGCCTGAGCCATAATGGAATTTTACAATTGCTGTCAGATGGATAAGAAGTGGACATTAGGTTTGTTTGTATTTTGTTTTGTTTTTTGTTCTAGCTTATTACCTTGGAAAATGCTGTAATAACATTTACTGGGGTATAAAAGAGCAAATAATTGTCACTTCTTGGGAAATGACCGTTCCTCTTTAAGGATCCTATTACAGTTTGCAATGTCCTATTATTTCATTTAACAGCAGGGATTATAAAGCTACTGATCCTAAGTAAGCAGAGAATTCCATGCTGGCATATGAGATCTAGGGGCAAAAAGCATTGTTATTGACAAAAGCAGCTAATGGTCCTAACATTTATTAACAAATGGCTGTCAGTAGAAACTGGCACGCCATCCAAAGTAGACTCGATGTGCAACTGATTTCTCATTGACTGCATTTAAAACCACTTATCACTTTGCTTATTTTTGTTGTCTGACAGTGGCCATGTTACGTTACTGAGGAACAATATCAGGTGAAATGACGTAGCTTGATCTAGAATTAGGACTTCTCTTCTGGCTTGCCTGGAAATATTAGCATACACCTATCCTTAACACTAGTCTAACCTATGTATGTACATATACTACGAGCCTGTGTTTAGATCCCAGAAAGCATCTGTCTGGTTTTTAACATTGATCTGCATAACCTTAGTTTGAGCAGTGTTTTGATCAGTAGTCCTATTCCTACGGGCAAACTGTATTATATAAATTATTGCATTCACTATAACCTTACAATAGGACTGTGGCTTACTGACTAAAATGAAAAGGCATGGTAGTTCACCTTTCTTCCACAAGTTCTTAAAAGATCACAAAATGATTTGTGAACTGCATCTGCCCCCTAAAAATTGGTAAAATAAAATGTGCTTATAAAAAGCTATCTAAAACTCCTTTCCAAGTTTTAAACTACAACATCTAAAATGTTTATTTAATTGCACTTAGTACACGTTATCCAGTTTCATAGATTTAACACTGTGTGATCCGTCTTTTTGCCAGTATTTAGAACTTCAGAACCCTTTTTTTAAGCAGGGGCACTGCTAACATTATCCTAGATTCCTAGTCCATACGTTGTTTGAGAACTTCAAATTAAAGTAACCTTTTTATGTAGGTGATGATGAGAGCGTCATGCTGTTAATGGGTTTTAAGTCTGGTCACAGAGTTCAGAATTTTTAAACCTGCACAGAGCTTAGTTGTAGCTTCTCTATAAGCTTATAAGCTGTAGAAATTCCATGTGCTTTAATTTGCTACTTAGATTAAAAAAACTAAAAAAAACCCTCAGACGCTTTTTGCTATCTGCTACAGGCTGCTAATGATTTTTGTATGCAAGAATTGGAATGAACTGGTTTTCATGTTTGTACTGCTCATTTATGGAATAACATGTGGTAATCCATTATTATTCGCATTGCTATTTTATTTTAATCTAAATATGAAAACTTGGGTGAAAATTGCTCTAATGCGCTTCATAAATAACAAATATAAATGGATAGAAAAAAGGATTTGAAGTTTCTCGTTTCTTTTTTTATACAATGCAATGCTGTATCCATAAATGAACATGAATAAACAGGTCAGTAAAGGATCGGCAATGAAGATGTCTCCTTCTCTCTGGTTCAAAGTGAAGCTGTCACTCACTGAGTGTGCGGGAAGATGCAATAGAGCATAAAATGTATGAATTTAGCAAAGTTCCTTTTCATAACGTGCTTCCAATTCATCTGATGTAAAAAGCTGATTCATGTTCTACTTGCTTTTGCCCAAACATGATTTGAGTGTCAGATAGACCTGCATTGAAAAACTTTTTTTTTTTTTTCCTAAAGAATTCCTCCAGCATTTATTATTTTCCCTAAAAGTTTTCTTTCTTAGCTTGGCTTGTATCTTCTTTTTCCATGCTTTCATATGCAACCGTTTTTGTTGGTAAGTAAGATCTGCCTTTACTTTATTTCAGTGCTGTTTCCAAGCACGCAACTTTGAATGTACTTGCGCATGCATATGCATATATATATATATATATATATATATATATATATATATAATATTATTTTTTTTGCTTGTTGCTGCTCCCTGTGTGCTGTTTTGAAATATGTCTGTGTGATCTTTTTCAGTGGTGTAACAATCTATTTCCTTTAAAAACAGAATGGAAGGCACTGAACAGCTTTTATTTCAGATTTGTTTTAATATGTAATAGTATTCTGCAAGGATTCCATGGCCAAAAATTACATTCCCATCAGAATCATCAAATAGAACCTTGTAGTAGATGGTAATATCACACCTTTTGGGTTATTTGTTGGTCACCATCAAAAGAATCAAATATAAGGCAGCTATGTTTTTTTTTTTTTGTTTTTTTTAAGTGAGTAGAAGGAATCGCTTATCAGGGCAGCAATAAGGTAGAAAGACCAGGTAAAAACATGAGCCATTTTACTCCAAAATCTAGCTTTGATTAGCAGGAATAAACGCTTCTTAATGAAGGGGCGCTATATGTTTAACTGCTTTATTACAAGCCTGGGATGGATGTTACATTTCATGTGCTCATACTGTAATAAATCTCTGCCAAAAATAGTCATTTGGGAGGAGACTATTTGTTTAGGTAATGTTTGTTTGTGGTTTAAAAGCAGGAAGGGGAACTATGCTGTCACTGACACAGGGGCCTAACTAGGGCATTTGACAACCGGGGCGGATCATATATTTGACACCCCACTTGACATACACCCAACTTTAAAATGTAAAAAACACCCTCAAATGTTCTTCATGTATTTGGCACTGAGCAGTGTTTGTGTGTTTGAATGTAAGCATCTTTTTGTATGAAGTATGTGTGAATGAATGTAGGTGTGTGTTTGTTTGTAGTGTTGGCATTTGAATGCAGGCGTGCATTTGTGTGTAATGTGGCTTTATAATATGGAGGTGTGTTTGTATGTAGTGTTGGCATTTGAATGCAGCAGTGCATTTGTGTGTAATGTGGGCAAAGTGCTGAGATGTATGCACATCTACACACACTGACACACATGCAAATACACTGACAAACATACAGATAGACACATAGATACACACATGCAGCTACACAGATACAAACACTGACAAACCTACAAATACACAGATACAGACACACACATACAGATAAACCTATACAGACACACACACATACAGACACAGATACACACATACAGACAGCATAGGTATAAGTGTGTGTATTGTATGTAATGTGTGTGTTTTTCTGTACTGTATGTGTTTCCGTAGTGTATGTAGTGTGTGTTTGTAGTGTATGATAAGTACAGCAGTTTGGGTTTATTCCCCCGTCATGGCCTCTTACCTGTGGCCACGAAGGGGGACACACTAGATTCCTTAGTACTATTATTGAACGGACCACCACAATTAGTTATTTAAATGTATCTCTACGAACTATCAAAATAACTCCATCTTGATCAGTTCATTGAGATTTATTTATTTTTAATATTCTTTATTAAATACATAAATAAAGGCATTTAAGGTACAAATCACAGTTCAATTAGATAAGAGTATACAAAAGTTAAAGTTGTTTTACAGTGACCAAAACATTTTTAAAGCTCGCCAACAAACAAAAGCAAATAAACTATGTAGCTTAATCATATCTCCAATGTACAGCGTCCACAATTGCCCTAAAAAACCCTTGACAATGCGTTTTCACTTTAAGCATCATATAGTGCATTTATTCCTACTAATTACTGTTTTTTTAATTGGTGCAATATACAGATAGTAACTAAATGGAGACTATTTCACCTAAGTAAATTTTATAGTGGTATGACATGTGGAGCAATTCCTCACTGCTAATACATTCCTACCGCTCACACTGTTCCCATAACCTATTCGGTTCCTATGGATGCCTTAGCTTTCTCTTAAGGGAAGGTTTAATTTATTAATGAGAACAAACATGAAAGCCCTTTACAAGCATTTTATATGGCTGTCTCATTGGCAGACACAAATGTGAATTCACAATATATTTACATAATTTTCATAATCTATATATTCATTTTAAATAGGGTTCTTAGATAAGTTACAAAATGTCGGATTTGGTTAACTTTCAAGGCCACTTTATACATGCTTAAGATACACTTAGATTTAATATTTATTATTTCATTGGGAATGGTTATGGAAATTTTTATTTTAGACTGTTTCCAGATGCTTAGTAAAATAAGATGAGACCCTGTTAAACAAATAATTTAGCTCAGCTTTCATTTTCTTTGTAAATAATTTCCAAATGGTTATTTTCCAAGTTGGCCTATATGTAAAACTAGGCAATTTAAAGGGATACTCTAATCAAAATAATATGATAGACTTACTTCCAGTAGCAGTGGAGTGCTTAGCTGTAGGTGCTTGGATGTGTTTTGTCATACTGATTAAAAACAATTTAACACTAACCAGGAGACTCCACCCACAGACCTTTTGCAGTATAACCATACAATGCGTTGTGATTAAAGTGCCCCTGTAGAAAGTATTTTTTTAAAATGCGGAAATAATACTTGGAGATGTTCAAACTCACCTTAGGTTTTACTGATAATATATTCATATATAGTAATCCATTGTAGAGATCAACAATATAAATAGTTTTATTGTTAAGATACCATTCTAGAGATCTGTAGTGTGTCTATTTAAATCAAATATTCAACATAACAGAGAAGTGTGTCCATATTAAATGCTTCTTAGACAGAATATGTTGTGGATATGTAATAATTTTGAACCTATGTGTTTCCAAGACGGATTATGTGTTGTCCTATCATATAAGCCCCATCTGGCCTTTGTCTTTTCATATGTGAGCAGTCTTGCTTAAATATTAACGTTTAATCAACTCATGTAAATTGTCTTGAGCTGAATGAATACACATTCCATAAGTATGTATCACTGGAATCTCAATTAGCACATTGCTCACATTTTCTCTCTGCCTTGCAGAAGTGGTACCCCATCCCCAAAAAGAACATCTGTTACGGCTAGACCTGCTATGATGAGAGGAAGTAGAGATCGATTCACTGGAGAGTCTTACACAGTGTTGGGTAAGGTTCTATTTGGAAGCTCATGCAGCTCTGTAATATCACCAGTTTTGGTTGTTTAATATATACTTAAGGGAACACTATAGGCATTATAACAACTTTTGACTTAATGAAACAGTTTGGGTGTATAGATCATGCCTCTGCAGTCCCACTGCTCAATTCTCTGCCGTTTAGGAAATAAATAACTTTTGTTTCTGTTAATGCAGGCCTCACGCAGCCTGCAAGAAAAAAAAAAAAAGGTTTCATTTTCAGTCATAACTTGATTTAGAAGATTTGATCTGTCGCTCTATAACTTGAACTTTAATCACTAACAGGAGACTCCTGCTAAAAGGCTTTTAACAGAGCAGCAGTTAAGAAATTAAAAATAATGTGCAATAAAAGGAAGTTTAAATATTAGATCTCTCTAGGAAGTGTTTAGGAAGGCTGTGTAAGTCACATGCAGGAAGGTGTGACTGTCATTCATTGACTGAGAGCACCCATCTTACACTCTCAATCAAGGAATGATACGAATATAGCTTTCTGCAGAGAGGAGGAGACCAGGAGCCTTGTGGGGACCCATATTAGAGGGCAAGTCGTTGCAAAGTGGTTTGCCCTGCTAGCCATAATGCTGACAAAGCATCAGGGGAGATGTAGTTCATAACATCTGGAGTGCTGAATGTTGCCTACCCTTGGCTATATGGACAATCCAGACTCCTATAGCATTACAGCTTACTGTAGTTATTTTTGTGTGAGTGTGTGTCCTTTTTTCATTTTACAAAAAGAACAGATTTTAATAGAAATTCTCACTTTTAGAAATGAACTTTGTTAGGACAACCAGTCCTGCTACTTCCTGGTTGTTTAGCTCAATGATGTTAAACACAATCGGCAAGTAATTGCCCAGACCACTTATTTTGCAAAGACTTCTCATTCAGCTGCTTTGGGAAGTCTGTAATTGGAGCCAAAGAAAGTATGGGCGGGGATAGAAGGGGTGGACTTTCAAAGGAGAGACCTGCGACTTTTGCATGCTTTTTTAGGTATAACTCCAATGAAAAAAATGCATAATTAAATACATGCATTCTTTTGTTGGGGGTATATCTACTAAATAGTAGTTTAACACTTTTGTATTTGGGCAGGGAAATGCCCCTTTAATGATATGCACCATACCTGCTTATTGCTATTGCTATTTGGAATGGTGTCAATTTTTTTAATTATATGTATTAATTCATTAATTTTAATATGCAAAAACTTATGTGGCTGATGTTTCAACTAGTGTCTTTCTTTATATATGTAATTATGTAATGTAAGTCTTCATGTTAATTTACTATGTATTTAAAGGACCACTCTAGGCACCCAGACCACTTCAGCTTAATGAAGTGGTCTGGGTGCTAGGTCCCTCTAGGATTAACCCTTTTTTATAAACCTAGCAGTTTCCGAGAAACTGCTATGTTTATAAATGGGTTAATCCAGCCTCTAATGCCTCTAGTGGCTGTCTCATTGACAGCCGCTAGAGGTGTTTGCGTGCTTCTCACTGTGAAAATCACGGTGAGAAGAAGCAAGCGTCCATAGGAAAGCATTGTAAGTGCTTTCCCATGAGACAGACTGACTGCGCGCGCAGCTCCTGCCACGCATGCGCATTCAGCCGAAGAGGAGGAGGAGAGCTCCCCGTCAGGCGCTGGAGAAAGAGGCAAGTTTAACCCGTTCCTACTCCCTCAGCACCACGGGAGTGGGACCCTGAGGGTGGGGTCACCCTCAGGGCACTATAGTGCCAGGAAAACTAGTATGTTTTCCTGGCACTATAGTGGTCCTTTAAGATCCAATTTGTCCATTGTCAAAAGTACTACAGATGCATTTGTAACTTAAAAAAATTATTTGCTACATGCATGTTATGTACAGTTTTTACCTTTTGTAACTAGAATTTGTTTTGTTTCAACAGGGGACACAACAATTGAAAGTGGGCAACATTACTGGGAAGTAAAAGCTCAAAAAGACTGCAAATCCTACAGTGTAGGCATCTCGTACAAATCCATTGGCAAGTTTGACCAACTAGGAAAAACGAACACCAGTTGGTGCTTACATGTCAACAATTGGTTACAGGCAGCATTTGCTGCAAAACACAATAACAAGGCCAAAGCTTTGGAGATGCCTGTTCCTGACAGGATAGGTATATACTGCGATTTCGATGGAGGTAAGGATTGGTTTACTGTCCAGTGACTCCTAATTTTGTGTGTGTGTAAAAGAGAGACTGGGCTGTTAAACATATCTGGTGATTTTATACATGTAATATTCTTGCCGAATCATGACTGGCCAATGTGTGTGTTGCAGAGACAAGTGACTGGCTATTTTGTGTGCTAGTTTGAGGTGTCTGCAGTTTGTATGGTGTTAGTTGTGTGTAAGTGTGTTTCAAGGCAAATGGCAGCATTATTAAGCAATACTTTAAAACATAATCTGAAAAATAGTAGTTTGCATTATGTTGGCATGAGATCTTTTTCAGAACTGGCTAGTAGCTTATAACCTGAAATTTTGAGCCCTGCTGTGTATGACGTTGGTATATTTTAATTGTCACAGATTTTAAATGTGTTTTAATAAATCGCTATTAACCTTTTTACACACCTCCCTTATCTATTATTTTCTTCATTTTTTTTCATCATAACAATTTGATAACATAACTGTTTTTGTTTTCTTTTGCAGGTCAACTGTCATTTTATAATGCAAATACAAAACAGTTACTGTACAGCTTTAAATCAAAGTTCACACAGCCAATTGTCCCAGGATTTATGGTTAGTATAAAGTTAAGTTTTTTTTTTTTCTTTTCAAAATCGCAATCTGGCTTCTAAAAGCTTTATGTCAGCCATTGTCATTGACCGCTCTATCTTCAGTGCTGGTAAATGAATAATGCATTCAGTTTTGGTGTAGGACCCTTAATAAACATATTGTTATTGTGGCCCTGACCAACTTTACTTCAAGAATTTCCTCGGGGGAAAAAAAATTGGTTGCAGATTAAAGATGGCTAGTAGAAAGATATAAAGGAATTTTGAAATCTGTCCATATAACATATACAGTGGGACCTCGGTTTACAAATTTAATGCGTTCTCCGGGACGTTTCTTATTGCGAAAAATTCGTAAACCAAAACGTGGTTTCCCATGGGAATGCATTGAAAACCAATTAATCCATTCTGTAGATCAGAAAAAAAGTCAAAATGAGCTGGCATGGAAACCAACCCACAATGTAGAATACACAATAAAAGGCATGCAAACAGTGAAGCGAAGCTCCTGACCTTTCCACAGCTTGAGAAATTCACCAAAAAAACGGAAATTAATTTCCAGAATGGCTCCAAAACTCGATGCAAAAGCCGCTCCAACACCTCCACGTGCTACCCACAGGCTCCAGCATGCAGGTGGCGGTGCTATAAACCTCCCAGGTGCAATGCATCCTGGGGAAACATCCTTTGTATTGCAAACATTTTTTGTAAACCGAGGCATTATTTTCAATGGATTTTCATTTGTAAACCGAAAATTATGTTAACCTAGGCATTTGTAAATCGAGGTCCTACTGTATTGTAATCAAGGAGAAAGATGAGAGGCTACCATGAGGCCTACAGCAATCCTGAAGTGGAACTGTAGACACTCACAAGTTAGGTGCACTGTGGAGGGAAGGGATTACTTTTATGCTATGTGTTCAACTTTTATGCCTCGTATTTTTTGTGGAGTTTCATAATGCACTGTAGAGCAAAACACGCCAGCACTGAGATGTCAATTGTTGTCTGATACATTTCCAACAAGTGACAGGTCTAGACTGGACATCCCGGTCAGTAAAAACAGGGCAGTGGAAATTCAAATTAATTCTAAAATTGCATACCATAAATGCAATCATCTTGATTGTTTGCATTTTTAGGATTTATAAAATAATTCAATACTCTACTCGGTTTTAGCCATAGTAATCAAACCTCTTTTCAAACAAAGTAATTTTTTATTAGCAGAGCAGTGCACTTGGTATACCTCCTTACTTGCATGTGACGCTCTAAAGATGGGCAAAATGTTTTGCCAAGTTAAAAAGACGGTCATGAAATAGAGAAGTGAGACACACCCTCTCAATTGAAATGGCCCATGTTTTCAGGATATTAAACTGGTCAAGGTGGTTCTCCCTGTCTCATTTTGCTATCCTTTCCATTACTGGAAATAGTCCTACTCTGTCCATAATGGACACAATTCAAGTTCAATATTTCACAAATAGACATTGGGTAATTTTCTTTCGACATTTGGAATCCATATTGGTTAACATGGAATTTGTTAGGGGTCCTGATGAAAGTTGCCACAGATGCACAGGGCTGTTTAATTGAGGGTCATGTATGATTTTGTGTAACACTGCTTTTTTATCAGTAAACTGGATTATGGTCTTATTAAATGTGGACTATCGTATTTTAATCTTTACCTCTACGGATCAATTTTCATCAGAGCTCTATTGATAGTGTAAACATTTTTATTTACGTTATGCAAGTCAGTTTATGTGGATTGTTTGGTAGTGGTATATGTAGGTTCTTTAAGAACTGCGGTATCCATTTCTTGTTGGGTCTCTATAACCATCTATTTAGAGGCCATGCCAGTATAATTTTACCGAACTGTAAAATGTACGCTCTATGAGAGCCGAGGTATTCACTTCATTCCTTGCTTATGTGGTAATGTAGGCTAACTATAGCCCAAGGTAATACATCTCATTTAATGGTGTATTGGACTCTCTGCAAGTTGAGATTTTCAGGGATATGGGTGTCTGCATTTATCCTTTAGAAGAGACTGCAAAGATTAATCACATAGTAGCTTGTTGCTTCGTCATTCAGTAATCTGAGTGGGCGGTTGGTTTTTAGTAGGACACCTAGGGATTTGATATGGTGTCTAAAGTAACAATTGTTTGTTACAGTCAGACTCTGGTCCCCTCTAATGTTACAATTTCCTGTATGAGAAAGTAAGCAAGCTTGCTTTAACTAGGTCTTTCTAGTCATTTTAATGTCGTTATTACTATTATTATATTTATATAGCGCTTTACAATGGGTGGACTAACAAACATGTAATTGTAACCAGACAAGTTTGATGCACAGAAACAGAGGGGTTGAGGGCCCTACTCAATGAGCTTACATGCTAGAGGGAGTGAGGTTAAGTGACACAAAAGGTAAGGGAAGTATTAGGGAAGTATTAGATTGGTAGAATAGTATTCAATTAAGACTTAGTGTGGGTTTTTTCGGAGCCATTAACATTTTAATTGATTCACTTTTGTGAAAAAGTGAGTTTTTAATGATTTTTTTTGAATGAGTGGAGACTGGGTGAGCGTCTAACGGAGAACGGAAGGGAGTACCACAGGAACGGTGCAGCCCTAGAGAAATTTTAAATGCGAGAATCAGAGGATAGATGCAGGTCTTCCGTAGAGCGTAGGGTCATAGATGGGACATACTTGTGTATTAGGGAGGATAGATAGATAGATGGGATTAGCATTATGTAGAGATTTGAAAGCAAGAACCAGAATTTTAGATTGAGCCCTATATCTTACGGGAAGCCAATGCAGGGACTTGACAGAGAGGTGAGGCTTGGGAGATGCGGGCGGACAGGAAGATGAGCCTTGCCGCCACATTCATTATAGACTGCAATGGGCAAATGTCTATAAATAGACATTATAGACTGCAAAGTTGGGCGCACGTAAGACCACAGAGAAGCGGATTGCAGTAGTCAAGGCGAGAGAGGACAGTGGCATGGACCACTACCTTAGCCGCATCTGGCGAAAGAAGGGTGTGATTCCTAAGATATGTAGAGACACTTATACATTACAATGTCTACCTTTTAATAGTAGGTGCACTCTAATAATTGGATGCAAAAGTTAAATGTTTTTTACATACCATGCTTGTTTTTTCTACAGGTGTTTACTTTCTTGGATTTTGTCACTGTGGTGTAGAAGGGTCATAGAAGTTGGTGGCAGATATGATAATTCTGTGTTTTGTTTTTTTGACATGTTTGGATACTGATGCAAAATTAGACAGTTATACCAGTAACATTAGCAGCATAATAAAAACAATATCCTAAGAAGAATAGGCAGTTGTACAACTCTGAAGAGGTACATTGTAAAGATATTTAAAACTTTTTTTTAAAAAAAAGGTACAAGCAGTAATGGAAGTGATCAAGTTTCAGAGCATAATAATTGCACATGTACAATTATTGCAGACTGAAAAGTAAATATATAGAAAGATATATAATGTAGTAAAATATTAGAATTTTCTTAAAATTGATCACTTAGGACAATATGGGTTTCATATTGGAGATGACTTGACACACAATTGATATTCATCACAATTTTATATCTGAACTCTTGACTGTAAGAAAATAGAGACATTTTATCTTTTAACATGGGTTGACTGCTTTGCAATCAAAACTACACATACATGATGCAATATTGTGTCTTAAACATAGTAAAGTAAATTACCAATTGGTACAATATCATTTTTGGATGTTCCTTGTTACCAGATTGTATAAAACTGAGCTATTCATTTTTCTTTCTTTTTAGGTTTGGTGTGGCGGGATCACATTGTACACAGGGCTACAGGTTCCAAGTGCTGTGAAAACACTTCAGAAATCTGAAAATGGAATGGGTGGCTCATCTAACAGTCTAACTAGTGTTGCTCAATAACCTCACTCAGTAATCACCTGATAGGATTAATGGATCGTTTGCTCTGACTTGAGTGGATTTTTAGTGAATTTCATTTTATTTAGTAACGTGGTGGTTGCTGTTCACCAAAACTGTGAGCAAACAGATCGTTTGGGTGATTGGCCCATTGCTGCTCCGGGACTTGCGTTGCTCTTGGTGCTCTGCTTCTATGCTGATAAGGTCAGCTCTAAGCAAGTCAGCAGGTCTATACTGCACAGGATGGAGGACCTATGGACAAGGCACGGAAAAGAAGTACATGTGAAACTTTTAGGTTGCTTTTTGTGGTTATGGATACAGCCTTGTAGCCTGTGTAACTTACATTAAGCGTAATATATGACTGGATTTTCAAATGTGACCATTCAAACACCTTTATAGAGGGCTTTCTGGCTCTCTGTATTTCGAGAGAGAGCATGCAAACTAGGCAGGCTTTTAACATAACATCCTCCTAATTATAGATTTAGTGGTGCAACCAATGAAAAACAAAATATGTCTCCTACCATCTTTTAATTGTCTAGGAGTGAGACTTGCCAGCTAATTCCAAGTGAGAGATTAAATCATTTTTTACTTTCAAACTCAAAGGGTTTTGTGTATAAATGCCGATTCTGGAGCAAAGGTTCTAGAAGTGGAACAATTAGCAGGGAAATGTTCCTGCTTTTTGTCCTACTTTTATAAACTGAAAATGTATAATTTCGTCTTACAAGACTCTTCGTGGATATAAAAATTGAAATAGACAAGCCGTGTTTTCCAAGAAACAGAAAAAAAAAATCAATCTTCCTTTAAAACAATACAGACAATTCTTTAGAGCATTTACACAGGCAACAATGTTTTTTTCTTTTAACAACCAAAGATGTGGTTGAACTGTTGCCTGTGTAGCTGTAGAGATTGTCTATGTGGTTTTGAACGAGTGCTGGGCCATTTTGATCATCACTAAATATTTATTTTCTACACTTTCCATCAATCAAGCTGTTGAATATATGCCAATACTGCATATCATTTAAATATTAGTATATACCTAAATGATTTGCACATATCATTAGATGGGTAGGATTCCTTGTTTTTTTTTTTTTTGTTTCTGACCATACAGTGTAGCTTTCACTGAAGATAGCATGTTAATGATATTTTGGATAAGAGATCAAAAAGAAAGAAAACAAACATGGCAGAGTATGTAAGCCTAAATATTAGGTTTAAATATTCATGAACACAGAAAAAAGTGCATTAAAATGGTTTAAATACTAATAGTTTGGATGTTCATATTACATTCTTAGCTCTTTTAAGACATATTCGATTTTGTTCAACTCTTGTGGGTTGCACCTTTTAAAATGATGGCCTTTTTAAAGCAAAAAATAAAAATTTAGATATATTCAGTATTGCCTCTGTATTCATTAATGAGTCATATGCATTAACCAAGTCATTATTGTCACTTGCTCCACTATCACAATAGGAGCGGTAGCTGCATTAAAGTTTATTTTACTTTAATATGTTGTCTTCAAGTTTCTGATTTAAAAACTCAAATGAATATCAATCTTTATTTCCATTTTTAAAACTTTTTTTTTTTAAACCTATTTAAATGAAATTAAATAAATCCTTTCCTCCTACCCACTCATGCATTGTTTGTTTATACTGAAAGGATGAATGTGAACGTGTAATTTTTGGTGACCGGTAAAAATGTTCCAATCCTGTGTGTCTATCAAATCAATATAGATATTTTGCTTCCATACAATAATATCTGCATGTTTGCCATGCATGCCCTGAAATGGTCTTTTTATTTATTTATTTTTACTTATTTAAAGGGGGGTCCCTTAAATCTAACTAGGGACTAGAACAAAATAGTGTTAGGGGTACATGTTTTTATGTCTAACACTATAGTGTTCCTTTAAGACTGGAATTACACAATACATTTCACTAGTATCTGCATGATATTGTTTAAATATGTTTGGGGAAAAAGTTGGTTGCAGGAACAGTAATTTCCCAGGCCTTTTCATATTAAGTTTAGTTATCCAATCTGTTTAACATATGTATTTGTGAGACAAACATTTAAAGGGACACTCCAGGCACCAAGACCACTTCTGCCCATTGGAGTGGTCTGGGTGCCATTTCCCACTACCCTTAATCCTGCAAGTGTAATTATTGCAGTTTTTTATAAACTGCAATAATTACCTTGCAGGGTTAACTCCACCTGTAGTGGCTGTCTACTAGGCCGACCTAATCACTGGGAGGAGCAGCGGCGTGGGACATGTCGCTGCCTCTGGTAAGTCACTGAATGGGTTTTCACCCCTTCAGCAACCGGGGATTGGGAGGTGGGAGGGAGAGGGTACCTGCAGTGCCAGGAAAACAGATTGTTTTCCTGGCACTGGAGTTTCCCTTTAAATGAAGTGTGGAAGTCAACATTTCTTTGTTCTCTGACTGGTTGTCTCTGTCTTTGCGCTCTGAGACTGTCAGTCATTGTGATAAGATCTGTTCTTTGTGCCTGGTGGCCCTCATGGAGGAAAAGGGGCAGTATGGGATCTGGCTGTGTCTGCAGTGGGTGGATTCTGGTGTAATTTGCTAAACCTTTAAAGGGGACCTGTCCCTTCTCTAGAAATTACACCATTGAGTAAAAATCACTTATAACGTGGGTTAAGCTTTTTTCATGTGATGCTCCAGCTTATAATAAATGTTCAGGGGGTGACATCACAATTTAATTGTGTCTGTGTATGGCCTGAGTACATTTGTACATTTAATTGTCTTTTTAAATAAATGAAACATAAGGGATATTTTAAGCTCCAGTCGAAAAATAATAAAATGTAATAAAATATTGCTGGCAACCACAAAATATACACCTGCTTGGCTCATAAGCTTTGATTTCTTGTTTCATCTTCAAACACAGGAGGCTATGTTGCTTTAGCAGGCATTTAAAGGGACACTCCAGACACCAAAACCGCTTAATCTAAATTAAGTTATGCCCAGAGGCCCTCTTACCTCAAGGGGTCCAGAATTCCCCAAACTCCAGCCCTCCAGATGTTGCTGAACTACAACACATATGATTCTCAGCCTATTTCATTCATAGAATCATGGGAGTTGTAGTTCAGCAACACCTGCATCTGGCTTCTGAATTTTCAGATTCAGGAAGTATAGAGTGCAGCTGATGGGCTGAGAGCTCTCAGCTGCTGCTCTTAGTCAATCATTGACACCCCATTCACAAAACTGGTTTGGGACAGTAGAGTTCACACAATCTGCTATATTACGTTAATAATGAAGAAAACATAACTGCACTTTTTAGAAAATAAGAGACTAAAAGAACATGCATCAGCACATATACACATTCCTCTTCCGAATAATCTTTTAAAGTTACGTAGTAAATCGATAAGATAGTAGCAGATTATACTTGGCATAAATGATACATTTCCTTTAACTGTGCTGCTTGTGTAAACTATAATATGAACCCGCAGGGAAGCACTCAAATACACAATGACAAGTCTAGGAGGAGATATGTGCATCCCCAAGTTGCACTTTAATCAGCCAATGCCAAACTTGGGGAAACAGACGTCTTGAGGGTACAGCTAGAAATTCATGACAAAATGATGGCCTTTTTAAAGCAAAAAATAAAAATTTAGATATATTCAGTATTGCCTCTCCCCGCTCCTTGTTGAATATCCTTGGTCACAGTGACCATCATAGAAATGGCAAACAACTGCTCCATTCCAAGCCCATAAAAGGGGGGTGTAAGACACTAAAGGGGTAAGAAATTAAAATGGGGAAGCTGAATATGCAGAAGTCAGGCCATTGAGAGTGATCTTCGGTCAGATAATGGCTATTTCCAACCTAATATTACTCATTGTCTGAGCAGCAGGGGACAAGGTGACAGCTGAAAATATAAAGCGTATCGATATGGATGATTAAATAAATGTCTAAGGTAAGGTTTTAAAACGTAAAAAAAAAAATACAGCATAGTTTCCTTTACTATACATAAACATGAAAACAGAGCATCACCTAGAAAGACTGACACAAATCATAGGGGATGTTTCAATGTTTTATTAAATAGAGCTATTTTCAATTCACTTTTAGGAAAGTCATCCACATTAAAATACATATTTTTGACATAGTTTATGTCGCAATATTTCATAAAGGAAATATTTAATTTTCTATAATGGAATCACTGTGATAAAACAAGCTACAGTAAAACATTTCAGAAAGTCCTAATCAATCTGATCCGCTGGGATAACGCATGCGCAGTTCCACTGGGAGAGTAGAATGTGACGTAGCTCAACGCATGAGCATTGATATTACTCGCGGTGAACAGCGGCTGCGCGACCCCAGTTAAAGTCCGAGCATGCGCCGTGGTGTGTATGGTTTTGCGCATGTGTAGTAATGAAAAGGTCCGCTTGTATTCGGATTACCCAGTATGAGTGACAACTGTAATAAAGCCGGGAGAGGCGGTAGGTTTGTGAGTTATTGGCATTAGAAGTAATATTCAATGATAGAGCATTCTGTAGTTACCATGAGTATTGTCTTACATTCCTTGGAACTCTCACCAAACTCATTCACATTAGGGCAGTAGGACATGCCTGATGCTAGCTCTGTATATGTATTGACTAAATGGTATGTTAAAGGATGCACTCATTATTGTGTGTCATTAATTTATCATTCAAATAGAGGGTCAATATATAATCAAATATGTAGGTAAGAGATTATTTTAAAATGGACATTTGTGATGCTCGAATTGGTTGCATGTCTTGTTGAAGGTGCAGTGCGGTAATGAGCTTAGATGTTATTACACAGCTGGTGGTCCATGGCTTGGAACATTTTTGTTGATGGTACATGGTGATTATCAGTACTGGAGCACTGTGAGTTTTGACCATTTGTCAGCAGAGACACAGCTTATGCTAGAATGATAAAATAGGAGTTGTTCTCATTGCAGGCCATTAACCCCTTAAGGACCAAACTTCTGGAATAAAAGGGAATCATGACATGTCACACATGTCATGTGTCCTTAAGGGGTTAAAGGAACACTATAGGGTTATTAGGTGTGTGTGTTCCCCCTACCCCTCCCGCTGGGCTGAATGGGTTAAAACCCCTTTAGCCACTTACCTTAAAGGAACACTATAGTCACCTAAACAACGTAAGCTTAACCCCTTAAGGACCAAACTTCTGAAATAAAAGGGAACCATGACATGTCACACATGTCATGTGTCCTTAAGGGGTTAAAGGACCACTATAGGCACCCAGACCACTTCAGCTCAATGAAGTGGTCTGGGTGCCAGGTCTATCTAGGGTTAACCCTGCAGCTGTAAACATAGCAGTTTCAGAGAAACTGCTATGTTTACAATAGGGTTTACCCAGCCTCTAGTGGCTCTCATTGACAGCTGCTAGAGGCGCTTCCACGCTTCTAACTGGGAAAATCACAGCGAGAAGATGCTGAGGTCTATAGGAAAGCATTGAGAAATGCTTTCCTATGGACTGATTGAATGCGCGCGACTCTTGCTGCGCATGCGCATTTGGCGGATGACGTCGGAAGAGCGAGGAGAGTCCCCAGTGCCGAGGGAGCCTGGCACTGGAGAAAGGTAAGGTTTTAACCCTCTTCCTCCCCCTTCAGCCCGGCGGGAGTAGGACCCTGAGGGTGGGGGCGACCTAAAGACCCCATAGTGCCAGGAAAACGAGTTTGTTTTCCTGGCACTATAGTGGTCCTTTGATGAAGCAGTTTTAGTGTATAGATCATGCTTCCCAGGTTTCACTGCTCAATTCACTGCCATTTAGGAGTTAAATCACTTTGTTTCTGTTTATGCAGCCCTTGTCATTGAGACTGCAGGGACATGATCTATACACCAAAACTGTTTCATTAAGCTAAAGTCGTTTTGGGGACTATAGTGTCCCTTTAATCCAGCGCTGGTGACTTCTCCTCCCCCTGCCGATGTCCGCTCCCAAGTGGAGCCGAATGTGCATGTGTGGTCAGATCTGCGCGTGCATTCAAACCGCCCATAGGAAAGCATTACTCAATGCTTTCCTATGGGGATCTGAACTCCTGCTGTGAGTTCAATGCGATTTTCACACCCGAGAATCGCGTAGACGCCTCTAGTGGCCCTCAGGAAGACAGACACTAGAGGCTGGATTAACTCTAATGTAAACATAGCAGTTTCGCTGAAACTGCTATGTTTACAGCTGCAGGGTTAAAACTAGGGGGATATGGCACCCAGACCACTTCATTGAACTGAAGTGGTCTGGGTGACTATAGTGGTCCTGTAGGCTGCATTGAGTAAGCAAACAATCTTTAACTTTGGGTTAAGAGCATGAATGCATTGTATATTATGGAAAGTGTGGGGACATGTAGCAGACTGGGAAGGACACTGTAACGTATACCGGTTTCATTTTACTATAAAATAAGTTATCTGGGGATGGCAAGAGTAAGGAGAGAGCCAGTACCTTGGCTAGTTAGTGAAGTAACAGCCAGAATATTTTGGGGAACTAGGGAGTGAAAGAAAATACCTGAAACCTTAGGGCTTGAAAATCTTTTTGAGAAGGTGGAGGAGGCAGCAAAAAGCTCTGCAATAAATTTAATTTGTTCTTTGTCCTCAGAACGGTTATACCCTACATGTTCTTTCAGAAAAAATGACAAGATATGAAATGAGTTTTGATTGGGTCTCAACAAGTCCGGGATGATGCAACGAATCAATAAAAACGTGATTTTGGCCGTCCTGACAGCTGCAAGCTCTTTGTTTCTTCTATTCCAACTTTATTACTTCAAGTATTATATATCGACAAAGGTAAGATTCATTTATACATGGTTATCTACAATCCTCAGTTAAATGTATTATTCAGCTAGAAAGCAATTGCAGATAATCAAATCCATAGTGTAAGCTGATCCTGAATGTAACCTCTGTTGAAAAGACTAAGAATCATTCTACCCAAAAATGTGAAACGGGCAGTAGAAAGGTTATCATGAAGCAATTTTTTTTTTATTGTTTATTATGTACTGCACGGAGGAACGACCACCCAACACCCGGAGAAAATCGCAAAGGAATTTATCAATTACTACTCGTCCTTATAGGATAGAATGCATTAAACGGGACCACATAGAACACTTCCTACGAGAACACCTCCCCACAACCGTGACAGCTGCAGACGCAGAAACGCTCGACCTACCGATCACTGAAGAGGTAATACGAGCAGCCATCATAACAACAAAAACAGGTCGTGGCTCCAGGATATCCTGATCCCCAAGCTCACAAAAGCCCTGATGCCAACACTAGTGCACCCCAACTAAACGGGATTCATACCGGAAAGAAAGGCCCAAGATAGCACCCTAAGGGCCCTCGACATACAATACCTAGTGAGACGAAGCAAATCACCACTCCTCTTGCTCTCCACAGACGCTGAAAAGGCGTTCGACCAAGTAGATTGGACGTTTTTTAAAATGGTATTACACCTGCTGGGATTCACCACAGCCATACTGAGCTGGATCGAAGCACTATACAGCAACAGGACGGAGTCCTTTCCGATCCAAAATGGCACTAGACAAGGGTGTCCCCTATCCCCACTACTGTTCGCGCTAAGGTTAGAACCCCTGCTAGAAGCAATAAGACGAAACATCAATATGGAAAGCCACCACACACAAGGTTGCCGCATACGCGGATGACATGTTATTCTTCATCACACAACCAAGAATCGCCCTGCCTAATGAAAGAACTCTAAGACTACGGACACCTGTCGGGCCTCAAACTCAACCTAAGCAAATGCGAACTCCTCAATGTAAACGACCCGATGAGAGAACACAAAGCTATAGTCTCGACCTTCCCGTTCCGGTGGTGTCAGTCCCGAATGAGATACCTATGGATTTGGATGACAGCGGATCCAAGCTCCCTCTATCAAACAAACCTTATCCCTCTCCTCACTCGAATTCAGCAAGACTTACGGACCTGGAACTACCCACACATTTCCTGGCTAGGCCGCATAGCGGTGATCAAAATGAATATATTACCCATAATATTATACCTATTCCACACGATCCCCCTATCAATACCGACGGCATTCTTCGCTTCTCTGAAAGCTACATTCCTGACCTACATATGGAGAGGACACAGACCACGACTGCGATATGAACTCTTCTGCCAGAAGAGAAGAAACGGAGGATTAGCACTCCCAGACCTACGGAAATACTATCATGCAACAGCCCTACAACGGATCCTAGAATGGCACACTAACATACGACACAAACAATGGGTGGTCTTGGATACAGACTAGTCCATTGGCCCATCCATCTTCACCTCAGTATGGAACACGAAAACGACAACGCAGGACGATCTAAACAAACTCTCCCCGGCAAGTCAAACTCTTCAGACATGGTCGACAATGCGGAAAACAACAACCATTCCCCCCACACCCAGCCCAATGACCACTCTAACGAACAACCAACTAATAGGGGGAGAGCTACCAGCAAGGGCTTGGAACTTTCTGGGGGGAGAGGACTTCATCTCACTTCACAAAACACTGACCGCCACCGGACTGGTGCCCCTAGAACAAATGGTATAAGGCACACCGACTCCCATGCAAAGATACCGATATACACAACTGACACATTTCTATCACGCACTACCAGATAAAGCCACAGTGCATAGAACCCTCACGTGGTTCAAAGAGGTATGCGACAAAAAAACAACTATCCAGAAACCAACCTCAACCCTCTACCAATATCTGATCACAAACAACCAAATGACAGTACTGCCATACAAGAGAAAACGTGAAAACCTCACAGACAGGGCATTCACAGACGCACAGTGGGACAAAATTCTAATCCTCCACTACAAATCCTCAATCAGCTTGTCATACCAAGAAATGAATTACAAATTACTAACGTTCTGGTACAGAACCCCGGACCTCCTACACAAAATATTCCCCAATACCCCGGCGACGTGCTGGAGATGCGAGATGGACATGGGCACAGTAAAACACATCTGGTGGGAATGCACCAAAATCAAACCATTCTGGAACTAGATTATAGCTCGCATCAGGGACGTCCTAGGAGACGCGACGCAGCTGTCCATGGAAAACCTGCTCCTCCACCACACACGAGACCCGATCTCGAAATACAAAAGCTCTATCCTACGCCACCTCCTTGACGTAGCCAAGGTATTAATCCCTACTCTCTGGAAACAAACACAAACCCCCACGATGGAACAATGGCTAACCAGAGTGGAAGACATCAGAGCCGCAGAAGAAATGCACACAACACTGACGGACACTCTCTCAAAACACGTAGACAAATGACAACCCTGGATACTATACGTGGCAAGATGGGACCCGGGGCACGGCCAGCGGGGATGGAGACTAGTGGGAGGATCCACCCTCCCCGCACCATACCTTCCCTGCGCATCCACTCCTCCCTCACCCTACCTCATCACATTCAACCTTCTACACCACACACCAACTATAACAAACAACCAAATCATACATAGTTACAATATTTTAAAACACACACCCGTACGGACACACGATTAATGCCACACAATCACAATCAGTCTGACACGCCTAATGAAGAACCCCACACAACACTGGAACGATCACCCCTCGGGAAATAACCATACACTCAATAGGACCACTCCAAGCCCACGACTCAGACGACGAGCATAACAAACACACTGAACTTGGAGACCAAACCTACAGATTCACCTCCAACAATAACAAAACCTGCAATTCAACTGGACATCTAAGGGACCAACACATAACGCGAAGAAAAAGACTACAACCCATAGAAAAAGATAACAGAGCAAGATAACACACACCTGAGCAATGGCCACGCACATACCACATAAAGAGAACACCACACAAGCACACCAACCACCAATCACCACCTCCAAACACCCCATTGTGAGGGGATACAATTGACCCAAACACGTTAAAACAAGCCTAGAAAGACCCACGAACCCTAACAGAACACCCTCAAGACACCAACTATACCAACCTGAACAGAGATACATGCGCCCCACATTCTGAAGACCCATATGTCCAATGGGCACGTGACATAAACCAATAACTATACCCTATCCCCCCACTACAACCACCCCCACCCTTAGGCACATACATCATATCAACAACTGAGGCAAAAGAAAACCAACAAACTGAGGACATGATTACCCCCAATACACCTCCAAATCCACCACATATCACACAGAAAGAGTAACAATCCCACAAACTCATGGCGGACTACAAGCTCTAATATCGGAAATGTCTAAGGAATCTATGTTAATGCTTTACCGAAATACGTAACAAAAAAGAAATAAAAACCATACCTACTTTTATAATGCACTCCGTAATAAAATAATAGAGACCCACACAGACAGAAACTAACCACACCTATATGAACTGCTAGGGACACCACCCCGCCTAATTAGGCCGACCCACACACCCAGAAGTCTGAATCTTACCATCAACAGAGATTAACAAAGCGGTACTCAGAAAGGACATGTTTCACTCAAATGGACCTGCGAGTCCATCAAATACAATATATCATTCCTAATTGTTTATACCATTCGTGGAGGCCTGCGAGCCTCGCTGTTTAAAATGTCCAACTGTTACATACTAATGCTGTCATGAACAACACCACCAAAAAGTAATAAAAATTACATTTACTTAAAAAATGGGTAAACAATACCCACTTGCCGTGTGTGTGTATGTGTATATATGTGTGTATATATATATATATATCTCTCTATCTCTCTCATGGACCCTTTTATCCCTTCTAGTATTTGCACTCTGGAGCTGCTTGGATATATCATTCTGATAGATCACCATTTATAGGGGAGAGCCATGCAAGAGAGACAAATCCTGCAAGTGGTTCCTATTCCCCTTGGCATAAGGAGACCAATAAAAGAGGTCTTCAAATTTAAGGTCCAAATAGCTAAACTGAAAAAAAAAATCTAAGTCCGATATATTTCCAGTAAGACTATGGCCTTAAATTTGAAATTCACTTTGCATTCTCATCAATTCCCATTTTAGTGAATAACCCTGCCACTGTATGTGACACTTTCACCTAACCCAAAATATTTATTATCTGATAAAATTTCGGTACAGAAGGATTAAAGGACCACTCTAGGCACCCAGACCACTTCAGCATAATGAAGTGGTCTAGGTGCCAGGTCCAGCTAGGATTAACCCATTCTTTTATAAACATAGCAGTTTCAGAGAAACTGCTATGTTTATGAATGGGTTAAGCCTTCCCCCAAAGCCTCTAGCGGCTGTCTCATTGACAACCGCTAGAGGCGCTTGCGTGCTTCTCACTGTGATTTTCACAGTGAGAGCACGCCAGCGTCCATAGGAAAGCATTATGAATGCTTTCCTATGCGACCGGCTGAATGCGCGCGCAGCTCTTGCCGCGCGTGCGCATTCAGCCGACGGGGAGGAACGGAGGAGGAGAACTCCTTGCCCAGCGCTGGAAAAAGGTAAGTTTTTACCCCTTTCCCCTTTCCAGAGCCGGGCGGGAGGGGGTTCCTGAGGGTGGGGGCACCCTCAGGGCACTATAGTGCCAGGAAAACAAGTGTTTTCCTGGCACTATAGTGGTCCTTTAAGATGGAAGCTGGTAGCATATTATTCAGACATTGGTTTCATACTAATAGAATGTTTGTTCAGATTGGCTCTTGCCTTTGGAATTATACAGATATAATATTTATTGGAAACCTAATTCTTTCAGCTTGTTTGTTCCTGTGTTAGTTTTTTAGAAGCGTTTCCCTTTGTGTTTCCTAGAATGGTCCAGCATATTCAAAATTAAAAGGAAGTTTCTCATCTCAAGAAAGTGCACAATGGGTAAGTGCAATCATAATTTGCATTTATTTTTGTTTATTTTAATTCCAGAGTATATGCATTGCCTTTTTACCCATGCATGCACTACTGCGAAGATTTAAAATAGAGAATGTTGGGCTCTGATACACCCCGAGTGATGTATTCTTCAACCAGGAAATTACTAAGACCTTAGTTAATCAATCTCGAACCTCGTTAGTCAGTTCTTGTCCTATTATAACTTGCCACGTTAAAGTTCTGAACACATGCTTGTGTTTGTCATCATGTGAATGTGCGGTCAGTAAGTTTCACAGTAAAGGAAATAGGGAAAAGTATGTGTGCATGTGTTTCAAATCCAGACTGTGGTTTTACAAATCTCTTAAGGTGATAAAGTTGTTTGTGCATTTTGAGAGTATGGGCTCTTCACTTAAAGTAGATACTATAACCATTTAATCTCATTGTAAGTGGTTAATACAGTGTTAAATTAGTTTAATATTAAACTAGTGTCCCAGGCTCACCCCCCACTGGAGATATGGCCAAGGCAAATTTTATACACTTCCTCTAGCCATGCAAATTCATACATACAATGGTTGCCGTCAATTGACACTCTCAGCCAATCACAGTCTCCTTTTGCTGCTCAGATAATGCTTCCTTATAATCACACTATGGAAATGATCTGCTGGGGACTCTAGCAATAAAACCTTAAAAATGGTTTCATGTTAAATGGAAGGATGATGTCAGTGGGCTCTAGACACTATAAGCATTTCATTCATGAGATGAATCGGTTAAAGCGCCTACAGTGTCACTTTTCAAGGATGAAGTATTCCTGGTAGTTATGGATGTCCACACTGGCAGACTTGCGTTTTTAAATGCAATCTACAGTTACTGATTAGTGCAGATCTACATCAGCCATTAGTAGACCCCAACAGACTTACTTTGCCACTAATGCAGCAGTGTTTAATGGTGTGTGGAAAACAAACAGTGGGTATACAGTAATCGTTTTTTCTTTTCTCAAACAGCGAGTGGTTAAGAACTTTCTTGGCCTGGTTTCCAGTCACAATGTCCCAGTCTATCTTGTTGATGCTCTTGTTTTGAATCTACTTGACAAGGACTTGGAACAGCTAAGAAGCTCACCTGACAGTGCTCCCAGTGAATGCCAGTATTTCTGCAAGCATAGAGATGTCACCACCTTTGCACTATTGGACAAGATTTGGGAGCACAACGTAATACTCTGAGCATTACCTTTTATCTTTGTCTTTTATTTTATAATGTTTGGGGTACAATTACCTAAAAGTTAAAGCTTACATTGCCTATTCCTTAAATGGTTATCACTATGTTAGTTATTGTCTTGCTAGCCTTTGTAACCATAAACAGTAATATTTAAACATGAACTCACAAAGAATTTTTAGGAATGTTCTGGATATAGTAAACTGTAAAACAACTATTTATCCCACTTGAAGTATAAAGAATACAACAATATGACTCCAATAAGAAATTAATTAATAAAAGGTGATGTTTTACCCTCTTACTATCCAATTGTCTTTTGGAGCCCTTCCAAATCTTCAATGTAAATCTAAAACTGAAAATCTACCGTCAAAACATACAAAAAAGGGAAACGTTAAGTAGTATAACAAAACATATGAGAGTTGTGTGGGATAATAATGCACTCACAGTATTGATGAACTCTGTGGTCTGATGGTTATGGATTCTGTCTCCCACAGCAAAAATAAACACATAGAATATAAATTAAGAAAAATACAGCATAGTGCAAAACTGTATAAAAGTACACCTTTACTGTATTATATGCACTTACAGAATTACAATCTAAACAGGGTTATCGACCACTCTGAATGCTAGTTTCTCCGGGGTCTTAAAAAGCACCTATCTGATCACATATATTAATAAAAAGAAGTAATATATGTGAATAAAAACTCTATGCTTTTCATTGGTGGTGGCACAACTTCCTCGGGGAAGCGGTATATTTTCTTTATCTATGTGATTGGGTAGCTGCTTTATGATCCTATAAGGAAAACCCTGGGTTTAGATAACTTGGCATTCCATTTACGATCAGCCACAGACCTCATGTCTCTCCAGGCTACAACTTCAACTGTGTTTGTTTTTTTTATTTGTTTATTTTATTTTAATTGAACTGTGGTGACTGCAGTTGAAACAGCAGGGCCATTTTAAAGATTTCTATAGATATTCTTCACCATTATGCATAAAAGAGGACATTTTTTATTTTATTTTTTTTTAAAATTTGACTTCCAATTTCAGGGTAACCTGTTTCGATCTGCAGAGAAAATGGGATTTCAGTGGCAGAAGTATGAGGGGAAAGATCCACGACTTGAAGGAATGGATGATTTATCTGGAACGGAAATCCCTTTGCACTATATCTTCAAAATGGCAGCTCACACTATCCACTTGGTGGTATTTTATGAAAGGAGTGGTAACTACCTCTGGCATGGTCCTTTGAGACTTAAAAGGAATATGGACAAGAAATTTGCACCATTCCGGAAACTTCAGTTTGGTCGAAATGCTGGTGCTTACAACAGGTAAAATGTAGATCATTTTTGTTACTTTTGTTTCTGTATTTCATTTGTGTCGAGAATGAAAGGTTTAGTTCCAAATGGACACCCTTACCTTGAAAAAGTAAACTCTTGTACCCTCTCCTTTTGTGTATTCTCAGTAATTTCTGCATTCACTTTTGTGGAGCAATTAATGAACATGTATATGTGTGATCACAAGTGCTCTTTCGTGCCCTTACAAAGCAATCGGAAGCCAGCAGTTGACTGATGGATCTGGGCCACTTTCCGGTTCAAACATACATCACTGTAAGATAATTTTTGGTGCAGGCACTCATACAGAGATAAGTTTATATTGTTTTTCATTTGGAATTATGTTTTGTAAATGTAGCTAGTACATTAACAATGCATGCTGAATCCACCCCGCAGTCTTTCTTTTAGTGTTATCACTGGACAAAAATAGTATTATTGTGGATATAGTTTATTTTGATTTCAATTTTTTTAAAAGGTAACTGCCACAATACCTTACCTTAACCACAGCTCCCAACTCCTCCTGCCATCTGCATGGCATGTTGGACGCCGGTAGCTCAGATCATGGCCCTTTTTATGATGCGGTGCATGCACGCCGTCATAGCTGCATTGCCACGAAAATTCTAATTTTTTAACTCCCCCTAATGTTTTTGGGGGGCTAGGTTTTAAAGCAAAAGATGCTACCCTATAAATAGAACGCCTTTGGGTTCAGTGCCCTATTGTGGTTCACCTGTTGTTCCCTCTAGTGCTATTGACTTTCCTGATAGTGTTCTCTTGTATTTTTGACTTGGATTGTATTTGGGCTATTCTGCTTTTTGCTGTCCTGAATCGGCTCGTTTCCTGACAAGGCTATTCCTTATCACTATACCGATCTCTGGTTTTCCTAGACATTGGCTATTCCTTGACTTTTCTCTTGCTGTCTACATTAAACCCAGCCAGTCTAAGGTCCAGTAATATGTTTTCTCTATTTTAGGGTTGCATTCTGTGTGGTTTTGTCACTTTGTTGTGACAGTAACAGGTTAGTTAAGGTAATATCTAAATATCTACTTGGGGTAGGTACGCAGGTTGGCAGGGCTTTTGTTGTATGAGTTTTGTGGTGTTTTTTGTTTGTGTGGGGTATGTGGTTGTTGTTGTTGGTTTTTTTTGGGGGGGGGGGTTTGTGTGTTTTTTGAGTTCACTTATGTGGACAATCATATTGGGCCTACTATGGTTGGAAAGTTGAGTGGTTACTTTTAATACTGGCCAGTTAAATGACTGTGGGAACTGATTAGATGGGTTCCATATATTTATCTAGTATATATGGGGTCCTGACCAATAAACCTTTGTAAGACCACTGTGTGTTTGTTTTTTTGTTTTTTGTTCAGGTATCTATCTAGTGAATTCTCTTTTCACTCTTATGGGGATTTTTTTATATATTTCATATCTTTTCAATCATTGTTTCAGAGCTGAATTACTTTTGATCACCGCTGATGGACTGAAGGTGCAAATTCCTAAAGAACCCGCACAGTTCTTAAAAGAGATGACTCATTCAGAGTTTCTTGAGTGCAGATACAAAGAAGCAAGAGCATTTTTTCAGGTTAGTCGAAAAAGCAGAACATTGTTATGTTTAACCCTTATATAACATATACAATGAAGAACAGCTGGGAATCTACAAAAGATAAACCACAAATGGTGTAATATTGTTAAAGAAATCGTGTTTGCAACTAATAATACACACACAAGATCGGTGAGAAGCGCTTCAAGGTGCCTCCCCCAAGAAAACCTATTCCCATAGTGGTCGGTGTTGTATGCAGACTCCAACAGCTCACAGGAAAGATGGGTGCAGTCAAGGTCCCATATATGGCGGAGAGAAGCAAACAGAATTCTTGAACGCTAGTACTAAGCAATCTAAATTATGCAAATCGTAGATCTCAGTATATCAATAAGAGATAATGGGATAAGTTGGTGGGTATAGCAGACTTTGACCTCATGTAACTCCATGGCCCCTCTCTAACATCACTACACCTTTTCCCTTGTTTTACTTCCTGCTTGGTAGTGAGTTGATCTGGGGTTAGTGGTCAAATTGGTGGTACACTTGTTCTGCATTGTACACTATGTGTCATTAGGCTTTTAGTTGCAGATAGGTATTTCAGTTGCTGCTGCTCATGGATTTGCCATCAATTAAGGTCTGAAATAAATGTTTAGAGTTTGAGTTCTAGAGACACATGTGCAATCACTGCAGCCTATTCCTATTCGAACTTTAGCATTGTTTTGGTCATAGGTAATGTAAAAGCTGCCTTCACGTGTATTGTCTGTCATTATAGCTGTACCCTGATGACATCTCCCCAGAAGGTATAGAGTTCAGGAAGAAAGCAAAATCCCTGCTGCACCTGACAGCATTCACACTGGATACGTTGGGCATCAGTTTCTGGCTAAGCAGTGGGACATGTCTAGGTAATGCCAACATGCGTATCTTTCTCCTCCTCTCTGCTGAGTTATTATAGAAAGCTTTGCAAAAAAATAAGTGTGTAATGCACACACTAAAAAGGGGAGAATACTTCCTGCAGGGTGCTCCAGAAAGGAGGGCCAATCCCTGAAGACATCAAATGAAAGAAAAATAAATATCCAGGCACATCTGAGGTTTCTTCTAAAAGGCAATCTTTTTTTATTTTATTATTTTTTTTTTTTTTACTTTTATTTTTTTTTTGTGTAGACAGCGGTTCAGCTCCTCTCTGAGCCTTTATCAAGTCTCAGGTGTGCCTGGATATTTCTTTTTCTTTCATTATAGAAAGCTTTTATGAAAGGTAAATCTTTCCAGGCGTGGTGCAAGACAAATGGTCTAAGATACTTTAAGTGGATCAGTTAGTTTGACTTTAACATAGCCTGTGGTACAGTACAATTCTCACATATTACTTTATTGCTGCCTAATTCTAGCATTCCCATCCGCCACCACTGATAATGGCTAATGGGAAAAGGCATCTTTTATGCATTTTTGTAAAGATAATACAAACAAAGATTAAGAACCTGAACAGTTTTGTTTGTGAGTGGCTTCAACAACCTGCCAAGGTTCTCTCTTCTTGGATGTATTAATGGGAGTTTTTCATAATGGGTTTGTAGTTGCATCTAAGATAGATTGGTATGTAAAACAAAAACAGAAAAAAGCCCAGTGGTGGAGTAAATCTGGATACTTGGTTAAAATGAGTGTGGAAAGTCACTTACATATAGTAGAGCTTCAGACCATCTCGGGAATTCAGGCTTGGACCGAACAATTCTCACCTTGTGATATGTGGGTGCTATTCCTTAGAGTATAGGTCCTCAATAGAGTGTTGTATTGGATATATATAATTGTAAATGCACTACTACTTCATACTACACTATATATTGCTCCTGCCGTTTGGTTTATATCCAATACCAACACTCTGTTGAGGACCTATACTCTCTAAGGAAAAGCACCCACATATCACAAGAAGTTGGTGTTAAGCTCTATTAAATGTAAGTGACTTTCCTCACTCATTTTATCCAAGAAACAAAGCAAAAATGAAGTCTTGCGCACCCAGTAATGGTGTGCACACCAAAGTGCTACTGCAATTTATTAAGAGGACATAGTACACAAGAGCAGACGTTTCGGGCACAAGCCCTTTTTCAATGCTAATGTCCTATGGTATGCAGGATATAGAGACAATATATGCATATATACCCCTTTCCGGTTACACTCTGTGCAGAGTGTTTACATTACCCAATGTGCCGCCCCCAAACAAAACGAACACCTGTACAGCAAATCCAAGTCTCTCTGGCAGTTTCAGAATCTCCCAACACTTCCTGGATCGGCAAATGCGTGCGTGAGAATGTCAGACGTCATGTACGTCGCATTTGACATCATCATGTTCTGTTGCTAGGAAACGGAAAGAAACAAACATCCAACTGTATACAGTATCAGAACATTGTAAAAATCATTCAAATGTTACAGAAAGCTAGCGAAAATGTAGTACTGTGTATATACTGCAATCTATTAGACCAATATACATACTACTCAGAAAAATACACTACAGTGTATATAAAGAAGCAAGGTTAGCAGGGAAGACTCATGAGCTTTTAAAAGCCACCCAGAGGATGTACCTTATAGTGTAGTGAAAAGAAACCAAATCCCAATACAAGGAAAAGAAAATAAGAAAAACAAATTAGATAATACATGAATCGGACACCCTCTCCAGGGAGTGAGGGTGTACAGCAAGCCAATAAAGATAGAACTATATAATGAGAGTAGAGTGGATGGAAGGAGAGTAGTGATAGCTACGATACAAAATATAGGAATACATACCCCGATCCAGGAGAGCTATCTAGGCGGGTACATACAAAGGATACACCTACAGGAACCAGTGCCACTCAAGCTTCTCATAAAGACCATGAAGGGACACTGTATCAAGCAGGTGCATCCAACAAGTTTCTTTTTGTAATAGTAATTTTTCCCTATTGCCTTCTCTAGTGAGTGGAGGAACCCTTTCAATTACCTGGTAACGTAATTGGGAGACATTATGCCTCTTCCCTCTAAATTGTCATGCAACTGGAGCATCAGAAGTAAGGCTGCAAATCGTGGTCTTGTCGAGACACACGATCTTTCAGCGCACGTATTGTTTTACCCATGTATCCCAGAACGCATGGGCACTTGAGAAAATACACTATGAAGTCCGTCTGGCATGTAAAGAACCCTTTAACCCCTTAAGGACCAAACTTCTGGAATAAAAGGGAATCATGACATGTCGTGTCCTTAAGGGGTTAAGTCTAATCTGTTGGCCAGATATACTCCACCATTAGACATTTTCTGTTTTTGTTTCACATATCCATCTGACGCATGACTAACAACATATTGTGAAAAAACTGTCCTCTCTGGACATCCCCCCCCCCTTTTTTTTACTGTGGCTTATATTAGAGCAAGCATGCCAAACTTGCGGCCCAGCCAATCAAGAGCGCCGGGCAAGGGGGCTCAAAAACCACTTGTCAGATTGACAAGTGATTTTTGCACGCCTCGGCCTGCACTCCCTTTGCCCCCAGGAAGTGTGTGGCTCCGTAAGTGAACCACATGCACAGTACACTAGGAGGGGGAGCGCCTCCCCTCCTGCTCTGCGTAGGAGCGCCGGGTGTTTCGTGACTACCCGGCATTGAATCTGTCCGCATGCCGCCAGAGAGTGAGAGGCTCCCCTATTAGATAAAATGGAAGGGCAGAACAGAGCCAGCGCCCAAGGAAAAAAAAAAAGGGAAGGAAGGAGGGACAGAGTGTAACTGGAAAGGGGTAGGAAAGGAGACATGGAGGGGGGGTAGATGTTGATGGGGAGACACATGGATGGAATGTGTTGGGAGAGAGTCATGGGAGTAGAAATATCAATTGGATGGGGGCAAGGGAGATATGAATGGAAGGGGGTAGGGAGATATGGATGGGGTAGAGACATGGATGGAATGGATAGGAATGGAGACGTGGGGCTACACATGAATGGAAGGGGGTGGGAAATGTGAGGGGGGGAGATCTAGGGGGAGAGACATGAATGGAAGGGGGAGGAAGATATGGGAGGGAGAGAGACATGAATGGAAGACGGGAGAAGGAGAAAGGGATGGAAGAGGGGTAGAAGTGGAGTGCGCAGCCACATGTTAATCTTCCTGGAGATTACAAAGGGACTGAGGAAGCAAGCGTACACTCCAGGCAGTGGCCTTACTACTGCGGCCCACATAAATTTAAACCTTGCTTATCTGGCCCTTGCTAGCTTCTGAGTTTGACATGCTTGTATTAGAGAATGCAGAAGTGACATCTGTTCCTGGCAGATGAAGCTGCCAGTAGCTGAATGTTGACCATGAAGGAAGATGGTACCTCCAAGAGGGAGAAAATCAGGTAAGTATATTTCTCATAGATGCCTCCATGCAAGAAGACGTGCCACCTTCTACATTCAAACTGGTGTGCGCTATTTTTATATATAATCTGTGTATTTATTAAAGAGACACCATAGGCACGCACACCACTTCAGCTTATTGAAGTGGTCTGGGTACAGTGATCCCTTTTGCACTTAGTGCTGCAATCTTAAACATTGCAATTCCAGAGGAACTGCAATGTTTACATTTCAGCACTAAGTCTGCCTCTCAGACATCCACTGAAGGTGCTTTCTGCATTCAAATGGACCTTTGGTCCGGTATCTGATGCTCTGCATGAGGACATCCATTTTTTTTTTTGTAATTTATTTTTTTTCCTGTAGGAACGCATTGATTCAATGCTTTCCTATGGGGAGGTCTAATGCGTGACATTATTTGCCGCGCATGCTCATTAGAGCCCGCTCAATGTGGGACGGAGGAGGAGGTGGAGCCGTGACCTAGCACTGAGGGACATCGGTGCAGAGGTAAGGTAAGTAAATAATGGGTTTTTAACACTTTATTGATCACCGCTGGGGGTTTGCAGAGGATCCTTATAGTATCTCTATAAGTATGTTATATTAGTTGCTGGCATATAAACTGAAAGTACTGACCGTTTTGTTTGTTTTCACTGTTTCAGGTTGGTATAGGCAGTGTAACATTATACCATACAGCAAGGATGTGGATATTGGTATACTTATACAGAACTACAAATCTGATATAATTCCATCTTTTCAAAAGACGGGACTCACACTAAAGCACAAATTTGGAAAGGTTTGTATTATAATACTGCCAAACACCTCTAAAACTAACATCTGCTGACCATTACATTTTTTTCAAATTTAAGTTCATTCTATGAAATTTCTATTAAATTATGAAGGGTTACATAACCACGTCCTCCTTTCTTTCCCCTTCATTCTTCAAAGTCGAGTTCCTAAACATAGGCAGCTACTTAGTGGAATATTAGAATATACACTAGAGTTTTTTTTTATTATTATTATTATTATTATTTTGATGTCTTAAAACATGATATGTCTGCTGAAATAGTTTTATATATGTTTTTATTTATATAACCAACAAATCAAATTTCGTGTTACAATACTCCTTTTGTGAGAGTGTGCATTTGGTTTGATTTTTAATTAGATGCACAGTATTGTTATGCAGTATATATTTTGCATTTACACGTTTTGCAATATTTATTACATCTTATAACTAATTAGGATCTTTGATAGAGAGTGAAGATTCACCTACTGGTCATTCTACATTTTGGTTTATTCACTAGTTTGATAACTTGTAAAGAGTTCAGAAAGAAACTGCAAATTTAGAGAACCACTTAAGGCAACCAGACCACTTCATCAAAATTTTAGACTGGGTGCAGTGTCCATTTAGTTTTAACTCTTCTATCTAAAGCAAGCCGTTTAGTAGATACAGCAATGTTATGATTGCAAGTTTAACAAACCTCTAACGACTGTCTTCCTGACAGCCAATGGAGGTGCTTCCCATGTGAAAACAGTCAATCTTTATTCATAATCAAATGCTGCTCATAGAGAGCATTTGATTGGTGCAGTGATTTTTTGCATATGCACACTAGCATTGGATTGGCTGGGATTATCAATCTTGATGATCTCAGGCTGGGAGGTGGGATGGCACACTTGTACTACATTGAGGGATGTTTAAAGTGGCTGTGTCACTTTTGAACTTTCATAAATCAAATTTTCCCAAAACGTTCTTGTAGACAGTGTTGAAGTTTCTTGGAAATTCTAGTGGAATAGAGATATACATGTACAAAATAGGGACTACTTGCTCTCCTGTAAATGCCAATCTGACAATAGATGGCGTTCATTGTCATTTCACATTAGCTGGACACATACAATGAACAATAGATGCCTGTGGCACCTTATTGCAAACAACTGTCTATTGAAGATATTGTGGCCCAGCATGATTTTCCATAGACCAAGTTCAGTTGTGATGACCACTCCAGGCAGATAACGTTTCCAGAAGCCAACAAAGTATCAAAGGGACATAATGCCTTTGCTGAGGAGCGAGACCTGAATGCAAGTAAATGATTTAGGCAAACAAAATCCCCCACAAAAATAATATAATACCCTATAAAGTTCCTAGTTTTTCTAGTGCAAGCAGAAGCAATAGGCAGACTCTTCCCTGACAATAGGATACTAAACCACTCATCCCAGTGAGCAGGATTTTTCGTATACTGTTCAGCAGGAGTTTATAGAATGGGTAGTACCATAACTATACATAATGGCTATATCGTGACTGCTATTCACAGAAGCAGTTTTGTGAATGGGACTGTGTATTGTTATCTGCCAGATTCACATGAACGGATCGGAGTTGTAGGAGTCTGGGTGATGGTAGGTGCCCAGTCCAGTGTGCACTCATAAATTGGAAGGATCTTTGACAACAAAGGAGGAAATTAAATTTACTCAAATAATGTCTCTACCCCATGCCCATAGGTACAGAAAATCTAATAAGCAAAGCTGTGCAGAGAGATTTGGTCTAAAGTGTAGTGAACACCGTGATCCCAGTCTCCTTGCACACTTTAGTTTATAACAGGGATTACCGGGACCCTTTAATCCCTAGTGCAGGGTAAAAGTGTCATGTTGATTGAGAAAATTATCATAAAAACAAAAGGTTCACTATGGAAGTTATCAGTTCTTATAGTTTGTTGCAAAATATAGACTCAACAAAAGTAAACATGTAATAAAACGGTCTATTCTGAAAGATTTATGTTTAACTGTGTTGTAAACACAAATCGCTTAGAAAATGCCATGTTGTTGATCTGAGCTGTCCTAATATCATGGCCCAGTAGGTGGCAGCACTATTCAACTTTTGTGACCGTTTTTATTTTTAGGAAACTGAGATGGCTTTGCAGTTTGCTAAGAATCAGTGGAAACATTCCGCAGTATCAGTATTTTAAAAAAAAATTAAAACAAAAATCTGTTTTGCTTTTTTCTATATTTAATATTATTGGTAGTCATTAAAAAGTGTAATGAGGTATGGGTTTTCAGGCAATTTACTTTAAGCAAGAAATTAATAATTTCTAGGGTTATTTACTGTGAGAATGCACAGTGAATTTAAAATTTTAGGCCAGAGCATTTTTCCAAATGCACTGTTTGGACCTTAAATTCAAAATTCGCTTTGAATATCCATCAAATCTCACTTTAGTAAATAACCCTGTCAGTCTTCAGCTGTAGGCTTGTTTCCAATGTTGTTGCAACTTTTGTTTACCAACTAGCAGCTACTCACTAAAGTGCATGTTGATACAATTCGTGAGTAGCGTCTTTTTACTAACTGCAATATCACACCACTCAAGGCCGGGTCTTACTGGCTACCACTACTTAAATCCAGTGACTAAGTAACTGCTAATGGTTCCTATCACTGGTTCGTGAGTCTATTGCTGTTATTCCTTCAATCCTCCACTAGGCCTAATTCCAGATGTGCTGAATATAGTGAAAGTATTCCCTTTGTGTAGAGTTTCCCCAATGTAATGGACGCAACCAGTCATATTGGGTAAAAACCGCAATCTGAGCTTTATTGGGCCACACTCTGCTTCTTATGCAGTGCCCCTAGTATGGGGTTTCTAATACAAAATCACAGGGGTTTCATTCCCAGAAGCCATTGTGTTTGAGAGATAATTGAGCTCCAATTAAGCTAATCCAATTATCTCCCAAATAGGAAAACTTACATACAGTTTTTACATATCACAAAAATATATGACAACAGCATTGGAACCCCACAAAAATTATATTCCCGAATAGCACCGATCTAAGTGCACAACTTATCCAATAAGAGCTCAGATCGGTAAAACGAAAGTTATGTTCGTGCATATATGAACTGGCTTCCTGGTAGAGGTGGTAATGTCAATTTCAAAAGGGGTTAATTTGATTGTATGGGAGCTCAATGAGACAGCCACTAGAGGCTGGATTAACCAATTTATAAACATAGCAGTTTCTCTGCAACTGCTATGTTTATTAAAAAAAAAAAAGGGGGGGGGGTTAAACCTAGCTGGACCAGGCACCCAGACCACCTCATTAAGCTGAAGTGGTCTGGGTGCCTATAGTGGTCCTTTACGTAAACAAACTGTGCTGTCACATCTGGTTCAAAATTTATTTTTTGCCATGTAGGCTGTGAGTCACAGCCAGGGGAGTTGTGGCTAGGGCTGCATAAACAGGAACAAAAGTGATCTAACTCCTAAATGGCAGAGAATTGAGCAGTAAGACTGCAGACGCATAATCTATACACCAGAACTGCTTTGTTAAACTAAAATAGTTTTGCTGCTTAGAATATCCCTTTGAAGCCTCAAAACTTGCTGGGGCCCTCCTCATGCATATCATAGGGCCTTGTTATTACTGTGTTCACATCAACCAGCGCCTCTTATTTGAGTTTTACCCAATGCCTTGCAAACATATGGAGTAATGTCACTTTTTAGGATGATTGGGATGCTGATTGTGTTATTAACAAACTAGAATAACAATGTGTTGCAGGTGTAAAAGCAGATAAAAAGGTTAAAAGGAACACTATAGCGTTAGGAATACAAATAAACTCAAAAACTATACAAACTCACCCCTTCACTCAAACACAAATACTTCACACAAATGTAAATCCACATTTAAAAGTGAACATTACATTCAGACACACCCCTGCAATCAAACCCAAACATTTCATACAAACACACCCCTGTATTAACCCCTTCAGGACGGGTGACGGACGAGGTCCGTCACACAGGGGAGACCCTTAACGACGGGTGACGGACCTCGTCCGTCACGCGGTAAAATTAACCCCGGATCGCCGCTATCGCGGCGATCGCGGGGTTAATGGTGCTCCCGGTATGCCTCTGCATTAGCGGCATACAGGGAGCACCCGGTCAGGCTGCCCAGCACATGTGCTCGCTCTGACCACAAGTCGGAGCGAGCACATGTGCTCTGTATACTCACCTACCGGCTCCCTGCACTTCCGGGTTCTGTGTGAAGTGCAGGGAGCCGGATCAGTGCTGATCCTGCCCCCTGCTGTAAAAAAAAATAAAGTTTATTTAAAGTCCCCCCCCCCTTACCCATTTTAATAAAAAATTAACCCCTTCCCTGCCAATTGATCACTGACTACAGTGATCAATTGGCAGGGATTACATTTTACTATGATCTGATTTTTTTTTTTAACCCCTGAGGGTTAATTCTTTTTTTTTTAACCCTCAGGGGTTAAATTAATTAAATTAATTAATTAAATTATTTTTAAATTATATATTTAGATAGCTGGGGTAGGTGGAAGTTAGTGGGGAATTGGGGGATTTGACGTTAGGCTAACTAGGGGTTAACGTTAAAAAAAAGTTTTAAAAGAAACTTTAAAAAGTTAAAAATTAAGCTTAAAAAAATGTTTTAATAACATTTAAGTAATAAAAACAAAAAAACACACTTTACCTAGTCCAAATAAAAATTAACCCCTTCCCTGCCAGTCGATCACTGCCTACAGCGATCAAATAGAGATCACAGTATTATACTGTGATCTAATTTTTTTTAACCCCTCAGGATTAACTTTTATTTATTTTTTTTAACCCTCAAGGGTTCAATTTATTTAATTAATTAATTTAAATATTTTATAACTATATATTTTGCTAGCTGGGGTGGGTGGGAGTTATGGGAAAATGGGGAATTTACTGTTAGTGCTGCGTACTGCTAGTTAGGGGTTAACAGTAAAAAAAATAGCTTAGAAAAATGTTAAATCTGTAAAAAAGTTTTAAGAAAGTTTAGGAAAGTTTAAAAAAAATTTATAAGCAAAACAAAAGTTTAAAAACTAGTTTTTAAAAGTAAAAAAGTTATAAAAAGTAAAAAAATACATTTTAAAAACGCTCATTACCACTACACCTGGAACAAACTAGAGAAAAAATTATCCCATGCCAAGGTTCAAAATATGCCTTTTGAATTACCCCAGGGTGTATTCTTTAATAAATAGTATGTGTTTGTGGGGAAGTCTCAATAACCAACCGTCTAAACTATTCCAAATTGGAACATGGACACAGCGTAAAACTTCAAAGTTAGAAAAAAACTGAATGGCTGCGTCTCAAATGCGCCACTTCAACATCCACATATACCTGGCAAAGGTCATATGGGGGTATTGCTGTACTCAGCCGACATAGCTGAGCAACATATGAAGTATTATACAGTCATAGTACACATAAGGTTTGCAAAATATGCTGCGCAAACTCACTTTGTATGTCAAAAAGGCAGAAAAAATGCTTATAACCACTACACTTGGTACAAGCTACGGAAAAATGATCCCACGCTAAGGTTCAAAATATGCCTTTTGAAATACCCTGGGATGTCTTCTTTAAGAAATGGCATGCCTTTATGGAGAATTTGGATTATATAGCCTGGTAAAATACTCTAAAATGGGACATAGGCACAGCATAAAAATTCAAAGTTTGAAAAAAACTGGAATGGCTGTGTCCCAAATGTGCCCCTCCGATGTCCACACATACCTGGCAAAGGTACATACGTGGGTATTGCTGTACTCAGCCGACATAGCTGAGCAACATATGAAGTATTATACAGTCGTAGCACACATAAGGTTTGCAAAATATACTGTGCAAACTCACTTTGTATGTCAAAAAGGCAGAAAAAATGCTTATTACCACTACACTTGATACAAGCTAGCGGAAAAATGATCCCACGCTGAGGTTCAAAATATGCCTTTTTGAAATACCCTGGGATGTCTTCTTTAAGAAATGGTATGGCTTTATGGGGAATTTGGATTATATAGTCTGGTAAAATACTCTAAAATGGGACATAGGCACAGCATAAAAATTCAAAGTTTGAAAAAAACTGGAATGGCTGTGTCCCAAATGTGCCCCTCCGATGTCCACACATACCTGGCAAAGGTACATACGGGGGTATTGCTGTACTCAGCCGACATAGCTGAGCAACATTTGAAGTATTATACAGTCGTAGCACACATAAGGTTTGCAAAATATACTGTGCAAACTCACTTGTATGTCAAAAAGGCAGAAAAAACGCTTATTACCACTACATCTGGTACAAGCTAGTGGAAAAATGATCCCACGCTAAGGTTCAAAATATACCTTTTGAAACACCCTGGGGTGTCTACTTTAAGAAATGGTAGGCCTTTGTGGGGTAGTTTGAATTTAAAACCCGCGAAGATGCTTGGAAATTGCACATAGGCACAGCGTCAAAATTCAAAGTTTGGTAAAAACGGATATGGCTTGGTCTCCTATATGGCACTGTAGCTTCACAAAATAGTGACAAAGACATTCATTGGGGGTGTATTTTTACTCAAAAGACTTAGCCGAGCATAATTTGGGAGGTTTGAACTTAGTGGCACATATGAAATATACAAAACGCCCAGCAAAAATGCAATCCATATGTAAAAAATGCACAAAATAATTTTTTTACCACATACTTTGGCATATATTGGTGAAAAAATGGGGGTATGTTAAGGCACAATATGCACCTTATGAGATACCCTGGAGTGTCTACTTTTACAAATGGTAGGCCTTTGTGTGGGGTTTTTGAACAGTCAAACTGTTATAATACCCCAAATGGAAGCTAAGGCTCATTAAATCCATCTCTCAAAATTCTACTGTGAATACTGTAAAGGACAGGTCTCCTATATGGCACTGTAGCTTCACGAAATAGTGCCAAAGACATTCATATGGGGTGCCATTTTACTCAGAAGACTTAGCTGAGCATAATTTGGGGGGTTTGAACTTAGTGGCACATATGAAATATACAAAACGCCCAGCAAAAATGCAATCCGTATGTAAAAAATGCACAAAATTTTTTTTTACCACATACTTTGTCATATATTGGTGAAAAAATGGGGGCATGTTAAGGCACAATATGCACCTTATAAGATACCCTGGAGTGTCTACTTTTACAAATGGTAGGCCTTTGTGGTTTTTTTTTGAACAGTCAAACTGTTATAATACCCCAAATGGAAGCTAAGGCTCATTAAATTAATCTCTCAAAATTCTACTGTGAATACTGAAAAGGACAGGTATCCTGTATGGCACTGTAACTTCACGAAATAGTGCAAAAGACATACAATGGGGGTGTCATTTTACTCAGTAGATGTAACTGAACACAAAATAAAACTTTGTACAGGAATAGCACACACCAACTTTACAAAATATACACGAGAATTTCTCTGTTATAAGTTTGTGTGCCAAAAACCAAAAGAACACAATTTTACTCCAATATTTAGCAGAGGTTGGCGGTGAAATGGCTACGTAGAAAGTGTCAAAACAATCTTAGGTAAATAGCCCGTGATGTCTACTTTATATAAATATATACTTTTGTGTGGCAATTTTGTTTTCTTTTATGGCTATTAAGCTTACAAGACAAACATACTAAATTCTAAAATCGCTCCACATTAAAAGTTTATTTTACTCCTTGTGCTTTGTGACCTGTAACTACCAAAAACTTAAAATCCCAGACACATTATATATTCTGTAAATCAGAACAAATAAATAAATTTATTTTTAATTACTTTCCTTAACCTGCACTAATTATGCACACATTATTATTGCAAAAACTGTAAAAAAAACCAATATTTTTCATTTTTTTGGCATTTTTCTGTATTTTTTTATAATAAGTAAGCATTTATATATATATATGTTATATCAAATTAAAGCCCTTTCTGTCCTTTAAAAAACAGTATATAATATGTGTCGGTGCAATAAATGAGAGAGATGCAAATTGAAGTTGAACGCAAACAGCAAGAAAATGCAAAAATTGCTTGTGTCATTAAGCGTAAGTCAAGCTTCTGAAGCTGTGTCCTTAAGGGGTTAAGACCGGAGGGCGTACTATTACACCCTATTTTAGGCGGCTCTAAATGCCGCCGGGCGTAATAGTACACCCTCCGGTCTTTCTTTACTTACCCGGTCGCTGGCGGTCCCACGCCGGCGATGGCGGTGGGGGGGACTCCCAGGGCGCCCCCCGCGGCACATCTTCACTCCAGCAGCCCCCCTGGCCATGTGAGAGTGAGGTCCTTGCGAGGACCCCACAATCACATGGCCGAGGGTAGCTGGCTGCAGCATTGCCAGCAGGGGGACTGCCTGTAATGACAGGTGGTCCCCCTGCTGGCTGGAAATAAAGTTAAATAAAATTAATTAAAGTTTAAAAGTGTAAAAAAAAAAAAAATTATATACTTAGATCATGTATATACACATACACATATACATACACACACATACTGTCTAGGTGTATTTTACTATTAAAAAAAAAAAAATATATATATATATATATATATATATATAATATAAAAATATCAAATTACACGTAGACTGATACTGATTAAATATATATATAATTATTGTTATATATATATTTATATATAATATAAAAAAAATTAAATATGGAAATACGTTAAAAAAATAAATTTTTAAAAAAAAATAATTAAAAAATATATAGATGTTATTTTGTTGTAACTGTATTGTGATATTAATATATATATTTATATCAAAATACACGTAGAACGAAATATATCTATATACATAAATATATAAGTATATATCACTATAAATATATATATATATATATATATATATATATATATTTTCACATACGTGTGTGTGTATATATATATACATATACTAATTCTACATATATATTTATGTAATATTTTTACTTAATTAGGTATTTTAATTAATTAATTACAATTAGCCGGACCTGCCTGACAACCCATGCCGAAAGTAAAGGGAATTTAATTTGCTAGCACTATATTTAACCCTGTAACTTTCCAAGACACCATAAAACCTGTACATGGGGGGTACTGTTCTACTCGGGAGACTTCGCTGAACACAAATATTAGTGTTTCAAAACAGTAAAATGTATTATAACGATGATATCGCCAGTAAAAGTGAAGTTTTTTGCATTTTTCACGCACAAACAGCATTACACGGACAATATTATTGCTGTGATACTTTTTACTGTTTTGAAACACAAATATTTGTGTTCTGGGAAGTCTCCTGAGTACAACAGTACCCCTCATGTACAGGTTTTATGGTGTTTTGAAAAGTTACAGCGTCAAATATAAGGCTTGTGTTTCATTTTTTTCACATTAAAATTCGCCAGATTGGGTACGTTGCCTTTGAGACCCTATGGTTGCCCAAGAATGAAAATTACCCCTATGATGGCATACCATTTGCAAAAGAAGACAACCCAAGGTATTGCAAACAGGGTAAGCCCATTCTTTTTCAGTAGCCACTTAGTCACAAACACTGGCCAAAATTGGCGTTTTTTGCATTTTTCACACACAAACAAATACTAACGCCAACTTTGACATACCTCATTTGCAATACCTTGGGTTGTCTACTATTGCAAATGGTATGCCATTATGGGTGTAAATTTCATTCCTGGGCTACTATAAAGTCCCAAAGGCAGCGTAACCAATCTGGCGAATTTCAATTTCAAATGTAACGTGCTATATTTGACCCTGTAACTTCCCAAAACGCCATAAAACCTGTACATAGGGGGTACTGTTTTACACATGAGACTTTGCTGAATACAAATGTGTATTTTATTGCAGTAAAAGCAAACAGTATTATGACATTGACCGTTAAAATGTCATGTAGAACTAAAAAAATAAAAAAAATCTTTTCTCCCATTTTTTTCATATTAAATTATGTTTCATAGCTAAATATTTGATATTAAATGAAAGCCCTGTTTCCCCTGAATAAAATGATATATAATAAGGGTAGGTGCATTTAATATGAAAGAGGTGAATTACGGTTGGACAGACATGTAGCGCAAATGCCAGGTTTTGTTTACATTTTGTTTTGTTCACAACGTGTACATTTGGCTCCGTCCTTAAGGGGTTAAAACATAATAAATGTATACAAACATCCCTTTAAACACCAACACTGTACATTACACTATAGCACCAATAAATTCTGCAGCACTGTACAGATCTACAACCTAAAAATTGACTTGGGGTGCCTTGGAAAAATACTGAAATATTAAGGACGCCTTGAATCTAAAAAGTTTGGGAACCACTGTATTACACAATACTTTTTAGACCTACATCGCTGTATGGAAATGTAACAATTATTTGTATTCATTTTTATGTTCAGGTGGAAGATAGCTTAGAACTCTCATTTCTTGGAGATGACGATGTGAAACTTGACATTTTTTTCTTCTATGAAGATGATGATTATATGTGGAATGGAGGAACCCAAGCTAAGAGTGGGAAGAAATTTAAGTATGACTGCTTTGTTTAATTCAGTTTTGTTTAGTGTGACAGAATGTAGGCTAAGTTTGACTAAAATGTTAGACTTCAGACAAGGTAAAACAGTCAAAAATAATTGCCATATTCAAAATAATGAGATATGGGTACCTAGCTACATGTGGGTATGTGGCTGCTCATATGGGGGGGTGGGGAGGAAGGGAGTTTGTGGAGGAGACATAAGAGCACAGTAAAAGCAGGTAAGCAATCATAAAACAATATAAAATAAAATTATATAAAAATAAGGGAAAGGTAAAATGCTACAATCATTTAAAATAACATTTTAATAATTCAACGTTAAGATTATACAGATGTTAAAATAGTGCCTAATCCTGTGTTATCAGGTTAAAGTAATGTTACCACTTGTTTTGTGCTGTAATTTCCTTTTAAAGTTCATACAGAGCAGGCCTTTGGTTTTATTCACTTTCTGTTTAGTTTGCTTAAATCACAACTTGTGGAACTCCCTGGAAGAACAAAAATATAAACTCTTTGTAATGTCTTAACCCTTTAAGAACTGTGGCGTTCTATGCCGTCCTTTTTGGGGTGGCTCTAAATGCTGGCAGGCAGCATAGAACGTCCCCTTCATCCTTATTACTTACCCGATCGGCGTTGCTTCCAGTCTGGGGGGACTGCCTGACAGTCTAGACAGTCCCCTTCTGCCCCGCGGGCCATGTGATCGCTCTGAAAGAGGCATCCATAGTGCTGCCTGCACAGGTAGTCTCCCTGCTCCTGTAAAATAAAATAAAATAATATATTGGTAAATTAAAAAAAAAAAAAAAAAAGATATATATATTTATATATATCTATATCTCATTTCGTTTTAACTGTATTTTGATATGACTATTCATATCAAAATACACTTAGAATGAAATATTTATAAATACATAAAAATAATTTAAATTTTCAAATACATAATTTTATAAATAACTTCATAAATACACATGTAAACTTCAAATATATAAATATGCATATATTTATAAAATATTTTTACACAACTAAGTAATTTTATTGATTACAATTTGAGACCTGCCAGAAAGTCCAGAGAATTTGCTAGCACTATATTTAACCCTGTAACTTTCCAAGACCCTATAAAACCTGTACATGGGGGGTACTCTTTTACTCGGGAAACTTTGCTGAACACAAATATTAGTGTTTCAAAACCGTTAAACATATCACAGTTAAACAGTAATATTGTCAGTGAAAGTAACGTTTTTGCATTTTTTTAAAAAAATGTAAATTTTTATTTTTTTTAACACACAAACGGCGCTTAAACTAATGATACATACGTTTTGAAATTCCAATATTTGTGTTCAGCAAAGTCTCCCGAGTATAACATGAAAACCCCATGTACATGTTTTATATTGTTTTTGAAAGTTACATGGTAAAATATTAGACTTGTTTTACATTTTTTCACATTGAAATTTGCCAGATTTGTTATTTTGCCTATTGAGAGTGTATCTTTGCATTTTTTCACATACATCTATAAAGGCTAACTTTGGCCAGTGTATGTGACTAAGTGACTACTAAAAAAGAATGAACATAGCCCAAATGAAATACCCTGGGTTGTCTACTTTTGCAAATGGTATGCCATCATGGGGGTAATTCTCATTCCTGGGCTACGATACAGTCTCAAAGGCAACATAACCAGTCTGGCAAATTTAATGTGTATAAACTGAAAAATGAACTGTGCTATATTTGCAGTAAAAGCTAACCGTATTATGAAATTTACAGTTAAAATGCCACGCAGAACAAGATTTTTTTTTTTTTTTAAATCTGTTTCTCACACTTTTTTTATTTTAGATTTTATTCATAATTAATTGTTTCATATATAAATTGTTCATGTGAAATGAAAGCCGTGTTTCTCCTGAACAAAATGATCTATAATAAGTGTGGGTGCACTTAATATGAAAAAAGTGAATTACGGTTGAACAGCCTTAAAGTGCAAATTCCAGTCTTTAAGTTTTGTTTTGATCACAACGTGTACAACTGGCTCAGTCCTTAAGGGGTTAATGTAATCCCAATTTGAGGCACAATATAAGCACAGTTGTTTACTGAATTGTCATTTTGTTTTTAATTTCAGATACCTCTTTCCAAAGTTTACACTTTGTTGGACTGAATTTGTAGAGCTAAAAGTTCAAGTTCCCTGTGAAACACTGAATTACGTGGAAGCGAACTATGGAAAGAACTGGGATGTCCCTTTAAAGATCTGGGACTGGAAAAGCTCCCCAACCAATGTTCAGCCAAATGGCATTTGGCCTGTGGATGAGTGGGACAATGTCATTCAGCTATACTGAGGAAGTAAACATTAGCTGATCTTCAATCATGGCAACTTGTGTAACGTGTTTAGACTAACTTGATATTAACCAGTTTATAAAATTTCAAAAGTATTTGGTGCTGTATTTATTGCAGAAGATGCTTAAAATCGTTAAAACATGTATCTTTGTGCACTTCTTTATCCTTCGTTTGGCATCTTTAATTACCAACTTACCAATATGCCTACTAATAAAGGCATTTGTTTAATGTTTTAAGTTAAACAAGTTTCAAGACAAATTTATTGACATAATTGGTACTACATAGCCTTAAAACATAAATGTAAAAATAATCAAAACCCATTTGTAACAAAGTTTAGATTGTACCCAATATATAACTGGTTTAATGTGTCTCGCTTCTGTGAAGGTGTGCCTAAAATAATCTGGGTAAGGGGAGAAGACTTGTAATGAAGGAATAGAATGGGGAGGTTGTGGCTGGGGTTTTAAATTTTGTTTCACCACTCTACTGTTAAAGGGGTTCCATGCTCATTCAGCAGATACTGGGTACCTATCAAAATTATTTGGTACTTTGTATCTGGGCTTTTAGAATGCCATGGTCATGATGGCCATATTGCGATAGCTATATATAATGTTAATGCTCCTTAAAGAGACATTCCATAGAACACTGCTGAAGTGCTTTATATATGAAGTGTTCCCGCCCCCCCCATTTTACCAAATTTATTTCCTGGTTTGATTTGCTTGGTAGAGATAAACTCAAGAGGCATCAATTGCCCAGTGCAGCTGCCTTGGAAAGACTTCTCATTGAGCTGCATTGGGAAGTCTGTAATTTGATGGACCCAGAAAGTCTTGGCTGGAGAAGAAGGGGAGGCATTGCAAAGGCTTCAAACAAGAGAACTGCAGTTTTTTGCAAGCTGTTTTTAGATCTACCCCTAACGGAAAAAATACATAATTAAATGCAAGCATGCTTTGATTAGGTAATACAAAACTGTGGTTTTACATTTGGACAGTCGAGTGTCCCTTTAAAGGGATTAATCCTTGACTAAAGCATATCTAATAATACATACGAACCTTTAATATCTATATACACTGACCGGCCACAACATTAAAACCACCTGATTAATATTGTGCTGCCAAAACAGCTCTAATGTGTCAAGACATTGACTCTACAAGACCTCTGAATGTGTCTTGTGGTATCTGGCAACAAGACATTAGCAGCAGATCCTTTAAGTTCTGCCCAAAGGTGGGCCCCATTAATCGGATTTGTTGTAGTCTGCTACAATCTCTAGTTATGTGGTATGTGAAATTACCATCTTCCTAAATGCCAGGACCCAAGGTTTCCCAGCAGAACATTGCTCAGAGCATAACTATCTCTGCCGGCATGCCTTCTTGCACTTGCGCCATTACTTCCCCAGGTAAACAAAGCACACACAAAATGCCATCCAGTTAATCAAAAAAGAAAATGTGACTCTCCATTCAACCACCTTCTATTGTTACATGGTCCAGTTCTGATGCTCACGTCCCCATTGAAGGGGCTTTCGGCCATAGACAGGTGTCATCATGGGCACACAGGCCGGTCTCTGGCTACACAGCCCCATATACAGCAGACTGCAAAGCACTTTTTTTATCTTTCTATCTTTGTCAGAATTAAGTTTTTGAGCTCTTCTGTGTGATTGGACAAGTCTTCACTCCCCAAGTGCATCAGTAAGCCTTTGCTGCCCATGTTCCTGATGCCTCTTTACCACTTGTCATTCTTCACACCACTTTCTATTGGTAACCACTGCATACTGAGAAGACCCCACAAGTCTTGCCGTTTTGGAGATGCTCTTCTCTAGTGTTTCCCAACCCAGTCCTCAAGTACCTCCTAACAGTACAGGATTTAGGGATTACCCAATTGTGTCTAAGGTGTTTTTAGAAAACAATTAAAATAACACTTTAGACACACCAGGGTAATCCCTACATCCCGGACTATTAGGGGTACTTGAAGACTGGATTGGGAACCCCTGCTCTATTCAATTCATCTGACAATGGTTTTTAATGTTGTTGTGATTGATCAGTGTATCTATTATATAGAGAGCTGTAGTGACTGCTTTTTCTTTTGTGAAAAATAGTTGACGATGGGTGGAGCTTAAGCAAAATTTATTTAAAAATTTCAGTTGCTAAGCTACTTTACGCTCAATTTATCAGTCAAAATAATCTCACAGAAGGATAAATTAAGTCTTCATAGACCAGGGAGAACAAAATATCCACATCCGAATATTATCCAGTGCAAGTAAGAAAATAAAAATATAAGGCAGGTGGGAAGGGGGTAAGAGTAATGCTTAAAATACAAGGGGAATAAGGAAAACTTACAGGGACACTATGAAGTGGTTTCGGTGCAGTGCCTCTGTCACCACAGCCCTGCAGTCTAAAACATTTCCATTTAGTAGACACAGAAATGTTTTAATTGCAGGCTTAAATGCACGCCTAGTGCCTGTCTTCCTGACAGCTTGTCGAGGTGCATCCACACTCATAATAGAGTTTGACTCTATTTATGTGACGTTCAACTTCGAATGTCATCACATGGTGATCATAGAGAATCATTTAACTGGACAAGCATTGTGCATGTATTTCTCATTTCTAATACTTCTCTGTAAGAAGTACTGGATTGGACGAGAAGCCAAGAAAGCAACACCTGCTGCATGATATAGTGGCAGGAGGAGTGGGCGGCAGCACCAACGTGAAGTCTTTGAGCGGTAACTAACTTTTTTTCTTTTAATTTTGGGCGTGGGTCCTACTAGTGAGAACACGACGGTGTTGGTAATACATGTATTAATACGTGTTTATATTCCTAACTTTTAAAGAACAAAAAAAATCTAAATCGATGCTGCAAACATACTGCTTCAAAAGGAAAGTTTTGATGTATATCTTGACATAAATGCCCCATGCTTGTTTTAAGCACCAATGATGGTCTCTCATCAAAAATCTGGTCTCAAGAAACCTCACTTTGTCAAGAAATGTCCTAGAGGCCTATGGCAAATAAGTAGGGTATTCCTTGCTGGTACAGGTCCGAAAATGACCAGTTGTGATTTTGGATTTGGTATGGATTATTCGTTCTTGAGAGTTTAAAGAATTGGAAACCCTCTACAATGGTAGTTCCTTAACCAGCGCTTTAGTGCTGCATTTGTCAAGATGTTATCCATATCCCCATTGGAACAGAATTACCTTAAATTCTGACACTTCCGAGGAGCATGACATCTGTTATACAAACTCCTTCTCTGCCCACTTGTACAAATCCTTGTATATTTGTAGTATTTTATTTATATGCATCATTTTCTAAAATCTAGAGGAAGTTGGGTAGCATTTTTATTTTTGTCTTTATTCATTTAACTTTGCATTTTAAGTACTGAACTATATTAAATTTGTCATGCTGGCCATTTATCCATGTGATGGTGACTTAACCCCTTCAATGCCAAAATAAAGCATAAATGTTTTTATTTCCATGTATTTTGCAGCAAGAAATCTAGTCCATAAAACCTCACTTACCATTGTTTATACTCCGATTAGCAGCGTGTAGATGAATAAATATCTCTGTCAGAAGCCTCTAGTCACTGATCTAATGAATGTAATGTTGCTGAAAGTGTAGGCCTCACCCCCTGCTTTCAAACAGTACAGGAAGTTTCAAAGAGTGATGGCAATAACCTACTTATAGTCTGGGGGTGGGGGTGTAGAGGGAGTGAATAGACTAGACTGTACCATTTCACTGCCAACATTACATTAGCCCAGGGGTTCCCAATTAATTTTTCCAGTGGAACCCATTGCTTTTTCTCTTGATAGTTCCTTGTTTTAACCAGATGTCTAAATTCATGGTTGTTGGTTGGTTAAAAAAAAACAAAAAAAAAAAACACTTCTCTAACCTTAAAAAAAATATATATCTCACTATCTGACTGCAATGGATGCTGGTTTTTATAATGTTCTTAGAAATAACTTTATGAAAGATGGGTTTTGGATCAGTCTTGGAGCAAAAAGATTAGAAAACTTAAACAGGTCTCACTACCTGACTGCAAAGGATGCTGTTTTTTTTTGTTTTTTTTTATAAAGCTCTTGGAAAGAAATGAATGTAAGCAGGATTTTGGCTCAGTCTTGGAGTAAAGAGAACGCTTTACTTCAGTTTTCACTACCTGACTGCAAAGGATGCTGTTTTGTTAACAGCTCTTAGAAAGAAAATTTGGGGGTATATCACAGATTTCTACAGATAGTACACAGAACTATATATATATATTTAAAATTATATGTAAGTAAAAATTAATGGAAAAATGTGAAAAGCACAACCCAAATAACTTGTTTTCAGCTGCAGACTTTTAACAGTGTCTACATGACAAAATAAATAAACCTATCCTCATGTGCCACAATGGGCACTAATTTAAAGGGCAGTAATCTCTAAATTGCAGTATAAGAAATCGTTTCTGACCTTCCAGGAACAGCAGGGAGCGGTGGCCATCCTGGATGTGGCGATTCACTGAGGAACCCCAGTTTTGTTCTTGCGGAACACCAATTGGGAAACGCTGCATTAGCAGATCATAGACTGATAAAGATTGCTACAGCAGTTTTAAGTATCTTTATTTTAGAAATATATTGTTTTACTGTATGTGGTAGATGCAGACATGTTTTTAAATTATGTTGACATTTTTAGTAAGCTGTACTGCTAGTAAGACCTACAGGGTACTTACTACAAATACCTAAGCAATTTATCTATCCGTTTTTATTTATCTATTTTTGTGCATTAACTGTATGTGAGAAATTTTCATTTCCCTGATATTTCTTTATTTTTTGTAAAGGAGGTACCAATAAGTGACAAATAAAAATATTGTTTACATATTTCTAATTTTTGCGTTTGTCTGCAAAGGAATCTATATACAAAACTGCTATGTTGTGATATGCTTATAAACTAGCTATGTACCCCTTGCTTCAAATACATGTTATGTTAATTTTGTTCAATCAGAAAGTGCTCAGTGGTGAAGGGTTAAGCAGGATCACATAACCTCTTTTAAAGGTGATTCCACAGACTATCTAGTGACAAATAAACACTGCATGAGGGTTGTGGCAATTGATGCAAGCACTAAAATTTCCATCAAATTGTTTGTTGCTTTATATAAGAGGTGCCCACTTCAAAATTCTTGTTGAAAGGAAATGTACATATATATTACATAACGTTAAAAATATGGTAACACTATACAGAATAAGTAATTTCTGCCTTCTGAACTAATCCGCAAAATACTGTCTAAATTGAAATACCACTTTTATAAATTGAAATACTATTATTTTATGCTGTATTTCTTATACAGTGCAGCTTTTTATTTATAAGGACACCCCAATGACTCAGTTTGTACTGTATACATACCATGTTAAAAAAAATGCAAAGGAATTAGCATTTTCTTGATACCACAAATTAAGCTAGGTAAGAGAAACCAGGCAAATACAAGTGTTTTTAATGATTTTTAATTCAGCCAAGATTTCTACTCTCTCTAGATTGCGATACAGAATGTGACAGACCCAGTTTCCCTAAGTTTCGTTCTTGAAATCCATGGATGTATCTGTCTGTCTTTGACTTTTTGTACCTAGATTTATTAATGATTTTCATGAATAACGCAAATTTCAATTTTATTAGAGGGTAATATAACATTTTGGGCAAAATTATCATTATCTTAAACGGTATGTTGTGTACTGTGTAACTATCAATATAATGGGATTTGTACTTGTATGGACATGTAAAAATTGAATGATTGAATTAAATACTTTGTGTTGAAAATCCCACTCCCTCCACCCCCCCACCCCTACATTTTTGTCTGTAATTGTTTGGAACATCAATTTCAAACCAATATGCTGCCAACTCCTGCTATATCCGTTTCTGTTTTATTTTACAGTATATGTACCTGTGGCAACTTGTGCAATTGGATAGGCTTTCACTGCTGTCAGACTAATGATTTACCGCATTTGGCTAATGAAGCAACTGTGCAATTTATTTATTCCTTATGGTCAACCCAGCGTTCAATCCTAAGGAAATACATAAGTAGTCCAGTGACATGGGTAGTGATAACTGGGTCTGCAGGTGATGCATAGATCTCAAATCCTAGAACATGTTCTAAGTGTGTGAATCCCTTTTAGGGGTGACATTTTGTTAAATAAATTGGTTTCAATATTTATAGTTTATCTGTAACAGTTGAGTGGTTTTATTTCATTCTGGAGAAAATGCTATTTTAGATTGAAGATAATGACATTCTAAAAAACGTGTACACTAAAAAGTGTGCTGTCTGCTGTACTGCTGTTGTTCTTGACCTCATTCAATCGGTGAATTAACATTTAATAGCTCTGCTACCTCCATAAAATTGGTTTCCTGCACCTGGACTTTATTGAAACATACTAATTTCCTTGGCATGGCAGGACAACAGAATGACCTTACAGGCAGAAGTCACACCCATAAATCTTTAAGTGACTGTTTGGACTACACAGAAGAAGACATGGTAAGTAAGCAGGTGTGGGTTTTACTAGTGTCCCTTAAATGCATAGCAACTGTGCATGTGGATATTGCTTTCACCTTTGCCCTGTTACAATTCCCTTGAATAAGATGGAGACTAGAGCTAGTTGGACACAGTCACTTGGATACAGGATGACTAATCTGCCTGCCACTGGAAATAAAAGTAGCTACTGTGTTTTCTTATGCTAAAAGAGATCTTCAATTTTTAAACAGCGCAATTGTATGAAATAGAAATTTTAGCTTTTGCCTCTGCAAAAACAGGGTTTCTTTTCTAATTTTTTATTTATTTTTGGAGACACGAATAACACATTATGATTTTTATTTTGGATTAGACTGTTAAGGACAATTTAAAAAAATTTGGATAATGCTTTTGATTGTAAAAGAAACAGTGTTGTCTTACATACTGTGTGGTGGTGTGTGGGTTGCACCTCATGATATCAAATTTTTAAATGAAAGTTGTATGGACCTGAGCTTATGGATGATTGTTTTGGAAACAGTTTTTATTTATAGTAATAGCAAACTTTTATTTATTAAAGGGACACTATAGGCACCCAGACCACTTGAGCTCAGTGAAGTAGCCTGGGTGCAATGCCCCTGTCACATTTAGTCCTGCAGTGTAAATCATTGCAGTTTAGAGAAACTGCCATGTTGCACTAAGACCACCACTAGAGGCACTTTCTGCTTGCTAGGTGACTGACTGACTCTGGACATCGTCTGAATAATAAAAATCCATAATAACCGACGCACTTTAAAAAAAAAAAAAAAATGAGCGCAAAAAAAAAAATATTTTCACCCATGGAGGGCTCCGTGCAGACTGAGCTCTGCATGGCACGGGAAGGCTTATAAAGCCTTGCCCCGCCCTGCAATTAGGCTCAGAGCACTCTGATTGGTGGGTTTAAGCCATCCAATCCGAGTGCTCTGACAGGTAAATGAAGAGACTGACGCTGTGTAATTTGACTCATAACACTCTGGTTACTTAATCCACCAATCAGAGTGCTCTGGGTCATTTTATAAGCCTTCCCCCGCCCTGCAGAGCTCAGTCTGTGCGGAGCCCTCCATGGGTGAAAATGGATTTATTTTTTTGCACTCGTTTTGTAAGTGCGTTGGTTATTATGGATTTTTATATGGCCTTTTTTGGGGCTGAAAAAAATAAGATTTTAGAAGAAAGAGGACATCAAATGGTAAGTCTATTTTTTTTTTTTTAACAGATATTTAGATAAGGGTCCCCCCTCATTATTTTTAGGATGAGGGAGGTAGGTAGGGGTAATATTTTTGGGGGGAGGGGGGTGACTAAGGGTTTGGGGACCCGATCACCTGGGGGGATACATTTTTATTTAGGGCCCCCACCCGCCGCTCAGGGGTGGGGGCCGGGGGGGAGGACATTAGGTTCCCCCCCAATTTTCATTTATGGCCCCCTCCCACCGCTCAGGGGTGGGGGCTGGGGGGGAGGACAGTAGGTCCCCTCCCTTATTATTTAGGGCCCTTACCCGCCATGTAGGGGCGGGGGCCGGGGGAGGGCAGTAGGTCCCCCCTTATTGTTATTTAGGGTCCCCACCCGCTGCTCAGGGGGGGGGACTTGGGGAGGGTAGTAGGTCCCCCCCTTATTGTTGTTTAGGTCCCCCAACCGCCACGCATGGGTGGGGGCAGGACAATGGGTCCCCCTCCCTTATTGATATTTAGGGCCCCCACCCACCGCTCAGGGGTGGGGTCCGGGGTGGTGGACATTAGGTCCCCCCCAATTTTTATTTGTGGCCCCCACCCACCGCTCAAGGGTGGGGGCCGGGACTGTTATTTAGGACCCCCACCAACTGCTCAGGGGTGGGGGCTGGGGGAGGCAATAGGTCCCCCCTTTAGTTTAAAACCCCCTACTCGCGCGTCGCAGGTGGGGGCTCAGGAGGGGGGGGGGTTTCAACAGTGAGCAGCCACAGGCTGGGTCACATGCTGCACTGGCCAATCACAGCCATGCCATTAGTAGGCTTGGCTGTAATGGCTTCTAAGGGCACACGAGTCAAACGCTTGTTGATTGGCTGCCCTGCAGCCTTTCAAAACGCGTCATTAAATCGCCAAACACCGAACTCCAACCCGAACCTACAGTGATATGTCCGTGCTCTGGTCCGGGGGCAAAAAAACATAATGTTCGGTACGAACCCGAACTTTTCAGTTTGGGTTCGCTCAACTCTAGTCTCAAGTCAATATCTTTAATTGCTAACTCTATGCAATCTAGATAGGGGATTTTTAAAAAAAAAATGCCTTTATTGATCTTAAATTTCTTTAAGATAATCATTGTACAAATCTGTTTTATAATTTATTTATTTTTATATAAACTTTTAATCTGATCTTAATCATACCAGAAAAAAATGAAAGGATACAAGCTTACTCAAATCAAATTGCTCCATTTCTGATCATTGAGGTTGAATCATGCCATGCCAAATAGTGACTGCCCCCTTCCGATGTTAGTTTTTGAAGAACAC